CATCACAGCCGTCGGATCATCGTCAGTCGTCGCGCGTGGGCTGAAATCCATTCGGTTTTCATCGTTGTCTCAGATCGACCGTGTTCGTCGCGATTTCGTCGACGACGCGCGTCTGTTCGCGGTGCGGCGTCGCTTCGGATGTAGAGACGTCCAGACCGCGTCGATCTAACGCGTACCATCCGCGGAGGCGTCGGCGTCGGCGTCGAGCGTCGCCGTCATGTTCGACGTACGCGTGCCTTTAACGACTTGAAGCGAGCCCGATGGCCCACCGGTGCCAAATTGAGACGCGAGGCGTTCCGGAGGTTCTGGATGTACCACGCGCGCGCTTGACGGGGCGAGCGTTGATGCATGATTGAAAACCGACGTGTAATTTCATGCGTGATGCGCCGCGGAGGTGATGAAGTGAGTTCGCTAGGTGTAGGGCAGTCATCGACGGCCGGCGGCGCGGTTGGGCGATTCAGGCGAAACGCCGTCTCTTTCGCGAGAGGTGGGTAGGAACTTATCCCCGATGGCGCCGTGTGGCGGAGGAGGTGGCGAAGGAGTTTACGGCGGCGATCGAGGCGCGGAGCGAACGCGGGACGATCGTGAAGTGCGAAGCCGCGGGGGTGTACGCGAACATGACGCTGAACCGACCGATGGTGTTCGAGGCGGTGATGAAGAGCGCGGCAAAGCAGGGGGCGACGTTTGGGCACACGAACGCGGCGAAGGGGAAGCGGGTCATCATCGAGCACACGAGCTCGAACCCGAACGCGCCGCTGCACATCGGCAACCTGAGAAATGTCATGATCGGCGCGCACTTGGCGAAGTTGATGAAGGCGTGCGGGCACGAGGTGCAGGAGGCGTTTTACGTGAACGATTTGGGGGCGCAAATCGGTCTGACGGCGTTGGCGTACTCACGGGTGTACGACAAGCTCGAGCCATTCATGAAGATTGACCACTGGATCGGCGCCATGTACGCGGTGATGAACACGTGCCAAGAGTTACAACAAGTCGGCGTGAACCCGGGAGATCTCGAGGTGCGTGTGAACGTTCGAACGAATATCGCGTCGATCATCGACGGCTATGATTAATGTGTTTTTTAACTCTCTTTCTTACCTGGACCGTGGGGAGACACAAATCACCTCTGACAATATGAGCCGTCAAACGTCGACGACGCGGGTCGATGATAGATGATGGATGAGTGGGAGCTTGAAGACTAACAAACTCGCGTCATTTTTTTCTCAATAATTAGGATGCATGCGTCGCTGGTAAGGATGCCGTGGATGCGCTCATGAAGAAGTCGCTCGAGGCCGTCGCGGGTAACGCCGATAAGGAGAAGGGCGTGGCTGAGTATTTCGACATTTACCAAGACCTTCGCGGCCGATTCGAGAAAATCATGGTCGTGATGCTCGCCGATATTCGTACGATTCCAGACATCAAGGTCGAGGCGGGTAAGCTCAACTTAGCGTACGAGAAGCAAGAGCCGTGGGCGATTAAGATTTTCCGCCAGATGGTTTGCGACTGCCTTACTGGCGTACAGCAAACCCTCTCGACCTACGGCGTACAGCATGATCGATTCGATTTCGAGTCCGAGCTCGGCTGGGAAGGGTCAAACGATAAGGTGTTGGAAATCATGCAAAATAGCGACTACTATGTGCCGCAGACGCAGTGCAACGACAAGGGAGTTCCTCAAGGGGCGTATCTTGACATGGCTGGCTTCATCACGGATATGGGCTTCAAGATCGGTAAGGGTGGCTATCAAAAGGAGTACCCACCGCTCTACGTCCTTCGTCCGGATGGTTCGACGTTGTACACGTACCGTGACATTGTCTACTCGTTCAAGAAGGCGTCGATGAGCGATTTGATTTTGAACATTATTTGCAGCGAGCAAGACTTGGCGCAACAAAAGGTTGCCTTGGCGATGGCGATGATGAACCCCGAGATGGAGGGCCGACAGTACCACTTGTCGTACGATCTCGTTAAGCTTACGACTGGTAAGATGAGCGGCCGTCGCGGTCGCTACTTGCTGGCGGATGACCTCTACGAAGACCTCAAGACGGTGATTCGCGAAAAGATGGACAAGAAGTACAAGGAGAAGGGCGAGGACATCTCCCAAGAGATGTTCGATAGCGTGACCCACGAGGTGTCCACGGCGGCAATGAAGTATGCGCTCTTGTCTGTGAGCTGCATGACGCAAATTAACTTTGATATTGCGAAGATTACCGACTTCGAGGATGCGTCGGCACCGTTCATCCTGTACAACTCCACTCGTCTCACTTCCGTTCTTCGCAAGTTTGAGGATCGATCTTCCGCTGGCGTGTTGGAAAAGCTGTGCCCGCTCGACGACGTCGACTTCACCAAGCTCGACGACGACCGCGAGTGGGCCTTGCTCCTAGACTTTGTCTTGCCGTTTGCCGGCCTCATCGTCGACGCCGCCATGCCAACTTTGCCCAAACCACCTGCCTTGCCCTCCTACGGCATGCACCGTGTGTGTGATTTCCTGAACATGATGGTACGCGCGCTCTCGGGCTATTACGGTCCCGCTGGTGTCCGCATCATGCCCGTCCAGAGCCAGCTCGACGCCGGATGGAACGAGACAGCGGCGATGCACGCCCGCATCCATGTCTGTAAGCTCTTCAAGCAAGTGATTGATAATGGCTTGCGCTTGTTGATGATCGAGCCCCTCGAGCGCATGTAGTCGCGCCGAGACGACCGATCGAAATCATTTATTTGTCATGACAGACGTAAGACGCATCCGCTCCACTTATCGCCACGAACGAGCTCCACAACAGACTGCGAACACAACACGACACGAAACCATGTAGGGTTGGGCACGTGAACAGGATCGACCTCAACGCGCGCAACACTTACTCCTCCTCTTTACGGCGCACCATGCAGATTTTCGTGAAGACTCGTACGTGACGCGATGTGACACGACTTCATCGACCGCGCGCGCGCGTCTCACCGCCATCGCGCCGTCGCGTGGCGTCGCGAACGGCGTCGATCACGTCACGAACGGCATCGCGCCAAAGCCCTAGCGCGCGTGAACGTCGAATGTCTTCGACGACGCGACGCGACGCCGTTCGAGGCGAGAGGAGGCGTGAGAAACGTCCGAGATCGATCGTATCGTCGGTTGATCGATCGTGATCGCGTGTCGACGGGCATGACGAGCGAGTAGCGGGTGGAAGATCCACGCTCGATCGTGACGTGGGGCTTTGGTCGAGCTCGATGACTTTTGAGCTAGTGACTGACAGATGACGGATGTTTTCGCGAACGCAGTGACTGGTAAGACCATCACCTTGGAGGTGGAGTCCTCGGACACCATCGACAACGTGAAGGCGAAGATCCAAGATAAGGAGGGCATCCCGCCGGATCAGCAACGTTTGATTTTCGCGGGGAAGCAGCTCGAGGACGGCCGCACGTTGGCGGATTACAACATCCAAAAGGAGTCTACGCTCCACTTGGTGTTGCGCTTGCGAGGTGGTATCATTGAACCGTCCCTCGTTGTGTTGGCGAAGAAGACGAACGTGGACCGCGCCGTGTGCCGCAAGTGCGTATTTTGCGTTGAGACCGCGCGCTCGCTCGCCGCTTCGCTCGCCGAAAGGGTGGCGATCTCACCCGTGACGCGCGCTCTATTCGATGTGCGCGCGTCGAGCGAGCTGCCCGAGATTTACTTCACTCCATTCACTTTGCCGACGTCGAGGATTCCACTCGGCGCTGGTCATTCGCGTGTGAGACAGTCGACGCGGAGAAGGGTTTTACTTACTGACCTCGACCTGTTTATCGCTCCCTGCAGGTGCTACGCGCGCCTCCCGCCGCGTGCGACCAACTGCCGCAAGAAGAAGTGCGGCCACTCCAACCAGCTGCGCTTGAAGGTACGTATGAGACGTGTACTTGCGATTCCAATCCCGATGACACAACTTTGGGAGGAGTGACTGACCTCGACACTTTTCCGTCGTGAACAGAAAAAGCTCAAGTAATCCTGCGTGGAGCGATGGATTTCTTAGAGTTCGAAAGTAGGCTGGGCTGGTTTTCCGAGAGTGGGTGAGCGGCGCAACCTGTTTGAGCGTCGCGGTTAGCACCGCGACGAGTAGAATTAGTGTTTTAAGGCTAACACTCTCTATAACATCAAAAGCGAACTCAAATCGAACTACTTCACGAGAACAGTGGCAGCGAGCATGATGTGATCGCTCGGCTCGGTCGCTGCGGGAAACGGACCCTTGACTTCATCACGATGGGGGAGATCGAGTACGTCTAAGACCTCGACGTCGTCGGTTACGAAGATGTAATCGAGGGTGTCAATGAAAGGCTCATCGTCCTTGATTCGCGCATTGTTCGTGAAGTTGGGCTCAGCGCCGTTGACACGCGCATACGCGCTTTCCATTTTCTTTTGCGGTTTCACGTTGAATGGCGATCCAATGTACCCTTCAGGCATGACGGGATACTCGTCGATCGAAGTGTCAAGTTCGCCCGTCGTGATCAACACGTGTCCGGGGTCACCCGGTTTCAGGTTAAAGTCTCCCATCAAAACCGTCGGCAATCCTTCCGAGTGGTTGAGCGCGTACTGAGCCGCCATCCCGGCGTGAATCACCATAACTCGACGGTCGGCCGCGGTTCGAAACATGCACGGCATGTGATACGTCGCGACGCCGAACGAAACGTCCGACTTCTTACACTTGAGCGTTGCGTGCAGGATCGAGTTAAACCGGTTGCGCGCGGTGTCCCACTCCGTCATCGGCGGTCGGTAATCGGTCAGCTTTCTCCACAAACCCACCGGCGTCTTCACGAGTAAGTTGTACACCGGAGTCAGCGGTCCGAAATTCGCCTCTTTCGGCTTTACCCGCGGAAACTTCACCGTGTCACTCAGACGAGAAATGTCGCTTCGCACCAACTCGTACGCGTCTGTCGGCACCGCCAACCCAACCCCCATGTAATTGTTAAACGGCTTCCCGTACAGCGACAGAATGAATGTGTACCCTTTCTTCGCGAAGTACGCGTGCAAAGGCCCCGCCCAGGACATCGACACCTCCTGCAACCCGATCACCGCCCGTCCCGCGCACTCCGCGTCCAGCTTCGCCATGACGCGCTCCAACCGCGTCTCCGCCCTCAAATCATCCGGATCGCAGTGCGTGAAGTACCCGGGATCGGCCAGGTGCGAGCTCAGGACGTTGTACGTCACCACGCGCGCCGTCGCCCCCGTCCCGTCGCTCGTCGCCATGGTCGCTTTCAAACGCCCGTGCGCCCTCGAGCTCGAGCTCGACGCGCGCGCGCGGTCGCGAAGCGCGAACGACGCGCGCGCGCGGGCGTACTGCGCGCGTCGCGCCGTCGTCGTCGTCCCGAGCGCGTGTCGTGCGACGATGAGCGACGCACGCATCGATGTGACGACGCGCGCTCGCCGGGTCAGCAGACGACAGTCGACGACGCGCGCGCGCGCGAGCGCGGGGCGATGACGACGCGCGCGCGGTCGATGGCGTCGACGTCGAGGTCGTCGCGCGATTGGTTCGGCGCGCGCGGGATCATGCTCGCCCTCGCGTGCGCCGTGGTGTTGGCTCGGCCGAGCGCGGTGTTGGCGAGCGATTACCACGCCGACGGCGCGCTCGCGATCCCGTACGAGTCCAGGGCGGAGCGAGCGATGAAGGCGAGGGTATCGTTGGACGAGACGGCGCACACGCGGACCACGGCGCGCGGGACGAGGGTTGAGGGAGAGGACTTGGCGGCTCGCGCGCGATTGGTGTTGAAGGAGCTGTGGCGACGACGGACGGCGGCGGCGAGAGACGCCGTGGACGTGGACGAGCGTAAGCGGGCGGAGCGTGAGTTGGATTTGATTGGGGACGCGATCGAGGCCGCAAAAGGGGGGGGTGGGGGCGACGGAGGCGTCGTCGATCGCAAGCGATTCGCGGCGTTGGGGTACTCGGGCGAGGCGGAGGACGCGTGGGGAGGATCTGGAGGGCTCATGGAGTCCATCGAGCGACGAGGCGGAATCGTCCCAGGAGTAGGTGTTCGACGGGCTGGACCGAGTAAGCCGTCTCGATCGGGAGAAGAGGAGGAGCTCTGGAAGTTCATGTCCGCGCGGCGGAAGAGAGGTGGAAACGCAAAGCGTGGATTCGCAGCCAAGGAGAGACTCGCGCCCGCCGCGCCCTGGTTCAAGCCGAAGCAACCCGAGGTGTATTGGGACGTGGATTTGGAGAAAATACAACGCGCTCGAGAGTCAGTCGAGGCTAAACGTAAGGAGACGGATGATTTTGACTTTGAAATCACGGATATGCCCATCAAGGCGCTCGCCAACAAGAAGCACGTCGCCGCGCTCGGGGAGGCACGCGGGGCGGCGCAAACGCCGGATGATGACAAAGTAGATGACAAATTTATTGACGCTAAACATGATGCGATGGGTGAACTCCTTCGCGGTGCGCAAAATAGCACTGATAACACGTTCTCTGAAAAAGTTGAGGAGTGGACTCGAGCGGCGGCGATGAGATTACAGAACGCCACGATGAGTGCCAAGGAGACGATCGAAACCATGACGAACAGGGCGATGGAGGTCGAGCAAAAGTTATTCATGAAACACGTCGACGTTCGTATGTTCGTGGACTTTGCAGATCCTTTTTCGCTCGAGTTCATGCTGGGAGCATTTCAACAGCTTTCCAGTGAGCAGCTCGGCCCAGTGAAGTGGAATATTGTGCCTTTTGTCAACGTCGGCCAAGAGCGTAACGTATCCGCAAATTGTGCACAACGAGGAAACGGTCAGCACTTGAGTTGCAACGCAAACACCATCGCGGCGTGTGCGCTGAAGCATATTGGTACAGTATCTGGAGGCACGAGTGCGTTTACGTCGTGTTACGCAATGCAACTCCTTAAGCTCGAGGCTCAGGATGCACTTAAAAATGGTCGGCAACAAGATACATTGAGCAGAGTTGAAGAAAGATGTTGCGCGGCCGTGTCTGATGGCGTCGTACGATGGACGGGGAAGATGGGACAGGCGACACAACTCGGAAGCTCAACAGAGAATCAGTGCGCTGCGCAGAAACAGTGTGTGACGAATGGTGCTGGCCTCGAGCTCCTTTCTTTGAACAATGCCGAGCTCGGAAACGTCAAGCCTGAGCATCGGTGGCTCCCATGGGTAACCGTCGACGGGAAAGCGGTCTGTGAAAAGAAGTGCAATTTACAGGCGTCGATTCGGCGGAGCATCTGTGAAGTCCGAACGCAGTTGCCCGATGGATGCCCAAAGTTCCCGTGGAAAGAGGCGTGGTATGATGAACCAGAAATCTCTTTTGGGGGTCTCATCGCTGCCAGTGCCGCCATATTGCTCGCAACAACGTCCATATTCGTGCTCATGCGCGAGGCTGGGCTTCAACCTTTTGCGCTGTACAAGGAACCAAAAAACGCCGAGCAAGCGAGTCTTTTGAGCGAGCAACGTAGTGATCGGTAGCTATTTAGCAAAACTTTAGAATATCACCCCACCATGCGATTCAAATGCATCCCTGAACTGATCGGGAATCAGATCACCCACGGTCATCAGCTCCCACTTCGGTGCTGGAGCCGCTAAGACGTCGCGCCAAGCGTCCTCGCTAAAAGACCTCTGTGAAAACACCGTCGTAAACTCACCGTGCGCGTCGACGATGTCCTCATACGGCCCCCTGGAGACGGTGATCCAGTGCGTCTCTTCCGTTGTCGCTCCGTCGACGACGGGAGGAAACCCTTCGATGTGAAAAGCCCAGTCTGATCTCGTCACGCCGTCCACCGCAACACTCGCCGTCGACGTAGCAGCGTCAATGTCAAACTCGCACCTCTTTAAATCCATCCCTAATCCGACCCCGATCGCCTTCACGTGTGACTCCTTCAGACTCCAGTGCTTCCTAAACAATTCTTCACCCGCCCGCTCACCATTCGTCGACGCCGTCGCCGAGATTCGCTCGCGTTCGCGATCGGTGAGCACGCTCGAAAATGTCTCCAACAACCGCCCCACGTCCCGCTCAAGCCCACCGATTCGTCGCACCTGCCCCGGCGCCGCCACGTCCACCCCCACCACCGCGTGTGTCTCACTCGCTAACACCACGTAATCCCCCTCGTGCGAGACGTTAAAGTTAAAATTCGGCGCCCCTGTGACTTCCAAAACGGTCGCGTGAAACGGTTTCGCGCCCTTGGTCCTACGAATGTCCACATCCCGCATCGCCGTTCCTCGCGCGCCAATACTGAGTGCACACGCCCTCAACGCGATCGCGCGTTGCATGAGTCTCGACACGCACGCGCGCTTACGGTCGTCCTCTCGGTGGAATCGTCGCACGGCGAGCGACTCGTGCTCGGGCAAGAGTTCATTCAGGATGAAATCGAATTCGCGTTCGGTTGGACGCCACCGAGCGACGTCGACGATCCATCGCGCGCGTAGGGGATGCGTCGATGAAACATCGGTCCCGACCGCGTCCTCGGGATGGGGCATCGAGACGGAAGCGGCGGGGACTGGCGCTTCGAGTGGATCGAGAGGCGTTTTTGACGGTTACTCAGAGCGGTGGCGCGGTTTTATTTTCTCGTCGAATGCGCGTCTTCGGTGGCAGTACGATGATACATGGCTATAGTACTATTAATATTACGCCCTAGATTTCGTCGTTGAGGATGCGCTCGCGGACGCGCGCCATCTTTTGCCCCATGTAAAACAGGTTGTGCTCGCTCGCGAGCGTCCAGGCCAGCGGCTCGTTCGCGCGGTCGAGGTGGTGGAGGTAGCCCAAAGAGTGCTTGCTGCACAGGGTGCAATCGCACTCGTGACATGCAGGCTCACGGGATCTCCGGAACTCGGCGCGGCGAAAGTTGATTCGTCCTCGCGAGTGCGTGAACAGAGTTCCGTGACGCGCCACCTGCGTCGTATACGCGCTGTCAAACGTATCGACGCCAAGCATGACCGCGCGATCGACGTTTTCCACGTCCGAGATCCCAAGGAGGTGATTTGGCATGTCTTTTGGCATGAGAGGCATCAAGAACTCGAGCAAACTCCCTAGCTCGGTTGAGTCTCTGCCGAGCGAACCACCGATGGCCATCCCGTCGAACGGTAATGCGCTCAAATACTCCACCGAAGCTCTCCTCAGATCCCTATCCACGCCTCCGTGCACGACACCGTACATCGCCTGTTGACGCACATCGCTCAGATGCGCGCGCAGGCTTCTCGTCATCCACCGATGCGACCTCGCAACGCTCTCCCGAAGCGCGTTGTCGTCAATGTCGTACGGTGGCAACTCGTCCAACGGTATAATAATGTCCGCTCCTATCGCCTTCTGCGCCGCCACGCTGCTCTCCGGCGTCAATGTCATCTTCGTCCCGTCGCGATACGACCGAAACATCGCACCCTCCTCGCTCACTTCGAGCAACAAATTCTCTCGACGATGCTTTGTCGGATTCCTCGATTTCAACTCTTTCGCCTCGCTCCGCCTCTCCGGCGTCCCGAGCGAGAACACCTGAAACCCCCCGCTGTCCGTGATCGTCGGTCGACGCCGTCCCATCATCTCGTGCACCCCACCCAACGCTTCCACCGTCTCCGCCCCAGGCTGGAGCATCAAATGATACGTGTTCGCGAACATCAAATCCAAACCCGCCGCGTCCAACGTTTCGTGATGCACCGCCTTCAACGCCGCGTTCGTCCCGACGGAGACGAATCCAGGCGTGCGCACGACTCCATGCGGGGTCCGTATCTCCCCCACGCGCGCTCGCGAGCGTTTACTCTCGTGAATAACGTCAAATCGGAAGAAATCCCGTTCCGGTCGACCGAGCCGTCGTAAATCATCCGGCGGTGTTTCCCCGAACGACGACGCGCGACGCGTCCACGGACGACTCGAATCCCCCCACCGTCCACGCGTCCGTCGCCCCGCGCCAAGCGCCAGGCGCGAGGACGCGAGCGCGCGACGCATGCGCGTACTGACGTCGACGCACCGCGCCTCCAAAACGACCCATCCGCTTCACACGCCGACGCGTTCGAAGCATGGAGGCGATCGAGCGCCCGAGCGAGGCTCTGGAGCCGTGCGAAGAGCTGCACTACGCGCACGGACCGACGCCCGTGCGCGCGCTCGAGGTGCGACGACGAGACGAAAGCGAGGGCGAGTCGTGGGTGACGTTTCGAACGTTGACGCCGACGCGCGGACGGCGCGCGCGACGCGAACGCTCGAGGTGCAGACGCGCGGAGGCGCGGACGCCGCGCGCGATGGTCGCGTGATTGACGCGCGCGCGCGATCGAGCGCGAGGGTGACGCAGGAATCGGGCGTGGCGGCGTCGGACGTGAAGAAGCTCGAGGAGAATGGGATTCACACCGTGGAGGGATTGGCGCACGCGTCGAAGAAGCAGCTGTGCGCGATCAAGGGGCTGTCGGAACAAAAGGTGGAGAAATTGAAACAGATAGGTGCGTCGATGGAGCGCGGGAACGAGGTCGAGGGCGGCGTCGGGGCGGACGCGTACGCGCGGGCGGACGCGCGGGGGAACGGGTGCCAGGTTTATGCGCTGGAAAAGCGAGCACCCTACGCGCGATCGCCGCGACTCGGACGCGCGATGCGCGAACGTGGGGGTGAGGTGAGCCGTGACTGACGATCTAACGCGCGCGTAGCGAATAACCTCGTTCCGGGCGGATTCACGACGGCGACGATGATCGAAGCCGCTCGAAAGGATGTGATCATGATCACCACCGGCTGCGCAAAGGTTGACGAGATGTTGCAGGGTGGGATCGAGAGCGGGAGCGTCACCGAGATCTATGGCGAGTTCCGCACTGGAAAGACGCAGCTCATGCACACGCTCGCGGTGACGTGCCAGCTTCCCATTGAACAAGGCGGCGGCGAAGGGAAATGCCTGTACATTGACACCGAGGGCACGTTTCGTCCGCAGCGCCTGATTCAGATTGCCGAGCGCTTTCAAATGGATCCGGGCCCGGTGCTCGATAACGTGGCGTACGCGAAAGCGCACAACACAGAACATCAAACCGAACTCTTGGTCGCCGCCGCAGGGATGATGGCGGAGACTCGCTTTGCGCTGATGATAATCGATTCCGTGACAAACTTATACCGCACCGAGTACGAAGGGCGTGGCGAGTTGAGCGCGCGTCAAATGCATCTCGGGAAGTTCTTACGCCAGCTCGCGCGTCTCGCGGACGAGTTCGGTGTCGCGGTCATCGTGAGTAATCAAGTCGTCGCCAACCCCGAGGGTGGTCCGTTTGCCGGCGCGAACGCACTCAAGCCCATCGGCGGTAATATCATGGCGCACGCGAGCACGACGCGTTTGGCCCTTCGCAAGGGACGTGGAGAGAACAGAGTGATGAAAATCGTGTGCTCCCCCATGCTTCCTGAGTCAGAGGCGCAGTTTTCTATCGGGGAAGACGGCATAAACGACGCACAGGATTGATAGTTCCTCGCTCACTCGAGAGTATACAGCTGGAACGTCAAGCGGAGGGAGCTGCGCGAAGCTTCCGAGCGTGTGAGTACGCGTGTAATTCAAAGCTAAATTTTACAATCTCTTCGGTACCGAAGGATAAATATATGCGCGTGACGCTCAGCGCAAGCGCGTGGAATACCACGCGACGCCGACGGCGACGCACGTGAGGCCAACGATTTGCAAGCCGAGTCTCAGCTTTTCATAATCGAACGGCTCGTTCACCTCAGCGCCGTACTCCTCCTCGAGCGTTTTTTCTCGCCTCGACGACGTCGAACCCGTCGACCGTCGTCCCGTCGCCCACTTGTCGTTGTACGGTTCGAATCCATCCTTCGGCATCAGCTTCACCTCGACTCGTTCGTTCTCCCCAATCTCCAACCTCGGCGCCTCAAGGATGTACCGCAACTCTTCCGCCTGTTTTCTGATCGATTTCACCGGGTGCACGCTCTCGAGCCACTCGTACACCGCCAGCGCCTTATCCCGTTGTCCGTACGCGTCCAGCGCCAGCGCCTTGTATATCCCAATCTTTCCTCCCAGCGTGCTCGTCTCGCTCGTCTCCTTCTCCGCCGCCTCGAACCACTTCACCGCGTCGTCGTACATCCCTCGTCCGTACGCCTTCACTCCGGCATCGTACATCTCTCGCGCCCGTTCAATCTCTCCCGCGAGCGTCCGCGCGTTGCTCTCCAGCTTTTGCGCAATCTTCTCCGCGTAAAACTTCTGTGCCTCCGGCACGTCCTCGGCTCGTTCGTACCCCAGCGATCGCGCGACGACCGTCTCCATGTCCTCGCCGCTCTCGAACGCGTCCTGAAACCGCTGCGTGGCTCTCAGAACGCTCGCGGCGTCGGCACCGATGGGGATGAGCGCTCGACGCACTTCATTCAAAAGCGCCTTTGACGCGTTGTCGTACGCGTTCGGTCTCGAAGCGAAGGGCTTGGAGGCGATCACGGCGTCGTCCGCGCGCTTTTCAGTGTTCGAGGCGACGCGTGAGAGACGTCGGAGGGAAGGGGAGGGGGCGCCGAGCGCGAGCGCGGCGCGCATGGCGAGAGGCTTCGTATGACGACGTCGCCGGGGACGAGCGGCTATGAGAGCTACCGACGCGCGTCGCCGGGAAGGGAGACACGCGCTCGTTTGTGCGCACTAGTTCTCTTCCCTTTTTTGTTCCGAGGAGCCTCGCCTTCGGGGGCGCGCTCGGCCGCGCGTTTGGCATCCTCGGCGGCGACGAGCGGCGCCGCTGGATTTTGTGAATTTTGGCGCACGACGACAACGGGGGGTTTACCGTTCACCTCGATTGACGTCCCCGTGAGCGGGCGAAACTTTTGACTTCGACCGATGATGTCAAGCGTGACAGCGCCCTCGAGACGATTGAAAGCCTCGGTGGCGTGCGTCTCGTCAGTGAAGGTGACGTAACACGTCGTGGTGGTTTTGCCTCCTGGCGGGCTCAGCGTCGAGCTCGCGCCTAGATGCGAGCCCTCAACTTTCGTGATGTGCGCACGATCTTGCTCCTCAAACACACCCTTGATGACATCAATCTCAATCCCACGAGGGATCCGATGGATGAAGAGCTTAGAAAGCTCCTTGGGGTCCAGAGAAAACGGCGGAGGATCCAACTCACGCGTTGGTGTCGCCTGTCTCGATTCCCACAGCGCCAAATCGAGTGCCGCTTTCGCGTCCTCCACCGAATCGTGGAATCCCGCTGCATTTTCACGAAGTTTGCGATCGAGAAACTTCTCGCACAGCACCGCCAGGCTCGGCGTGGATTTACGAACGTTTGAGTACCGGAACAGCAGCGCCGTGTCGATCACGGGCTGATGGTCAATCTTCAACGCCTTCAAGTCGTACACCAAAGAGTGCCCGACGAGCACCGTTCCCGGCTTGCACAACTTGACGATCGCTTCCTGCACATCCTCGAGCGTCTTCTTCGCGTTGAGCACGTCCTTCTCCTCCAAACCAGTGATTTCTTTCTTCATGTCGACTATTTTGCCTGGCGGCTTGACGAGCGTCTTCAGCAACACCTTCCCACTCTCGTCCACGACCGAGACCCCCACTAGAGCTCGCGCATCGCGATCCGTCTCGCACATCTCGCAATCGATCCCCAACAACCTCGGCTGGAGACCCTTCTCCACACACCACCTCACCGGACGATACTTGGTCCGTCGCCATCCGCGCGTGTGCGACGCCAAACTGTAATACCAATCCTTAAAACTCTTATGTTCCCGCGTTCGACGCACCAGCGCCCACCGCGCGTCATCCTTCGTCCCCACAACCTCCTCAGCGCTCCACACGTCCCACTCATCCCGTTTCTTCCGCCACGCGTCCGCCTCCGCGAGCGTCGTCACTTCCGCCTCGCGCTCCGACCCGAGCGTCGACACGAACAATTTCAGCGTCTCGCTCGAGTGCCTCGACGGATCCCCCCACTGACACATCGGTCGCTTCTGCGTCGTTTTCACCCACCCCTTGAAGTCACACGCCGGGTGCTTCTCGGGGTCGGTCGTGTACCGTCGCTGAGCATCCTTGACGACTCTGACGAGCGCGGCGAATTCCTGCACATGTCGAACAATTTCGGCGTCGTCAGTGGCGCGATCCGGGCGTGAAAGGCGCGGGGGACACGGCGTGGTTATGTTCACGCGTCGTCGCCACGAAATCGCGCGGGAGACGGACCTCGACGGAGGACGGCGTCGGCGCCATGGCGGCCGCCGCGCTGTGCAGCCGTCGCCGGCGCGCGCGTTCGCGCGAGACGCTCGACGGGAGAGCGAGTCGACGGCGACGACGCGAACGACGCACGGAGCGAATCATCGACGCGTTCGATCGATATCAATCGCATACATGAACAAATCTACACGCATCAAAGCGCTCTCTCTCTATCGCGCGCGCGCTCGACGCCCGAACGCGCGCGTTTACTAAACCAAACCCGCCCTCGTCCTCCACCGCGCGTCCTCGACCGCGCGTTCACTTCCCCTTTGAAGCGCGCTTTCCCTCGCCCTTCTTCGGCGGCCCTTTCCCTCGCCGTTTCATCCGCTCGAGCTTCACCTTTCTCCTCGCGTCGCCGGGATCCGCGAACAACGGATCCATCTTCGCCATCGAACTCGGGTACCAGTTCACCAGACGCTCCCCGATCAGGGGCTTCCGTAAAATCTTCCGTCCGCTCGGGAGTCCGTTCCCGAGGTGATGCCCGAAGATCTCCGCCGCTTTACGCGCGATCTCGAGCGCGGTCTTCGTCTTCGCCTGGCTCATCCCTTCCCTCCGCGCCCGTCCGCCGCGCGCGCGCCGCGGTGCACCGCGCGCGTCCACGCGCACGTCGAGCGCGCACGTCGAGCGCGCGCGAGCGGGGACGACGCGCGACGCGCGGTGGCGTCGCGTCCGCGGCTGTCCGACTCGTCGGCCGTCGCGGTGGCGTGTACACGAGTCATGACCCATGAACGAGTCCCCCCAAGGGCCGCGACCACGCCGGGGGCGACGAAGGAAAAAAAAAGACGAACACGAACACGCGAGACGCCGGGGGTGACGAATGAAAAAAAAAGACACACACGAACACGCGAGACGCCGGGGGTGACGAATGAAAAAAAAAGACGAACACGAACACGCGAGACACCGGGGGCGACCGAGGACGACGCGAGACCCGCGCGCGGTGACGATGAGCGAGGACGAGGTGAAGAAGGAGGTGAAGGACGAGACGCACATTAACATAAAAGTGCGCGATATGGTGCGGGAGCGATGACGCGGACGACGATGCCCGTGAAGAGGACGCGCGGGCGCGGAGGGCGCGGTGTTTGAAATCTGAGCGCCGATCGTGGACGACGGCCTGGATGGGCGTCGCGGCGCGGTCGATGGAAGATCGCGGAGGGAGACTGACGGTGAGATGATTTTGGTCGGAATCGTAGGATAACGCGGAGGTGCACTTCAAGGTTCGCCCGACGACGAAGTTTCAAAAGGTGTTTGACGCGTACTGTCAGCGAAAGGCGCTGGAGCCAAACATGGTGCGATTTCTCGTGGACGGCGAGCGGATTCGAGGGGATCAGACGCCGGAGGATCTCGATTTGGACGACGGAGACGTGATCGATGCCATGATGGAACAGGTGGGTGGTGCGAACTAGGCGCCGCGCCGAGCATCCAGCATAGGACAAAAGTAGGAGCGCTTGTAAGAAGAGAACACATCCTGCGGTCACTCATTTCGTTTTGATTATACCGAGAGTGTTGTGTCTATTGATACTCCGCCTGAGCGCGCGCCATCTTACCCTGGCGACTTCTGAAGACGTCCTTTGCGGGCGGTCTGGCGCTCGCCGCGGCTCGAGACGCCGTCAACGCCGGATCGTCGATGAGCTCTATAGCCTTGCGCTTCTCCCCACCTTGGTAACCCATCTTACTGAGATAGCCCGCGATTGCTTCCTCGCTCAGATCGGTTCGCTTTATGGCGTCCAGAACGGCGTCCACGCGAGGCGGAGGAAACTTGGAGAAGGCGACGGGGCCGGGAAGGCTAGAGAAGAATTTCCCGAGTTGGCCTGTGAGCTTGGTTTTCTCCACCGGTGGCGGTGGCGGCGGTTTTCTCTTGGGTGTACCCTTCGGAGCGGACGGCGCTGGCACGGCGGCTATCATGGCCTCTCTCGCGAGACGCTCCGCGCGAAGCGACGCGAACGACACTCGAGACGCCTCCGCCTTGTTCATTGGAACCACGGCGCCGAGCGAAGCAAAGTAATCGCAGTATTCTGCGCTGGCGGCTCGGATGTCCATGCACATATGTCGTCCCAGGAGTGCGTTGAGAAGATTTGTCTTCAAATCCATCGCACCGCACGCGGCATTGCGGCGCGACTCGGCGTCTAAAATAGTGTCCATGGTTCCGTGAGAGCGCTCGAAATCAACAAACATGTCCCAAATCTTCGTTGAAGGCGACTCACTCAGCGCACGTCCGAACAGCGCGCGCACGTTCGCGATGTCGTTGATTCCGATGAGGAACTCCGCGTATCTCTCGACGTACGCCGGTACGCTTAAGAAATTCTTCAGTCCGAGCTCAAAGATATTTCTCGCCGGCTTATCAGCCTTATCGTAGCTCCACTCGATCGTGGCCGCGGTGGCATAGATTTCCCACGTCGCCCCGTGAGCCTTGCGCGCTCGCATGAAAGCCTTACGACTCGACGCCTGGTCCTCGGCGCGTCGACAGGCGCGAATGTACTCGCAGTACGCGAGGATGGTGTCCGCAGGCATCGTCACTTCCTCACCGCGCTCTGCAGCCTCAGTGGCGTACGACTCGTACGCGTCCAACACAGTCTCGTACACCTTCTTGCACGCATCGACGTCGCCTCGAGTCTCCTCGAGATCGGCGGCAGCGAAAACGAGAAGAGTACAGTACGGTAGAGCTTCTCTTCCTCGCTGAAGTACATCCGCCGCATCATCCGTGCGACCCTCTACCTCGTGCCAGTGCGCGTACTCGAGCCAAAACTCGGGTGTCTCGCCCAGCGATAGCCCTGCTAGTTCATACGCGTGCTTTATGCGGGCGAAGAGCTGGGGTGACCCGTCGCTTGGCGTCGAGCCTTCGAGCCTCTGCGCGTTTGTTTTTTCAAACTCAATAACCTCCGCCCACTTCGCCGCACATTGTTTGAGATCGGGGGCAAGTAAGGTGTATTGCTTCGTCGCGCAATCTTTCGCTCCGTGCAAGGACGAACCGCAGTACTTGCACTCGTGTACGCAATCACAACCCGCGCAGCCAGACGCGTTGAACCTCGGGCACACCACGGATGCCGAGCCATCCGCACCACGTTGGACGGGATCGACGCACACCGCGCCCACAACCACACCATCGATTACCTTCTTTCTCTTCCCGAGCGCCGTTCGCGTGAGCAACAACTTGGGTGCTAGTTCTAGCAAGAGCGCTTTTGCAAGCGTCTTGTTCTTCTCTTGCTCAAATGCCTCGTACGACTTGTAAACCATATCTAATTTGTGCATCGGCACCAAGATCGCCTTTTGATATGTTCGTCGAACGATCATATCTCGAGCGCTCGGCGCTTGCTCCACCTGGACGTCCGTCACGATCAGCGTCGCCTCCGTATTCCGCAAGAACTGACAGTAGTCCAACCACAAGTCCGCCGCATCTGCGTCCTCACCGACGATGTCTATCGAGTATTCGTACACCGATTTCATCGTATTCACCCCCTCTTCCGTCGTCACGTCCTGCGTGCTCGCCATGTACGACGCGTACCGCCGCCAAAGCAGCGCGCTTGGGCACGGAATCAAACACTTGCCAAAGATCCCTCTGATCGCCTCGTCGTCCGGCGTCCCGCTTTCGCTCCTCTCGATCTCCGCGTCCACGTACCAGCACCACGCCAGAGAAGACCTAGGAAACTGCTCCGTGATCGCGTCGAACAGCGGTCGCGCGCTCGGGATGGTCATCGCTCGAGCGATTCGCGCGCACCGCTCCCAACCCGCGCCGTCGCTCGGATTCTCCCGCAAGTGCTCCAATAGCTCGTCGTGATCGCCCACGACGACGTCCACGTCCGTCGGCGACGACGGTTCGCTCTCGCACGCCTCCTTCGCCGCCTCCGTGAGGGTTTCTTCGTTCGCAACGACCGACTTCTCGGCTGATTCCTTTGCCCGGGCGTGCTCCGCGGTGCCAGACAACAATCGCTCGACGAGATCTGCCTTGGTTCCGTCCTCGTCGAGCCCGCTCTCAGCGCATCGCGCGCGGAGATCGGCTATCTTGAGGCGCATGAGCGCAGGTTTGGTGTCGCCCATGGCGACAGCGAAGACGCGTGCGCGGGTGTGAAGAAAGCGCAACGTGCCTGAGAAGTGGACGGCGCTGTGAGCGGACGACCGAGGCGGGAGCTCGGATGAGAGGTAGAAGGTGAGTGGAGAGTTGGGGTTGAATATCATTTCAAATCATGGCGTTTCTTAGATTGGTGGTCGTTCACAGTGATTCACTACGTTTGCGTATCCAAGCGCGTATGTGAGGAATATCTGCACGCGCCGATGGCAACGAGCGAGAGGGAATTCGCGCTAGCGGTGCGCAAGTCGGGCGACCGTGTGCGCATGCGAAGGGCATCTGCGTCAATCTTAAGGCTTTAATGATGCATTCGCACTCATGAGGATTCAGAGTGTCGCCGAACATGATCGCTCCGCGACATGCTTTGGACGCAAGCAAACGGTGGAGTGGTCGTGGCGCGTGTGTCGAGGAACTTGAAGTCGACGTGAGCTCGTATAAGTACTGGCGAAGCGCGTCCCCGCCGAGTGTGGTCCCTCGTATTGTTGGCACTCGAGTGAGATAGATCATAGTTTCTTGCTTGCCGTTACCGCCGTCGTCAGTTTTCCAATCCCATCCCCAACGGCGAACATTGTGTGCATTATTCTCCAGAGCGTCGAACTCGTTTACGCTCATGGGTGTCGCCCAAAGCGCTGGAGATTTCGTTTCTTGCGTTGGAACGTGTTTGTTTGGATTGAGTATCGTGGCCCAGAGCTCTTCGAGGCCTATTCGTTCGTCGCACGCGTGCTGATCAAACGCCACGATGCAGTCGTCCACCGTCGAGATGATAAATTTTTTCCCCACTTGGTCAATCACTCTCGCTTTCTCAAGCGCAGCACGCTCGAGCGTTGCCGGCGCTCGTAAACGTGAATTCGATGGTGTCTTCTCGATGGTCAAGATTGGGACCTCGGGCGCGTCAAAAACGGGATTAATCCACGTCTCCATGATGGATGGATGCGGGACAGGTGGTGCAGAGTCAAGAGAGTTTCGATGCCGTAGCATCGCTCGTGAGAACGGTCCATTGGTCGATACGCAACATGCGTCATCGCATCGCTCACGTTTACTAGTCTGAGAGAACGTGCCTCTTCTTAAAACGGGAGGCGGTGGCTCTTGGGGGGATGGCTCCTTTTCTGACGACGGCTCCTCTCGAATCGGCCAACACTGCTCGTGAACAATCGCCTGGCGCAAATGACTAAACATGGTGTCCCAGTCATCGAATTCAATGAGCGTCCTTGATGGATCGTACGTCACCTCGTAAGAATCATCGGGACAGTCGATCGCTATGAGGAATCCGGGATAGCCCTTGCCTGCGTTTCGGGCACCGTCTCCCAAGAAGGCGTCAGCTTCGATTCGGATCATCTCTCGATGCAAAGCGTCAACCTTGCCGATAATGTGGTCTCCGTTGACGTACACCAGCTGCATATCGGACGATCCCAGACGCCGATCCGCGGGTGTGACGTATCCACGTACGCGCCATTTCGCATCCTCGCTCTCGTAATCGACCATTCGCAACCAACCGACGACTTCGTCTCCGTACGCTCGACGTAAACCGTCCAACACCGATTCGCGATCTCCTGAGACTCTCTCAACTGCGCGTCCATTCATGATCACATTCATGGAGAGCTCCGGTCGGAGTAGACACGCGTGAAACACGATGGATTTCAATTCTCTCTCCAGAGCTCCCTTTCGAACGTCCTCTCGCGTTCGAGCCGCCGCGATCGAATTTGCGGCGAAGACACCAACGCACTTCACCGTCGTCGACCACTTCTCATCGAACGCCCCTGACCCGCACTCGACCCCAGCCGCGCGCGTCGCTCGGATCGTCGTCGTCTCACATTCATTATTAGCCCTCGTCGCTATCTCCACGCGCTCGCACTGCGCGACGATGGTACTTAGCGCCCGCCCGCGTCTTCGATTCGCTTGCCTCGTCGCCCCGCGCGCCGCGCCGTTCGGTTCTCCGAACGCCCACACCAGCTCCCGCGCGCTCTCCCGCGTCATCCCCTCCCCATCGTCCGCACAGAGCATCGTTATGACATCCCTGACCCCGACCTCGACGGAGATCGTCCGCGCGCGCGCGTCTAGGGCATTCTTCACCGCGCGCGCGACGATCTGTATCAATCGAGTCGAAGCGTCGCCCGTCGCTCTCCTCGCGTCCACGTCGCGCATGCGCGCGATCGGACGCATATCAGACAATTTTTTCCGGCGCGATTCCGCCCCGTGCGTCGCGCGAAGACGATCGCGCGTCGCCCGTCGAGTTCTCACGTGCCCCGAGGGAACGCGAATCGTCGTCGAGCGTGGAATCGTCCGCAGCGCCAGACTCCGACGCACACGCTCGACGTCTCCGCGCGCGCGTTCGCGAGAGCGTCGAACGTGTGTTATGTCATCGCTCCGAGCGCGCCTGCGAGCGGCCGAGCGCGATGTGACCGACGTCGGGACGTCGAAACGAACGACCGAGGTTGAACGGTTTGAAAATCATCGCACGCGTTCGGCGTCGATCGAGCGCGCGAGCGAGGGCTTGGAGTCGCCAAGAACGCCTCGCGAGGTGACTGCAAGAGTTTGGGAGCCGTCGACGCGCTCGGGGGCGTCGCCGTGGGATAGTGCGTCGGGGCGGCGGGCGCGGTGGACCTCGGTGAAGGCGGCGACCAAGTTGACGACCCCGCGGCGGACGATGGAGGAAACGCGAGCGAGAGACGTGAGAGATAGAGAGTTGGATGTTAATGCGGCGCGCGCGGTGTCCGGTTCATTCGCGGTGGTGAGCGGGGAGGGAACGGCGACGAAGAAGACTGGTGGTCAAACCAGAGACGTGTCATTCGAGCAAGACGACGTAGAGGCGGAGGTTCTGAAGATTCTTCGCGACGTGGTCGCAGACGCTAAAAGGGAGCGTGCGAGTGGACTCGATTCCAAGAGTTGTGTCGAATCACAAGACGGTGATGACGGGCGCGACGAGAAGGCGCTGGTTTCGATAAGTTCCAGGGGGCGAGTAAAAGAACGAAACGAGAGCCTCGCTAGGATGGGATGGGATTTTGGAGCGATTATCATCGGCTCGATCACGATCGCAATGGCAGTTGTCGGTTTTCTATTCGGTTTCTCCGTCGCTCGGTTCCGGTCTGGGAACGGCGACGTCGGATACAGAATTTCACCACAAGTGAAGACGCGAGTTGAACCCGCAACGAACTCACTCATGCTCGACGGTATCGACTTCGAGGCGAGTTGGAACAGCACGTTGCTTCGAGCCAAAACTCTTCACGACTCTCTGACGGACGACGATGCGCGTCGACGTATCAGATCTGCCGCCAAGCGCGCTCGAGACGCGCGCCGACTCGCACTCGAGGCATCTTCATCCGAGGAAGATGAGAACGACACGCTCGTGCGCGCGACCTGTCGAGCCGTCATCGCCTTCTCCGAGCTCGAGCGTTTCTCGAGCGTCAACACGTCGCTCGATCACGCGCATGCCGAGCCGTCGGCTTCTCGCCAAGTAGTCTAGCCTTCCAGCTTGTGATATTGCACTCAAGACAAAAATCAGAGGCCAGGCGACCAACCGTTTTAGGCTCCGCAGCGTGCCGATCTGACTTTCGACGGTCGTAGCAACTATAATGATCCGATATTCCCTATTAGAGTGCGATCCATTGGTACCCGCGTGATGACGTGGCGGGAAGATTACATTTTATCATGGATCGGTTTGCCGAATATCGGACACGTCATACGTACTCAAGGCACTTTTTTATTTATATATTATTATTTTAGTTAAAAATATGAAAAACGTGAATTTGTCGTATTCTATCCGTCTGGTGCCGAGCATCGAAGTGACAGGTTTACCAAAAAGCGTAAAAAGCGAACGCAAAAGTGAACCGCAACAAAAAGCGCTACGCGAGGGCGCGAATCCGATTCCCCCGCACACGTGCGCTTGCACCGAACGCCACCCGCCCTCGCACGCGCGAACGGCTAAAACGTCATCGCACACGCGTGAAACGCTCAAGCTAACGCGCGTCGCGTGGAGCGACAGCGCGAATTTTAGACAAACGTCAAAAACCGGGTGTTCCCGGGTTTCGCGCGGAGACCCACACGAGCGCGCCGAGCGACGCGTTTGATCGTCAAGACATGGAGTACGAGGGCGGGAACGGGACGCCGAAAAGGGTCTCATCGGATTCTACCACCGTTCTCGCGAACGAGCGGTCGCGGATCTCGCCATCGCCCTCACCGCCGCCTCGAGAGGTGTGTAGGGACTTTCTCAAGGTAGGACGATTTTCGAAGTTTGAGTCGCGACTCGCAATTTTTGTCTCTTGAGGCTGTACCTACAGGGGCAAACAAGACATTAGCAGCGGCCAGAAATACTGACGGAAGAGACGCACAATCGTCGCACTCGCAGGGCGCGTGTTTTCGCGAAAGCTGTCGTTATGCGCACGACGCGGCGGAGGGAGCAGCGCTGCCAACGCAGACGGCGCAGCCGATTTGTAGGGATTACCAAAACGGACGCTGCTTCAGAGCGTCCTGTCGATTCTATCACGGAACGACCGCAGAACAAGTGACGATGGGCCTTGGAGTCGGTAACAGAATGTTCGCGGGATCGATGGACATGTTCGGCGCCATGGACGACGCGCACGGAAGAACAGCGCAGTTGCACCTCATGAACCGAACCATGAACTTGCCTTTCAACATGATGAATCAAGGCGGGCAAATCGATGCGTCGATGCTTTTTGGTGCCGATACGAATGCAGCTGGTTTACTTGGAGGTCAGCCTACCCTGGAACAAGCGTTGATCATGCAAAATATGTTGGCGTCGAACGGCACCGCGCAGTCGAACAGCGCAGCTGTGTTGAATGCCGTGGCAATGGCCAATGAAATTTTGCGAAGAAACAACGTAACACAGCCGATGCCCGCGAACCCAATGAGTGTTCAACAGTTAGCAGCCGCAGCGGCAACGCTCGCGCAGCAACAGGCGATGGTACAGCAACTCACAAACAGTCAACTTGCTCAAGGGGAAGGGCAAGTGAACTTTGTGGGCAAGGACAGCAACACGCTTGCACCATCGGCCGAAATGGCGTTCTCTACAATGCAATATGTTGATAATGGCATGGTGTCTGAGAATTACAACGCCTCTTGGAGCACGTCCAACATCGCCACTGCCGCGACGAATGCTCAAGGAGTGTCCAAGTCAAATTCAAACGAAGGTAGTGAATTTGCACTTCCTGACAGCATTTATGACTATTTGAATGTGCCGCAATCGTCACAGGGCGGTTCGAACGATAATAACGGGTCGAGCACACCGTATAATACGTTCAGTAGACCTGTTTGGGCACTTGAGAATAACTCTGCGAGGTAGATGTCTCATGGTTCATTGTTGTACCACTAGTTCGCGATGAACGCTTCCGCGAACCATTTTTGATTTTTGATTTCTACGCCACATTGATGTATCTTCGTGCGAGGATACAGCGGTGCACGCCGCGGCATAGCCGATGGAAAGTCACGCACGCGCACTGGTAACGCGATAAATATAGCGCGTGGAGCCAGTACGAGTAGCAGCATCATTTTTTGGGTAACTAAATAACTTCTAAATGCGTCACAAGCCGTCTCCCCGACAACTGAACACGTTCTGCGCGCGCAAAAGGATATATGTGTGTGTGGAGGTCACTTTGTATGGTATTTCGAGGCTAGTTCTCTAAAATAATTGTTGCGTGCGCGAAGTTAAGCCGCGACGATACCGGCTTCGGCGACTTCGGCGCGAGCCGCCGCGACGTCGACTTGGACAGACGGGCCCATGGACGAAGCAATGTACATCGTACGCCAGTAGACACCCTTGGCGCCCACCGGGCGGTTGGCATCAATTGCGGCAACAACCGCCAGGAGGTTGGCCGAGAGATCAGCAGCCGGGAAGCTGAGCTTGCCGAATGGCACGTGCACAATGCCCTGCTTGTCCGCGCGGAACTCAACCTTACCCCCCTTGAACTCGGTGACCGTCGTCGCCACGTCGGTCGTCACCGTACCCGCCTTCGGATTTGGCATCAGGCCCTTCGGTCCGAGCGCGCGACCAAGCTTGGCCACCTTCGGCATCATGTCCGGAGTCGCAACGAGCAAGTCAAAGTCCATCATACCGCCGGCAATCTCGTCAACCAAGTCATCCGCACCCGCAAAATCGGCGCCCGCTTCCTTCGCCTTCATGACGTTGTCGCCTTGACATAAAACGGCAACGCGGACAGTCTTACCGGTACCCTTCGGCAACGCAACGGTCGCGCGCAACTGTTGATCGTTGTACTTCGGGTCGATATTGAGGCGGATGTGCAACTCGGCGGTTTCATCGAACTTGGCTGTCGACGTGCTCTTCATGAGGTCGATTGCCGCAGCCGTACCTTGGGCATCTAAGCGAGATGGCACCGATTTCTTCGCCGCGCGGTATCGCTTGGACTGCTTGGCCTCCTTGGAGGACAAACCGTCCTTGCGCACAGCGCGCGTGGGCGGCGCGGCCGTCTCCTCGAGCTCGGAAAAGTCCAAACCCGCGGCGCGGATCGCTACGCGCGTGAAATCAAATCGTTCATCGTCAGTCGTCAATCTTTATCGTCTCGAACACAGCGTTAGCCCGAACGACGCCACGCTTCAAGGCGCTCCGCGCGTCCCGTCGTCTCCAGGTTTTAGGGTCAGGGTCCGCCGTGCCTCGCGGTGCCCGTCCCCACGCGTCGCCCTCGCGCGAGCGCTCTCTGCGCCCCCTCACGCGCGCATCGTTACGAAACATTCTCAACGTCTCTTTTCGCGGCGCGCCGACGCGCGCTCGCCTCCAGCGCGTCGCACGTCGCGCGCGCTTCCCCCTCGTCGCCGTCACTCGCACGCACCCGTCGTGTGCCGGCGTTCGCTCGCGCGCGGCGTCTTGAACGCCGCGCGCGGCGCGATCGTCTTGGCGGATACCGCGAACATATTTATCCGAGCGAACGTTCGAGCGCACGAGTCCGTCGCGCGTCGGCGCGGCGTCGCTCTGTGCGCGCCGACGCGCGCGACGTCACGGATAAACAGGGCTTGGAGGCCGCCTCGACCGATCACTCGAGTCGTGAACGGTCGAGGTGTCCCTCGATGGACGGAGGGGGACTCCGCGTCGAGTGCTGAGTCGTCGTGTCGCGCGCACGACGGTTCCGGGACGGCGCGCGACCGCAGCGCGCGACGATGCGCGGCGCGATGGCGACCTCCACGGCGCTTCGCGCGCGCGACACCGCGCGCGCGGACGGGCGCGCGGGACGACGACGGACGCGCGCGAGAGCGGCGGCGAGCGAGCGAGCGACCGCGTCGACGCTGGGAGGTGCGAGCACGGACGAGAGAGCGCGGCGGACGCGACGACGCGGACGCGATGACGACCGACGCCGAGGGGCGCGGACTGACGGTGAGCGTGTTTTCTTCCGCGCGATAGGGTCGGGAGATCGACCGACGGCGGTGTGCCTGGGGAAGTTTGACGCGATGCACCGAGGACACTTTGCCCTGGCGGAGGCGGCGGCGGCGCGCGGGGAGGTCGTCTTGGTCTCGTTCGCGGGCATGGCGGAGACTTTGGGGTGGGAATCACGGCTGCCCATCACGGCGCCGAGCGATCGAACGCGAGTGTTGAGAAAGTGGAGCGAGAAGATGGGCGGCACGCCTGTTCGAGAGCACTCGATGGCGTTCAAGGATGTGCGCGAGCTCTCTCCGGACGCCTTCGTGGAAATGCTCGCGCGCATGGGCGTCGGCGCGGTGGTCGCTGGAGAAAACTATAAATTCGGTTACAAGGCTGTAGGGGACTCAGCGGCGCTGAAACAGTTTGGAGAGGCGAACGGCATGACTGTCGATGTCGTGGACCTCGTCCCGGCGAACACTCGCTCGCGGTTGGGGTTGGGCGATCAGGTCAGCAGCTCACGAGTCCGTCGCGCACTGCTCGACGGTAACATTGAGGACGTGAACTGGCTACTCGAGCGAGAACATAGACTGGTTTTGGATGTGCAGGGTGAGAGGATGCAGAACGCGCTTCGAGCCGCCGCAAGCGCCGACTCAGACGACGTCCTCATCTCCCTCGACGCGGCGGAAAATCAACCTCCGAACGATGGCGCGTACACCGCGCGTGTGACTATCGACCCTTCGAGCGACGAAGACGCCGATGTGAACGCGAAGACGGTCGACGTCAAGGTGTCCTATGGAAGGATCGCCATCCCGCGAGACGACCTCGGAAAACTCGTCTTCGCCCGCGAGCGCATCACAGTTGATTTCGTCGAGCGCGTCAGCAAGGTCTACGCCATGGGCGTCTCCGGTCGGTGGGGGTAGCGATATTCAATTTACACGCAACGCGATTCTTTCACCTCTTACGTCCTGGCCCAGAAAAAACGCTTCGTGTCCCTCTCGACCGACACACGTCGCCGCTCTCGATGCCCGACGCGATCGCCGACCCGTCCGCGAGCGCGATCGATGACAACAAGGTCTTTGTCGCCGTGCGCGTTCGTCCCTTGAGCGCGAGTGAGCGCGAGCGATCGAAGAACGCGTGGGATGTCGTCGATGACGAAATCATCGTTCCGAGGGTACGCACGAGACGCTTTCGACGCGACGACGATGGTTTCGTCGACCATTACGCGACGGAAAGACGGATGATTAATTCCGAACGCGCGCGCGGCTTTGTACGCGACAGATCGCCGCTCGCGGGATCGAACTCAGACGCCGCGCGCGCTGGGGGAACCAAAGACTGACGAGAGGACGCGTCGACGCGCAGGACGGATCGAGCGGGACGTATGTATTCGATCGGGCGTTCGGAGACGGAAGCGACAATAAGGCGGTGTACGATGCGACGACGTCGAGGATCGTGGAGAACGTCATGAAGGGGTTTAACGGGACGGTGTTCGCGTACGGGCAGACATCGAGCGGAAAGACGCATACGATGCACGGGACGGCAGACGAGCCGGGTGTGATCCCCCTCGCGGTGCGAGATGTGTTCGATGCGGTGAGACGACAAGGAAGCGATCGAGATTTTTTCATTCGAGTGAGTTATCTGGAGATTTATAACGAAAAGATCATGGACTTGTTTGCGTTTGAGGAGTTATCGAGCGACGGAGACGATGACAGCACATCAAAGTTGTCGATTCGTGAGGGTAAGGACGGGACCTACGTCTCTGGTCTGCGAGAAGAGGTGGTATCGATGCCTTCGCAGGTCATCGCACTCTTGGAGCGAGGGACCAAGCTGAGGCACGTCGGGGCAACGAACATGAACGCGCACTCGTCGCGGTCTCACACAATTTTCCGAATGATCATTGAATCGAAAGCAATCGCCGGTGGGACGGACGGTGCGGGCGTCTTGCAGTCCACGTTGAATTTGGTGGATCTTGCCGGATCGGAGCGTATGTCGAAGACCGGTGCCGAGGGTGAAAGGGCCAAGGAAGGAGCGCACATCAACAAGTCACTCATGACGCTCGGGGTCGTAATTAACAAGCTTTCGGAGGGTGTCGAGTCCAAGGGCGGCCACATCCCGTATCGTGACTCCAAGCTCACTCGTATTTTGCAGCCTGCGTTGGGAGGTAACTCAAAGACCGCTATTGTGTGCGCGATGACGCCCGCTCTGTCACATTGCGAGGAGTCGCACTCGACGTTAAAATTTGCGCAGAGAGCCAAGAGAGTTGTGAACAAAGCAACGGTGAACGAGGTGGCTGCGAATGCGGAGACGAATGCGATGCTGAAGCGTCAACGGAAGGAAATCGCCGTTCTTCGGGCTCGTTTGGCAGAGGAAGGTGCCAAGGTGGACGATGCAGCAATCGAAGCGCTTCGACGCCGTCTCGCTGAGGCTGATCGCGAGAAGAACCTCGTGGCACTCGCACTGGAGGACGCTGAAACGAAGACTAAAGAGCGTGAAGCAAAGATAAAAGAGCTCGAAGCGAAATTAGAAGAGCTCAGTGAACCGCATACCGAGGAGCTAGATCTGAACTCGACCGGACCGACGGGCCAGTCGCTCTCGGCGGTGACGCCTGGAACGCTCCAGGCGCTGCGCGCATTCGAGGCTAAGGTCGTCGCGCTTGAGAAGGATCGAGATGCGATCAAGTTGAAGCTTGAGGACGATTTAGAACGTTCAGAGAAGCGCCGTGAGGAGCTCGAACGCAGCCGTCTCGATGCCATGAGCGAGATCGCTTCACTCAAGGAGGAAATAGCTGAAATCACGACCTCTTTGGTCGATGGTGACGGCGCATCTGGAGATGTTCAGATACTGCTTGCGCAGGCTAAGCGCGCCAGGGAACGCGCTGAAAATGAGCTCACAGGCATGAAGGCTGACTTTTTCGAAGAAAAGTCCCGTCGGGCCGTGGCTGAAGCTGAGGTGAAACGCCTCGGTGACAAGGTCACGATGATACTGGAGGAGAAATCAGAGGCATCGAAAGGCACAAACACTGAAGCGAGCGTCGCACATCTCGCGCTTCGAAAGCAGGTCATCAAGCAGAGTGAGACGATCGCACTGCTCGAGGCTCGTACGAAGGAAGCCGACCAAATGCTCGATGAGGCCATCAGGGTGTACGAGGATGAGGTGGCAAAGAACAAGAGGTTAGTGGAAGAGTTCAAGTCTACCGGTTGCATATACGACGAATCAGAGCGCTCGGCGATCTCTCTACAGGACTCGAAAACTCTCGAAGCTCTGGAGGAACAACGTCGCGCGAATGATGAGTTGTCAAAGAAGTGTGCAATACTCGAGAAGAAGTACGCCGTCGCCAAAGCGGCATTTGCAAAGCTTGAAAAGGACCAAGCGTCGGCGAAACAGTCAGCAGAGGACACCGCCGGCGGAGACAGTCTTAAGCGTGAAAATAAAGATTTGAAGCGTCAAATGCATAAGCTCACGGAAGTGTATTCGCGACTTCGTGAAAAGTTCAATGCGGGCGAGGAGGCATTTGACAAGGCGAAGGGCGCAATGGAACTCAAGTACGATCTCCAAGCGCTCGAACGTAAACGTCAGCTGGAAAAGAAGGCGTTCATGGCAAAAATTCAAGATTTAGAGAGCTCACTCGCGAAAGAACGCCCTGCCACTGGGAAGTTAGGTGACTCGATCACACCAAACTCAAACAAAAAGGCAAGAATAGCGACGGAACCACTGCGCGCTGCTGACGCCAACGTGCCGTGCAAGTCGACGCTGTGACGCGTCGAGTGTATTCATTCATGTTGCACAATATTGTCAACAAATATCATAGCCGAACTAGACGACAAAGCTGTAATACAATCACAGAGACAGAGCCTCTCGAGTCGTCATGGCGTCGGTTGAGGATTACTACAGAAAGGGCGATCTTTTGTTGGTGGTGGTGTTAAATGAACACCATGATTTTGGTTTGCGGGGCTCTTGGCTCCCATTTTTTTTTGTGTTTTTGATCGAAGTTTTAATCCTATGAAGCCTGACGGTTGACCGTTTACTTCTTGGACTTCTTCGGCAAGAGCACGGAGTGAATGTTCGGGAGAACACCACCGGACGCGATCGTGACCGTGCCGAGGAGCTTGGAAAGCTCTTCGTCGTTGCGGATCGCCAATTGGATGTGGCGCGGCACAATGCGCGACTTCTTGTTGTCGCGGGACGCGTTGCCAGCGAGTTCAAGAACTTCAGCGGCGAGGTACTCGAGCACCGCGGCGAGGTACACCGGGGCGCCGGCACCGACGCGGGTGGCGTACTTGCCTTGCTTCAAGTATCGCGCGACACGGCCAACCGGGAATTGGAGGCCCGCCTTGGCGGATCGGCTCATGGCCTTCTTGCCGGTCTTACCCTTTCCTCGTCCAGACATTGTTTAGATTATTCGCGTTATGGAATGACGCAGGTGGCACGCGAACCGCCGTGGTGAACGTGTCTCGGTGAGTTCGCGGTGAGTTCGTTCGGTTGAAATTGAGACTCTTTCATGGATCATGACTCAATAGTGACGTAATTTGACCGTACTTTTTCATACACTCAAATTTGATTGGTTTGCGAATTGTGTGTACCTGGGGTACACTTTCATTGTTGAGTTAGGATTCATACATAACTCGATGTCTCTGAATTTACTCATTTATAGTTCTCTCACGCAATTTGATTCGTTGATGACGAAAAACGAGAGACTATAGATGCGTCACGACTCGTCAAATAAAATTAGCACCGACTCACCGCGAACTCACCGAAATTCGTTGAAACTGGGCCGTTGGCGCGCGTCGATCGTCACAACTTGACACTCGTTAAGCACTACATTCAAAATGGCCGGTAAGAAGCCCGCTCAAAAGAAGCCGTCCGGCGCCAAGAAGGGTGGCCGCAAGTCCAAGACGGAGACCTACAAGATCTACATCTACAAGGTCCTCAAGCAAGTGCACCCGGACACCGGCATCTCCTCCAAGGCCATGTCCATCATGAACTCGTTCATCAACGACATCTTCGAGAAGATCGCGACCGAAGCCGCCAAGCTCGCGCGATACAACAAGAAGCCGACCGTCACCTCCCGTGAAATCCAAACGGCTGTCCGACTCATCCTCCCGGGTGAACTCGCCAAGCACGCCGTCTCTGAAGGCACCAAGGCTGTCACCAAGTTCACCTCCGCGTAAATTTCTTCTCTTGAGAAGAGATCTTACCCCGAACTTGATCAACTTTAGTAAAAAACAAAAAAACCATAGTCTGCGCGCTCGCTCCGAGCTGCGGACTTTAAACATGGTGTTCATTAACACCACCACTACATGAAGATTCCCCTCACCCAGCTACGTTTAAAATTTGAATGGTACTATCGGTAGTCGTGCAAATAGTAGATCGTGCTTGTTTAGCCTAGGCTTCCTAGTGGTACGACAAGTCTAAAGCTATTTCCTCAAGCTATTTGTCCCGTCTTGTCCATCTGGAGACGACAGAACTGTCGAAACGCGTCGAAACCTTCGAGCCCAGCGCCCATGGTTGTGAACTCACTCTCAGCGTGTTCAAACAGGAGTGCATCTGCAGGCGCAGGATCGTCCAAACCCAGACGAACGTATGTGATCTTCATGGCGAGCGTTTGTGAGTCACAAATACGACGAATTTCTCGATCGAGTGGTCCGCCGAACGGCGGTGGGCACGATTCTGCGTCGTGGTAAATGACGACGAGCTCGTCGGCGGAGCGTAAGAAGAGAATCCCACCGTTCGTCTCGCCGAGTGACTCTCGACGAAGGTGAAGTCGACCTCTCGCAAACATCGTCGAGCGCCGATCTATGTGATAAACATCGTCGTTTTCGTTGCCGCCAACGCCGTTCTTCTCGACGAACGCTCTTAAATCCGGATACATCATCCTCGCGCTGTCGTCGGCGTTGAGACGCATCATCCGCAGTCTCGCAAACGTCCGCTCATCAGGGCGTGCTCCGATGGGATAAAAGACCTTGGATGCTAAAAGCCCATATACCAGACGTGGAACGATCTCAGATCCAAGCTCAGGCCAGGACGTGTTCTCACGTTTGGCATTTGCGTCGAACTCTAGAAACCAGTCCACCAGCGCCCGCCTCGCCTCGGTCAAGCCTTCCTCGCACGCCATGAGAGATGTTTGGCGCGCCAGCACGCACATCATCGCGTTGACGTCCACGTGTCGATACACATCTCGCGGGTTTTTGGCGATGTTCGCGCGACACGTGTGGATACGCCGGCGGCGCCGCCGCTGAACGGCGACTATGGCGCCTGTGTGTTCATCAACATCTCGCGTGATGCACGTGTACTCGAACGCCACCTGAATCTTTGGATGACCACGGTTGAGATCTTCCTCAAGACCTGCACTCGTGGAATAATCGAAATCGAAACAAAATGCATCGTTCAATCCACACGAAGCGATGTGGAACAACCCTGAATAGGCCTTGTCGGCGTGCAAAGCACCGTAAGCATTGGCGATTTCTAAATCCGCTGTCGTGCGCACGCGCAAAGTCGCGTTTATCGCCTTCTCGTGTCGAAGCAAGCGATAGACATCGCCCACGATGGGAATTTTCCGAGAGTTTAGATACAGTGAGACATTACCCCCGCTTTTCTCAGCCAGAGGCGCCAGAGTGCTTAAATCCGCGAACTCGTCGCACGTCATGATGACATCCACTTCGACGCCGAGCAATAAGCAACGTTCGCCGACGCTCTCGTAGTAGTCGTGCGCCGGGAACATCAGTGCCTCCGCCTCGCGAGAAGCGAACTCAAAATCCTCCAACGTCGGTTTAGCGGCTGATTCTCGAATCAAGACGTCTGCCACTGATTTGGGAAGTCGACTGATGTCACAGCTTCCAACGCCGCGACTGGGGCCACCTCGAAGAAACGTAAGAATCCTTGCGCTCGATATCAGACCCTCATCAATCGCCTGTTCTACGACCGATAACGTCTCTTCCAGTACTGGACCGAAAATTCGCTCCGATACGCTGTTCTCGTCGCTGACGATGAGAGTTTCAATTGCTTGCTCTATGACGCTCTTGCGATCCGGTGTGAGCTTGGTCAAAACGTCCTCAATCCCCGACACGACGTCTCGAACGGAACGAATGAACCCGTGCTTTCTCGGATTCGGATTGGAGTCGAAGAAAGTCAAGCTCACCCTTTCTGTATGACCGTCACCGCATTCGAGGTCACGGAAACTGATCGCCTCTAAGACTTCGCCTCGAAACGTGACCACGGCGAATCGTGCGTCCTCCCCATCCAGCGCCTCCATCGCGCTCGACAGAGCCAACTTAAGCAACTCACAATACTCTTCGTCTGCTTCGTTCAGATCGACTACGGCCACGACGGCTCGACCGTTTGACATCCGCATTCCGTTTGCTTCATTTCTAACCGCTCGCCGTCGCCAATCGTTCTCCTCCAGCACCTCCGTCTCCGCCGCATCGCCCCCACCGAGCGATATCTCCTCCACAGCGACGTCAAACTCGTATGTCTCGCTTCGTATCTCCGGTAAATCTTGAATCGACGCCAATCCACGGGCGTACCGCTTCCCTCTTGACGCATCTCTCCAAGGCGTGTACGACGCGCACGTCCCGCACGCGAACCCTCTGTGGTCGACGACGCAATACGCGCTCACGTATCCGAAACACGACGTGCACCGAGCGATTCGATCAGGCTTCCGAGCGTCGGTGATGCGCGCGCACGCCGCGTTGGCGGAGAGCGGGCGCACGACGACGGAGAGCGGGACGCCGATCGAGTTCTTTTCGGTCGAGTCTCTCGGTAAAGAAGTGGTACTCCAACGAACGACGTCCGAGCGATCAGACGTCGACGGCGTGGGGACGCGGGCATCGTTGTCATATGTACGCATCTCTCGATTCGCTCGGGTCGTGAGATCAATCGAAGAGGGAGGCGGGAGTCATTCGCGGCGGATTACTTCGCGCGCGTCGCAAAGTGCAGTCGTCGGTGGTTGCCCCGTGGCGCTGGTGCTATTATAACTATGGGTTAGTAGACGCGCTTTGCATTCGTCATCGCTTTGTAGGGGGCTCGCGCACCTTCCAGTTGATGCCGGCGGCGATTTTGGACTCGAAGAAGGTCTCGAGACGGTTGGCGCACTTGAAGTACACCGTGTCCGGGGAGTTGTACAGGCGGCAGTTGTTGAACATCAGGCGGAAATCGGCGCAAAACATCTCTAGCGAGACGTAGTAGTTTCCCGAGGCGACGCGCTCTTGGATGAGTTCCATGTCCAGGGGATCCTTGACGACTTCGTAATAATCCGGAACTTCAATCGGGTTGACCGGACCGCCAAACGGCCACACGTCCGCGTGCGCCTGCACGATGTTCACGATCGCTCGCATGAATTTGTGCATATTTTCCTTCGTCGGCAATCCATCGCCGCATCCAGGGTGGACTAATCGGAACTTTGGCAGGCCGGTGCGCTCCCACTTCGCCTCCTTCAGGCCCTTGATGTGCTTCACGTCGATCGGCGTGTACTTGCCGTCGGCGCTGGGCTTGAAATGGTCCTTCAGGCCGTTATAAACCTTGTGCGCTGTGCTCATCTCTCGCACCTTCGCCTCCACCGCCTTGCGTTGTTCTCGAATCTGGTTCACAAAGTCCACGTACGAGACCTGTCCATCAAGTTGGCACTCCATGATGGTCCCGCCATCGTACTCCTTGATGTACCCATTCCACTTCTCCCGCTCCATCATGATTTCCTTCGTGAAGCCTTGCTTTTGGAAGTATCCGACCGCGTTGTTATCAGCAAACGTGATCAAATGCGTCATGTTCTCTGTTTCCTTGGCGTACTCCTTGATGTGATTCATCAATCGCGTGCCGTATCCCTTGACCTGTTCGTTTGCACTGATGGCGCAAAAAGCGATTTCCCCCATGCGCTGCTTCGGGAACGGCCTGTACGTGATCCCACCGATCACGTTCCCGTTTTTCATGCACAACATTGATTTGTGCCTCGAATCGAACACCAATCGCACGATGTACTCCTTGGGCATGTTCGGCAACTGCTTGCTAAAAATGTTCTTCAGCGCCACCAAGTGTTTTGAGTGGCGCTCAACGCCGTCATTCGTAATAACCTCCCACTTGAGCTCACCGTCTCGCTCTTGCTTCCTCAGGTGTGACTCTCTGGTTGCGTACGCACCTCTCACCGGCGACGTCGGCGACGCGGTTGACGGCTTTGCATCGCTCTCGTACTTCGCCTTGTCTCCTCTTTCTGGCGTCCCGCTCGCGTCTCCGTTTACCCTCTTCCCGGGCGTCTCCTCCCTCACGCGCTTACTGGAGGGCTCGTCCTCCGTCATCGCGTCCATATTCACGCCCTCGTCTCCCTTCTCGCGCACGCCGTCGCCCTTCGCGTCGACGTCGACGCGATCTTCCCTCGTGTGGACCTGATTCGTCTGATTCGTCGTCACCAGCGCCTTTATGAACTTGATGCGCCGGCAACGACGCGTTTATGACGACCAATCGCGCGAATCCTTTCCTCTTCAAGGTCTTCCTCGTCAACGCACGACGAGGGACGTCGCGTCGCGCACTGCGGCGTCGTGTTTGGATCACGCGCGTTTCTCGGGGACACGGGCGTTTGAAGCTCTCGCTAGCGATTCGTTCGTCTGCAGTGCGCGACGCGCGTAGATCACGGGCGCGAACGCGAGAGTACGAGGTAGAATAAAACTCCGTCGACGATATCGACGCGCGTGCGTCGTCGAGGGCGTCCTAGAAAGCGTTCTCGAGGGGTGTTTACGTCGAGCTCGGCGCGCGCGCATCGGCGGTAGTCGACGGATCTCACGCAGTCGAAGCCTGCGCGAGTGCCCTTTCCGTGATCTTGGTCGTGATGACGAACGATAATGATTCTATCCGTCGAGCATCGCACGCGACGGCGTCGTCGTGGCGCGCGTTGAGCCGCGACGTCGTGGAAATTGCGCCCGATTTCAACGCGAGCGGTGAAGACAGTAGTGGGAAGACCCTGTGCGAGCGCTTGCAGGCGACGAGAGAGGAGACGCTTCTCATGGAGGAGCACCCAGAGCTGAAGCGACAGAAGAAGTTGGCGGAGACGAACGATGCAACGAAGGTGTGGGCGCTCAGGGCGGGACAGAGCACGGTGAACGCAACGGCGGCGCCTTTTTTAAAGTGGTGCGAGGAACACTTCCGATACATCGATCGACGCGACGTCGAGGCATTGACGCCTCGAGCGGAGCACTTGATGGAGAACGATGGAGATTATCTCATCGGCGGGTTGGGGAGGCACTACATTCACGGATGGGACGAGGAGGACAAGGAGGAGGCGAAAAAGTCGATGGAACGAAAGCGTCTCGCTGTGTTGAATCGAGAGCAGGCGCCGGCGACGAAGAAGAGGACTCCGTCAAATAATCCGAAATCAAAGGTGGTGGACAAGAAGTACGAGATTACGCGAGTGTCCCCGTTGGAGAAGCCGGAAGAAATCGATGAGTACTGCGGGGTGTGTTTCGACGGAGACTCTTACGACGATAATCAAATTCTTTTTTGCGACAAGTGTGATATTGCGGTGCACCAGGTGTGCTACGGTATTCACAAGATTCCTAATGGAGATTGGAATTGTACCGCTTGTAGAAGTCGTGCGAAGAGGACCTGCTGTTTGTGCAGCGTGAGGGGTGGAGCGTTGAAACCAACAACCGACGGACGCTGGGCTCACCTTTTCTGCGCGCAGTGGATTCCGGAGCTTTTCATCGCCAACATTGAAGCGATGGAACCCATCGATGTTGGTCATCTATTGCAAGACCGTCAGGGCTTGACGTGTTCGATTTGCAAGGAAACGGGCGTCGGCGCTTGTATCCAGTGTGCGTACGGTGCTTGCTCGGTGCCGTTCCATCCCATGTGTGCTTTGAAGGCTGGTGTTCGTATGGAAGTTCGATCCACAGCGAATTCAACGGATTGTGACTACATGTGTTACTGTGAGAAGCACGTGAAAGAAATGGAAAAGAAAGCGCGAAGATGTGCAAACGGTCAGACTTCGACGGCGACGACCCCGGCGCAGACGCCGATGAAAGCGGAGGTGAAGGCTGAGGAGGAAGAGCCTGCCAAGGAAACTGCGCCTTCTCCGGCCAAACCGACGACGCCAAAAGAGGAAGTCAAGCCCACTTCACCTCAGAAAGATGAGCCGATGTCTACACCACGCGCTGAAGTTATCGCTGTTCACCCCATGAGAGAATTGGGCGCGAATGAGATTCGCAAACTGATCTCCAACTTGTTTGACATCTCCACACTGACTGCTTCAGACATTGATGGTGTAGACAAGGCTGATTTCGTGACGTGGCTTCGGGACGACGACGATGCATTGCGCAACAAGGAAAACTCGACGACGACTCCATCGAAAATAATGCCATCGATGAATCCGAACGAGATCGCAGCGCGTGAGTGGCTTGCACGAAGAGCGAAAGTCGAGTTGTTAGCTCCCATCAGATTAGACGGATCCACAGATCAAAAAGTTAGCGATAGTGCCATGGAGGACGTGTCTATTTCTCCCAGCGTGGCGAAGGTTGAGTCAAAGGACGAAGAGACATACTTGTACCCGGCGAACGTGTGTCATCCGATCGAGCAACTCGCGGAGTATACCCGCCTTACGCTTGAAACTGTTCGAGTTCCAGCTATTCCGAAGACTCTCGAAGAAGTCAATCCTGAGCAGTCCGGTCCGAACGGCATTCCGCAAAGCATGCGACCACCGAAATGTCAAGTTTGTGTCATTCGTAAGCAAGGTGTGTGCGGGACGGCGTCTGCTCCCCCGAGATGTCTCAGAAGAAGGGAAAACATGGAGAAGATTCGCCAGGCTGAGCGCGCTGAGATGGAGGCAAAACTTGCCCCGGGTGAACGTCTACCTGATCCAATCGAAAAAGTCAAGGCAGAGTTAGCTCGCATCGAAAAGCAGACGGATTTTCTGAGATTAGCGCCGGACGATGAAGTTGTGGCAGAGATTTATCGAGCTCAAACGGCGTTAGCTCGGACATCGCTCATTAACAGACACTTCATTCAGAGGCTTCTGAGCGAGGTAAAGCAGGCGCTGCCAGAAGAGGGAAAACTTCAAGAGGAACAAGAATTGGCCCTACGGGATACGAGCAAGTACGAAGAGCGTTGGCGCGGTGGTCGATGGCGTATGGAGCGCCTCAAGGCAGAAGGGAAAGAAGAAGAGGCGCAGTTTGACGGCGGCGAGCTCGCTGGTGCAGATATGTGTGATCCACTAGTAGAATCTGGTGCCATGGAGGACGCTCTTTGCTGCGTGTGTGCGGGTGGCGAAAGCGAGTATCCGAACGAAATCGTCTTCTGTGAGCGTTGCGAGATGTGTGTGCACCAACAGTGCTACGGAGTTACAAATATTCCGGAGGGTGAATGGTTGTGCTGGCCATGCCACGAGACGGAGCGACTTGAGCGAGCAAACGGTCTGCCTGGTACTCGGCCTCCTCGTTACATGCGTGAAGCTGGCGATGGAGCGATGTACGACCCGCGCGTACAGTGTATGTTGTGTCCAGTAAAGCGTGGTGCGCTGAGAACCATCGTAAATCCGGCCACGCAGACGCCCATGGCTGGTGAAAGAGCAACCTCGAGTCCGCAAGTGCGCTCTCAGACGGCGGCAAAGACGGCACCCGATGGAAGAGCTGAGGTCGAAGCTGATCCCCCGACACCGAGCACGCCCAAGACGCCCGCTCCGCAGACTCCAAATCGCGGACGTAACCGCTGGTGTCACGTTGTTTGCGCGCATTGGCAGCAAGGTATGGAGACGGACCTTTATCTCGATGGACCGTCGGCCATCACAGGCCTAGAAGAAATCCGAACGCAATTCAGAAACGCACGATGCTCAGCCTGCCGACTTGATGACGGCGCGTGTATTCCGTGTTGTGCGAACGGTTGTCCGGTTGTGTTCCATCCACTCTGTGCGCGACGTTGCGGCTGGCACATGCTGCCGTATCAGTCACCCGAGCCACTGGCGTTCTGCGCGCGGCACAGCGTCCAAGAACGGAACAATCCAGGATCAACTATGCGATCGAAGTACAGCGCCAACGCTAGTGGCGCACGTTTTGGTCAACGCGTTTCGAGCAAACGGAAGCGTACTCCGACGATTGAGGAGATGGAGATGCTCAGGAGAGCGCGAGTCGGTTTGGAGACACTGCGCCTCTTGTGTGATCGCGTGATAAAGCGCGAGAAACTCAAACGCTTAGAGCTCGAGCAGCATCACAAGTTGTGGCTCGCACAAATACGCAGTGATGCGAGCGGCCCCGTGTACAATCTTGGGGATGACACTCAAGCACATGTGAAGATTCCAGACGTTGCGAAGGATAGAAAGTTGATTTTCCTCACTGCCGAGGAGGCCAAGCGATACGAAGAAGACCTCGTGACGCTCTTACCGCCCGACATCAGGCTCATTCAGGCCGCACCCATCGATCCGCCGTTTCGCGAGGAAGAAACGGACGCATAGATCTCTAATACGGACACCAACCATAGCTTTCATTTCTCAATCGTTGTCTCGCCGCCAAACCGTAGTCCTCGGCGTTATTCCTTGGACGCGCCCAGCCCTCAGACGACGACGCACGGACGCCCGCGCGTCGCCCGCCCGACGAATTGTCGGCCTTCACGCACGTATCGCGCGTTCGAGCGCCTCCGCGTCCGTCCCAACGCGCGTTACGATTCGGGCGACGCAGGTCAGACACGACCGACGATCGACCGATCGCGCCTCTCTCTCGTTCGCGTCTCCGTCGTGAACACCGAGCGTCATGGGATGCGGGGCGTCGAAGCAGAGCGCCCCGATAGCAACGGCACCGCACGAGGGCGATCATCCCGCCAGCCCGTCGTCGGACGATGGAGATTACGAATTTTTTGACGCGCGGGACGACGCGCTGTCGCTCCCGAGCTTCATGCGGGCCAAGTCGCTGAATCGGTTGAAGAGCATGGAGGAGGATAGGATGGATCACCCGTCGAAGACGCTTCGAGTATCGTCTATAAATCGGTGGCGAAGCGTGTCGGATAAGATCGGGGATGGAGAGAGCGAAATGAGCAAGTGCGTCGTTCCGCTGTACGAGGGTGGTATGGAGACGTTGGCGGATGAGAACTCAGCGGCGTCGTGGAGCAAGAATCCCGACGGTGTCGGTTTCAAACTTCGAGGCCAGTCGTATAAGAAGGACAAGAAAAAAGTTCCGAGCGAGGCGCCGTTCTACGACGTCAAGGCTGTGCTGGCGTTCAAGAGCGATGAAAAAGTGGGTGACTGGATCAAAAACATCTTTGCAGACGACTTAGGAACGAAGATCAAGGGTGAGGTACCGACGGTGCTGATTATCAACATCATGGTCCCCGACTACAAGCCCACCGGTGGGTACTTCGCGAAGAAGGAGAACCAAGGCCCGGGTCACAATGTCGTTCTGTTGTGCAAAATTAGCGACTTTGCACGAGAGAAGTTCGAGAAAACTGCAAACTGGGATGACCTGCCGGCCGATTACAAGTTGCTGATTCGATACGTCAAGGGTGATGGCACGGGTAAGGTCGATACCTTTCCGCACGAGATGGCAGTTCGCCGACAAACGAAGATGGTTGTCATGGTCGTCACGGGACACCAACACTTGCCTTGGATTGTGCGCCAGGCAGTGAATCACGGGAATGGCAAACCATTCATGGTGAATAGGACTTCGTCTTACATCGAGCGATCGGGGGCTCTTGAAGTTAACGTCGATGCGCATAATTTCAGCAACGTTGCGTTGAATGGACTGCGCACGGTGCACACGTCACTGGGTAAACTGATCCTCGATGTGGGCGCTACGGTTCAAGGGGAAGATGAATCAGAACTACCGGAACGCCTGTTGTTCTCGTGCAGAATCAACTACGCCAAGATAGAACTTATAGAGGCCCACGTAGACATGCTCGAAGAGTATCCGTCGGATCGAGCTTGGCTAAATGCGATCCGCGAGAGATTGACTTAGTCGTAGTGTGTGAACGCGACGTGCGTTGTAATGCAAGAGGGTTAAATCTTCCATATTGACGCTCGAGCGAACGGCAAGGCGTGCGTTTTCATCCAACGTTGTGTTAAAAGTAATGCTTATGCGGGCACTATGTGGTGAATTACTATTGAAAGTCGCCCATCGTAGACATCGGTCTGCGGTTCCACGCATCCGCGCCGGCGCCTTCTCCGAATAGATGAGAGTCCAGGTCAAGACCTGCGGGGCGTTGACCGTTTTCGATGGCATCCAAGCCAGCTCGCAAGTAATCTGATTTTTGTTCCGCATTTTCCAAAAAGTCCCAATCGAAAATAGGAATGGGAAAGACAGCGTAGCCTTCACCCTCCAGCTGGCGTTGCTTGAGTCGGGTTTGTCCAAGAGCACGTTTGCGATCGTTGCGCGCGAAGTGCGAAGGGCCGTCCACTTCGATCACGACACCGTTGGGCTTGGCGTTTGGAAGTAGCAAGTCACATCTGTACCCGCCAACGAGAGCTTCTTCCTCGTACTTCTCGCCCATGTACGACAAAATAGCACCGACATCGCGCTGGAACCATGAGATGACGGGTGGACGAGTCTGAGTGTTCCACGCTTCATCTGCCGCGGCGCCAAGCTCGGCAGGCAACGGCTCGAACCCAGCACTCACGGCAGTGAGGGAAGCTTGATGCAGCTGGTTGAGCTGACGTCCCTTCCAGGGGCCGAAAACGTTCGCGTGATGGTGCTCATCACCGGAGGGATCCTTTTCATGCACGACAGCCGCGTCGTGAACGCCTCTCGCACAAATCTCTGCCCACAGCGTACGAAAGAAAAGGCTATCGAGCGCGTCTTCCATGACGCAGAAAGACCAAGCGAGCGAGGCTAGAATAGTTGCATTGAAGCGGTGGATTTGCGCATCTGCGGCTTCTGCCGGGCTCATCGTCTTGGCTCTCGCTGGTGCGCGAGTGACCCAGATATCCAGCCCCTCCACGAACCCGGTGTGCTTGTGCCCAAGGTGGGCAAACGCCCACGCGACTGTAGTGAGCTGATACGCTTGGAACCCCTTCAAGCCGGTCAAAGCGGCGTGGATGTCGAGCTCGTGGAAGAAACGCTCAGACGCATGCCGAGAGCTCGCGAGAGACCAACATATATCCGCAATTTCGTCCGAAGAGAACTTAACGATCAAATCCGCCGCGCGGTCGCTGAGAACCTCGAGCTCCGCACTGTTCGCGCGTTCCCCCGCGATAACACCAAGTGCCCAGCAAGCTTTGGCAACTTCTTCCGCTGGCAGCATGTCGCTCTTTGCGCGCGCGGCAGACACGCACACGCCAATCATGTGTGCCACTCTCGGGTCTCGTCGCAGTCCAGCGAGCTCCTCGCGGTCGACCCGACTGTTCTGCGCTTTTTGAGCAATAACCTTGAGCATTGAGGCCGCCATTTCCGGGTTGATGCGTCTCAAGCCAGCCTTCTCGAAAACGCTCACCGCATCGTGCGGATACATGACCGTGCGAGCCTCAGCCTTCACAGCCTTCCACTCGTCCGTGGTCATGCTGAACTGCGTAGCATCCTTCGTCGGATCCATCTCCCAGGCCGTCCCTCGCAGGAGTTCGTCCACGCTCGGTTCGGGTTTCTGCCAGTTTCCATCCTCGTCCATCTCGTATCCGCGCACCGCGGCCGTGCGCTGACGATCTTCCTCTCGTCCCGCGCGCGTGTACCTTCGAGACGTCTGCGCCGCTCCGGGCTGCGCCCCTCGCCCCTCCTTTCGAAACTCAGCCGCCCGCTTGTTCGCCGTGGCCCTCGCCTTCTCCATCCAATCGCTCTCACCGCTATCATTAAACTCATCGCTCGCGGTGACGATCGGACTCCCTCGTCGCCTCGGGGAATCTCTCCCGCCCGCTCTACGGGTCCCCTGCGCCCGAGCCGAGCCGATACCGACTGTCCCTCTCGCCAACATCTCTCACCTCCTCAAACTCACTTCTTCGATCGCTTCACGCCTTGCGATAAGAAATCAAACTTTCTCTTAAACTTCGCCGCTTGCCCGGTCACCGCGCTCTTCACCTCCCGTCCCGCGTACGCCGGGTGATTGTGCTCGTCCAGCTGTAAGAACAGCGCGTCTCCGAGTTGTTTCACCGTCGTCCACGTTCTATGCGTCGAGCCGTTCGTGCACACCGTCGTCAGGCGATGAAGTAACGGATGAATCCCTCGTCGTGGCTGTCGAGCGTCCATCGCGCGCGTCCATCGTCAGTCCAGCGCGTTCGCGCGTCGTCACCGTCAAACCCTCATTCACGATCCCTCCCGCGCGTTCGCCCGACCTCGCCCGCGGGGCGTTCGCGTCGCTCGGACGCGCTCGACGCGCCGCGTCGTCTTCACCGCGCGAACGCGCGCGCAGACGCGGACGCGCGCGCGCGACACCCACCATGCACGCGCGTCGAGACGTGTGGACGTCCCGACGCGCCGATGGACGCCGAAAGGCGCGATCGACCGGTGCCGAGGGACGGGCGAAAGGCGCGGTCGACCGGTGCCGAGGGACGCCGAAAGGCGCGGTCGACCGGTGCGCGTCGAGCGACGTCGGATGAGACCATCGCGCGCGCGCGATCGATGGCGACGATGGGCGTCGAGCGCGTCGCGTTCGCGCGCGCGCGTCAGCGTGGAACGGTCGTTCGCGCGCGCGCGGACGAGGGGGGGGGCGGACGACGGGCGCGCGGCACGGTGCGACGAGTCGCGAGGATGGGTCGCGGGCTGACATTCGTGGACGTCGAGTGCGACGACGCGCTGAAGACGCGGGGGGGGCGAGGGACGAGCACGGCGTTCGTGAAGACGTCGGAACGCGTTGGGCGAGGCGTGCGGCCGGGAGCGCGAGTGTCGTTCGCGTGGACGGAGCAGGACGAGGCGGAGCGCGCGACGCGGCGCGACGACCGGGACGGAGCGTACGTCGACGGATCGGAGATCGTGATTCTCGACCCGGCACCGGTGATGAGCGTGGCGAACGTTCGTAAGGAGATGTTGGAGCGCTTTGGTGGGGGGTTGATCGATCCCTCGAGCGTTGGGAGCGCTCGCGGGATGTCGTCGTTTGGGTTGTGCAAGGCAACCTTGAGAGGAGAGCAGTGTCGGGATCCAAACTGCGTTCGAAGACACGACGCGAGCGATGAAGAGCTGCGATTGGCGAGGGAAAGTCGAGAACGAGCGAGAGAGCGCTCACGAAGGGCGATAGAGGCGGAGAGGAGCGATGATGATCCGCACGGTGAGGCAAACAAGGAAGCGAAGTGCGTCAGCGACAGGCTCTTCGCCGAGTGGTGCGTCGAGACGTTCGGATTGAAGACGAGCGAGAAGGATACGCTCGTGGCTGACATTGCCGGTGGGTCCGGAACGCTTTCGTTTGAATTTCACGTCAATAACGGTGTTGGGTGTGTCCTCGTTGAGCCAAGATGTGTGTCGTTGACGCCTCGTCAGCGCGCAACTTGGAACAATTTGCGGCGTCGAGGCGCTCGAGAGGACGCCAAGCCGGCGGCGCGCGAAGCGTGGCTTCGAAGTGAGTTATGGGTAAAGTGCGCTGACGAACAGAACGAGACGAGGATGAAGGAGCACTTCACGCGCTTGACCGCTTACACCGAAATCGCGACGGATGAAGATGTCAACGCAGTGAGCGCCGCGGCGCCGCCCTCTGATCGCTCAGTGCTCGATGCGCATTTTGAGGAGTTTCCGCGAGCCGTTCCAAGAGCCATTGCGGGATGTGATGCCGCCGTGAACGTCGCGCCGTTTACGCATGTTAGGGCAGAGTTCTGGTCTCTCGATTCCTCCGTCGGCGAAAAGCTGAAGCGAATGCGCCCGGATGTCTTGGTCGGTATGCACGCCGATCAAGCCACTGAAGCGATTATTGATGCGGCGCTCGCGTTGAACGTCGGTTTTGCGGTGGTACCGTGCTGCACGTTCCCGGAGCTTTTCCCGCATCGAAGAACGCCGACCGGCGGCCCGGTGTCGAGTTACTCCGATTTCATAGAGTACCTGTGCGCGAAGGATCCGTCCATTCAACGCACGTTCTTACCCTTCAAGGGCCGGAATCAAGTCCTTTTCAGGACCGTAGACTAGATTTATTAGCTCGAGTCTCTAGACTAGCCAAAAAGCCGTCGACGCGCTCGTTTCACTTGAGCGTCACTTCGCGCCGCGCGATCGGCGTCGCGCACACCCACTCGGGATGACCAAGGAGAACCCCACGACGACGAACGGCGCGGAGTCGTACGATCTCGCGGACACACTGGCGCGCGCCACCGCCGAGGCCGACGCGAGCTCGTCCTCGAACGATGATCCTCAAGCGCGCGTCGACGCCGCGTTGGCGTGCCCGTGCGTCGCCGACCTTCGATCGTCGACGTGTGGGAAGTCGTTCGATGCGGCGTTGACGTGTTTCATGCTCGCGGAGGAGCGGGAGCGGGGGAAGAAGTGCGTGGAGGAGTTTGTGTCGCTGCACCAGTGCATGGTTGAAAACGCGAGCGAGTTCGAGGCGTTCGCGAACGAGTTGTTAGAGCATGAGAACGTGCGAGGACCCGCGCGGGCGAAAGATTGAGGGTGCATGAAGGAAGCGCGAGGGCACTGTTGAGGTGTTTAGTGGTGAGGAATATTTGTTGCGGAGTATCGAGTGTCAATATTATCGATAGAATTGTTGGTTTCCTTGTAAGCCTAGAGCGCGCCAGACTTGGTTCGCCACTCGTTGAAGGCGTCAGAACCGCCAGACACTGACTCGCACACGGCAGCGAGGTAGACATCGGCCAAAGATGCGGAACTGCCGACGAGGAAGCCGGACGTAGAGGACGCGAGCGCCTTCTCAATCTTGGCAACAATAGCCTCCACACCGGCGGCGGCGGATTCGATCAAAGCTTCCACGCGGGCTTGTTCGGCGGCACCGGCCGGGTATAAGCCAGCACCGACGCGATTCGATTTGACGATATGGCGGAGGATGGCCAACGGCGCAGAGAGCACGAGGTCACCTTGCGAGAACACGGGCGTTGCGTTGTCCGTCTCAGCCTTGATCTCTTCCGGGCACATCGCCGCCGGTTCAATCTTCACCGCGGCACCAGTGCTCTTGACGATTTGTTGAATCGCCTTGGACACCGCGCATGGACCAGCGTTGACGTAAGCGGTAGGTTCAGCGCCGGCGGTGACATCATAGGACGGGAATAGCGGCGCTGGCGCCGGCGTAACATCGACGAGCTTTCCCTTCTTGTCGAGCTTGCGAACGAACGGAATGAATTCAATCCCGTTCATCCACGGTCGCAAAGCAGGCGGCACAACGAGACCTTCAGGTGTTTGCCAGTTCTCAATCACGCAGCACAAAGTACGCTCAGTCGCGGTGAGCGTGGAGTTGAGTAAGTGCACGTACGCCTTGACCTTCTCCGGTCCCTTCTTTGGCGCGCCTTCGCGGATCTCAAGACGTCTAGATTGGTAATCGAGGCAGTTGGAGCATGAAACCAACTCGCGGAAGGTGCGCGAGGACGGGAACCACGCCTCGAGGTCGAACTTCTTCGCCGCGGCGTCATTCAGCGCGCCACTGACAATGTTCACCACTTGGTAAGGAATGTTAAGCGATTGATAGAACGCCTCGGAGTTGCCGATCATGCGATCCATCTCCTTCCAACTCGCATCGCCTTCGCCAGATACTGCGACAAACTGCTCGACCTTTTCGAACTGATGAACGCGGAAAATACCAAGAGTATCGCGACCGTGCGAACCGACCTCCTTGCGGAAGCACGTGGAGTAACCCGCCAACCGAATTGGAAGCTGGTTCGTGTTCAACCAACGCTTGCGCAGATACGAGCAGCACGTTTGCTCGCTCGTCGCGATCAGGTACTTGTCCTCGCCTTCGCCCGTTACCTTGTAAAGTTGCTCATCGAAATCGGCGAGCTGCGCACACTCCGCCATGCGATCCTGACGCATAAAGAAGGGCGTCGCTAGCGGCGTGTGTCCGCGGCTCGACAAGAACGCAAGCGCGTAGTTGATCAACGCCTGGTTCAGCAGCGCGCCGGCACCCTTGAGGTAGTACCCTCGCCCACCCGCGACTTCGGTTCCTTGCTCGGTGTCCGCGATGTCAAGCATAGCGATCAAGTCCACGTGGTTCGGCAGGTTTTCCTCCATGCGCTTCTCCCCCCACACGCGCTCAACCTTATTGTTATCCTCATTATCATCGATCGGCACGCTGTCGTGCACGATGTTACCGAGCTTGAGCAGCGCCGTCGTCATCTTTGCCTCGGCTTCCTTTTCCCGCTCCGCGCACGCCTTTCGTCTCTCATCGATCTCCTTCACGATTTCCATCAACGGCGCCGCCTCATCCTTCTTCCCAGCCTTCATCAACAGTGCAACCTCCTTGTTCGCCTTATTAAACTCTCCACCGATGCGATCGAGCTCGTGTCTCGCGTCTCGCCACTCCAGGTCGAGCGTCAAGACGTCGTCCACGCCCTCGGGCTTACGGTACCGTCTCCTTTCGCTCTCTCGCACGACATCCTACCCGTGAAGGAGAGGTAAAACACACGTCAGTCGCGCGTTCTCTTCGTCCGTACGCCTTCGAGCGTCGTCGCGTCGCGCGCGCGCGCGCGGCGTCACGATCGCTCGCGCTCGATCGATCCGCCGCCGCGTCCTCATCGGTCGCGAAACCACCGCCTTGACCTCCGCGTCGCGACGTCCGAACGCACCGGGTCGCCCCCCTTATCGGGTCTCAACAGATTCACGTCCAACATCGCGCGCGCGTCGTCGTCGACGGTTTATGGAGCGTCGGGCTCCACGTTGGTGCACCGAAAGGTTTTGTCCCTCAACCACGAAACCGCAGAGCGTCGCGCGGTCGTCCATCATGGGCGTCGCCGAGATCAAAGACTTCATCGTCAGCGAGCTTCGATCGAAGAACCCGGCGATTCGCGAGGCGAACGCCGCGCTCGCGAGATCGGCGGCGCTGTTCTTGGCGAGCGTGTTCGTGTTTAGAAACTTTGGCGACGCGTTCGCGGTGTAGTCGCGCGCTAGTTCTTCGTGTAAACGTCCGAGTCGATGGGTGATGAATCGCGCGAAAACGCGTGCGTTCGAGTCGCCTCGCGTCTCGAGCGCAGTAGGGGGTCGTCGAGACGTTTCGCTCGATCGTACGATGTCGTATCGTCCCTCAACGTTCCTCAATGTTGCGCCGTAGACGACGACGCGCGACTCTCATGACCGCGCGCCCTCGAGCGTGACCGCGCGATGGACGCGCACGACGATGACCGCGCCGTGCACGCCCCGAGCGAGGCGCCGTGCGCGGATGAGAACGATGAGGACCATGAGCAGCTAACTGGTCCGACGTTCGACTTCACCGACGCCCTGAGCGATCTCCTCCCGCCCGAATCTTGGACGCTCGCGACGACGGCGGAGCAAGAGCGCGCGGTGAAGGCTTTGGACGAGACGACGGCCCGGGCGAGAGCGACTATCGAGCGCTTGGATGGTCTCGAGGCGGAGCGCCGAGCGCGCGAGTGCGCCGAGCGCGCGAGAGCCGTGGCGAGCGCGTGCGTTCGAGCGAGCGCGGCGCTCGCGCGAGCGCGAAGGGCGTTAATTAAGGCTGGGATCGTCGACGAGAGCGCGCTCGCGCCGTTCGATCCAGACGCGTAGGTTGTTGTTGTGAAACACAAAATGCCCGCGCGAGAGCGACGCGCGCAGACGCGCGCTGCAGACGTTGACGCGTCGCGGGAGCGCGACCGCGCGGAGCGACGGCGCGCAAAGTTCTTTCTCGCGATCACACAGCGCGTCGCGAACGTCGCGAACGTCGCGAGTGCGCCGCGAACGTCGCGAACGTCGCGAGGACTTTGCCCGAGCGCTCGACGTGTTCGTCGCCATGTCCTCCATCGTCGTCCGTCCACGGCTCACGACGTTCTTGCGAGCGTCTCGAGCGTCTTCCGTGGATGACATCGTGGACGTGGAGGCGGAGCGTGCGCGACGAACGCGCGGATTCGAGGGTGTGACGCGCGGCGGCGGCGAACGCGAGCGCGAGGGACCGTCCGCGCGATTGGCGAGCGTCGTTTTCGGGAACGACGGAAGCGACCGCGATAAGGAGGTTGCGAGCGCGTGTCGAGCGTTCATGAGCGCTGTCCTGCGTGCGCTGGGCGGAGACACGATGACGGAGGACGCGCTCGGCGATGCCGTCGTGGCAGCTTGGGAAGTCTTGCGAGACAACGTGGAGACGCTCGGGCGAGAGCGACGAGATCTTGAGGAACGACAGCCATACGTCGATGATGCGGTGTTCGAGACGGAGCGGAAGCTCTTCGAAGTTCGCGAGCGCGAGTTGCGGAGAGATTTTGGAGAGAAACTGCGAGGCGCGCTCGGACCAATCGAGGCGAGCGCGGCGACGTTACGAGAGTTAGAGCAGCACGTTGAGACGCTCTTAAAGTTCAGGGCGGAACGGATCACTGATTTGGATGATTATATGATCGCGTCGAGTGCAGCGCCATCGACGTCGGGTCGATCATTTGGGCACAACATAAAGCTCAAGTGCCGCGGAGATGTGCAACCAAGTGATCGAGTTCGCGATTTGAAGCGTGCCATGAAGGCCAATCTGGACGAGCTCGACGAAGTGGCAAGGGCGCGAATCAAGTCTGAGAAGATTTCTCACCCGAATGAACTGTTTGGCGAGCCGCAGCGCGAGGAGAGCGACGTGACGACGCAACTGACTTGGTTGAAGAGGCAATGTGAAAATTTCGTTGCAAACGGGGCACACGCTTTAGATCAAAGTTGGGAAGCTGTCGCGAGCGCCGTGGGACGGTCTATCATGAACTCCACGATTTCAGATGATGCATGTGCCGCGGAGCTATACGAATATCTGGGAGATTACGGATTTGAACTCATCGCAGGGGTCGTTGAGCGACGCACTGAGCTAGCGAGCGCCATTAAGAAGCGCGCCCAGATGCTTCGTGAAACGTTGAGTGCGCAGAGCGGCGTCGACGGGCCATCCGTCGCGCGCGTGGTCACGATTAATAGCACATTGGATAAACAGTTAGAAAAGATGCGAAGAAAGGAAGAACGCAAGGCGAATCGCAAACTTGCCTCTGGGGAGAATGTCATGGAATGGTTACAGGCAGTCGGTGTTGGTTTCGACGCGCTGTGCGAAGGAGACTGGGAAAATCAGCAGACGCCTTCGTCAAGTAGTCCTGACGACATTCTCGCTAGTTTACGTGGTCTTGGATCGGGTTTAGGTGGAGGACGTAAAGCGTTACCACCGGGAACGACGCGCATGGTCCACGAACAAGGATACGAAGAGATCAGCGTTCCAGCGCGAGACCCAGGAGCGATCGGCGAAGGGGAGCGATCTGTAGCAATTGAAGAGCTGGATGAGTGGGCACAACCTGCGTTTAAAGGCATACAACTGCTGAACAGAATCCAGAGTAGGATTTTCCCCACGGCATATCACACGAATGAAAATTTACTTGTGTGCGCGCCCACAGGTGCGGGTAAGACAAACATCGCCATGCTCAGCATTTTGCACGAAATAGGTCTTCATATTGATGAGAACGGTGATTACCTTCCGGAGGATTTCAAAATCGTGTATGTGGCACCGATGAAAGCCCTTGCAGCCGAAGTCACGGAAACTTTCGGCAGGCGCCTTGCTCCCTTGGACATCGTCGTCGCCGAGCTCACTGGAGATACTCAGATGAGTAAGCGCGAGCTTGAGACGACACAAATGATCGTGACGACGCCAGAAAAATGGGATGTGATTACAAGAAAAGGAGGAGAGGTTTCTGTGGCGAGCACCTTACGACTTCTCATCATTGACGAGGTACACTTACTAAATGATGAGCGGGGCCCAGTCATTGAGACGCTCGTCGCGCGAACGCTTCGCCAGGTTGAGCAAACTCAGAGCATGATACGAATCGTCGGGTTATCGGCAACGCTACCGAATCCGCTGGATGTCGCGCGCTTTTTAGGCGTGAACAATGACGCCGGTTTGTTCGTTTTCGACCAGTCATACAGACCAATCCCGTTGACACAAAAATTCATTGGCGTCACAGAGAAGAATGCGATGAAGCGCCAAACCTTGATGACACAGATTGCATACAACAAAGCATGCGAGGCGCTGAAGAATGGCAAGCAAGCCATGGTTTTCGTCCATAGTCGGAAAGACACCGTTAAAACCGCTAGGCAACTTGCTGAGTTCGCTGCCGCACAGGGTGGCCTGGAACTCTTCTCAAACGAGCAGAATGAACGCAAGGCTGAGTTTGCTATGCAAGTTTCTCGCAGTCGGAACAATGAGGTGAAGGAATTATTTCTCAAAGGTCTTGGTTGTCACAACGCAGGCATGCTGCGGGCGGATCGTACGTTGACTGAAAAACTTTTTGCTGCTGGCCTCATCAAGGTTCTCGTGTGTACGGCAACGCTTGCGTGGGGTGTAAACTTGCCAGCGCACATGGTCGTTATCAAGGGCACGCAATTATACGACCCACAGCGCGGTGGGTTCCGAAACTTGGGCGTTTTAGACGTGCAGCAAATTTTTGGTCGCGCGGGTCGACCTGGTTTTGACACCTCAGGAGAAGGCGTAATCGTCACCGAGCACAAGAACCTGGCCCATTACATAGCCATGCTGACTCATTCTACCCCGATCGAATCGCAATTCATCAGTAATTTAGCGGACAACTTAAATGCTGAGGTGACTCTCGGCACTGTCACAAACGTACGCGAGGGAGCTCAGTGGCTGGGATACTCATATCTGCACACTCGCATGGAGAAGAACCCACTGGCTTACGGATTGACCTGGGATGACGTCCGACTCGACCCAGGATTATTAGATCATCGGCGTAAGCTCATCAAAGAGGCTGCGAGGACTCTAGATCGAGCGAAGATGATCCGATTCGATGAGCGAAGCGGACAGTTGTACCAGACTGAAGGCGGTCGCACGGCGAGCCATTTTTACATAAGAGTGAGCTCTATGGAAGTGTTCGACAGTCTAATGCACAGACACATGACTTTACCAGAAGTTTTGCATATGATTTCACATTCGAGCGAGTTTGAGAATATCGTACCACGAGAGGATGAAATTCCAGAATTGGAGACGTTACGTCGTGATCGACGCATCATCCCAGTCGAGATCAAAGCCTCGCTCACGGATCGAGTCGGCAAGGTGAATCTGCTGTTACAAGTGTACATATCACGTGCAAATATGCAGTCTTTTTCGCTCATTGCAGACAGCATGTACATTTCGCAAAATGCGAGCAGGATATGTCGAGCACTGTTTGAGCTGTGTTTGAGGCGCGGGTGGCCGTCGCTCGCAGAGCAACTACTTACCGTCAGCAAAGCGTGTGATTTACGCATATGGCCACACCAACACGAGCTTCGACAGTTCGAAAAGACCCTCAAGCCTGAAGTTTTGTATAAGTTGGAAGAGAAAAAGGCGACGCTTGATCGTTTGTGGGATATGAGTGGTGGTGAAATTGGCAGCATGCTGCGGCTTAACGCGCAGATTGGTGGACAAATTAAATCATGCATGCGCGCGATGCCGCATTTGAACATGACTGCGACCGTTCAACCCATCACAAGAACCGTTTTGCGCGTATCTGTCACCCTGATCCCTGAATTTGAGTGGCGCGATCAGCTGCACGGTGCGCTTCAGAGGTGGCTCATTTGGGTGGAAGACCCCGTCAATGAGCACATTTACCACTCTGAAACCTTCAACTTGAGTAAGAAGCAGTGCAGAGATGGGGCGCAATACTTGGCGTTCACGATTCCCATTTTTGAACCGGTGCCCCCGCAGTACTTCTTACGTGCAATATCGGAAAATTGGCTCGGATGTGAGTCATTCGTTGAGCTCAATTTTCAGCATCTCATCTTGCCTGAGGAACATCCGCCGCACACAGAGCTGCTCGATCTTGATCCACTTCCGAGATCTGCGTTGAAAAATCCGGTGTTTGAGTCAATGTACGAGAAGAAATTTACCCACTTCAACGCCATCCAAACACAGGCATTCCACACTCTGTATCACACGGACACGAACGTCCTTCTTGGAGCTCCAACGGGTTCTGGTAAGACAATCTCTGCAGAGTTGGCGATGATGAAAGTCTTCCGAGATTATGCTGGTTCGAAGGTTGTGTACATCGCGCCACTCAAGGCACTTGTGCGCGAGCGAATCAAAGATTGGCGAAAGAATCTTTGTCCCACTCTCGGGTTGCGCATGGTCGAGTTGACTGGAGATTACACTCCGGATCTTCGTGCGCTACTCCAGGCGGACATAATTGTCAGTACCCCTGAAAAGTGGGACGGCATCAGTAGGAACTGGCAGAGCCGCGCATACGTGAAAAAGGTCGCCTTGGTCGTCATAGATGAGATTCACTTATTGGCGAGCGATAGAGGCCCCATTTTAGAGGTGATTGTTTCAAGGATGCGATACATCTCCGCGCGCACGGGCTCGAATGTTCGAATCATCGGCTTATCCACAGCGCTGGCGAATGCGCGTGATCTTGGCGACTGGTTAGGCATCGAGGAGGAGGGCTTGTTCAACTTCCGACCGTCGGTCCGTCCTGTGCCGCTAGAATGTCATATCCAAGGTTTCCCAGGCAAATTTTACTGCCCTCGGATGATGTCTATGAACAAGCCGACGTACGCGGCGATTCGCACCCACAGTCCAACGAAGCCAGCGCTCGTTTTCGTATCAAGTCGACGTCAGACACGTCTCACGGCGCTCGATTTAATCGCGTATGCTGCGGCGGACGAACGTCCCGATGGATTTGTCCACATGAGTAACGAAGAGTTGAGCATCCACTTAAGTAAAGTGAAAGATCCTGCTCTCAAGCACACACTGCAATTTGGTATCGGTTTGCACCACGCAGGCCTGACCCCGGAGGATCGAGAGTTATGTGAAGAGCTCTTCGCACAGTGCAAGATACAGGTGCTAGTGACGACATCAACGCTGGCGTGGGGTGTAAACTTGCCTGCGCACTTGGTTGTGATCAAAGGCACGGAATACTTTGATGGCAAGACGAAACGTTATCAAGATTTCCCGATAACCGACGTACTGCAGATGATGGGTCGAGCTGGAAGACCACAGTTTGATAAATCAGGCTGTTGCGTCATCTTGGTGCACGAACCGAAGAAGACGTTTTACAAGAAGTTTCTCTACGAGCCGTTTCCCGTAGAATCAAGCCTTGCTGAGAATCTATGCGATCATTTCAACGCAGAAATTGTCAGCGGAACGATCAAGACAAAACAAGACGCGGTGGATTATTTAACTTGGACGTACTTTTTCCGGCGCTTGTTGAAAAATCCGACGTACTACAACTTAGACACGATTGAGGCGGACAAAATGAACGAGTACATGAGCGACTTAGTTGAAGGTGCGCTTGAGTTATTAGAGGACGCTCGATGTATCGCGATCGACGACGACGATGATAGTTTGGAGCCTCTTATGCTCGGACGAGTGGCGTCTTATTACTACCTGCAGTATCCCTCAGTGGCACTCTTCGCCTCGAACATTAAGGCAAATAGCTCACTCGAGGACTTGCTTGAAACATTGTGCGGCGTTGCGGAGTACGATGAATTGCCAGTGCGTCACAATGAGGATAGACACAATACCGAGTTGGCGCAGGTCGTCGCCGATGCGGGTGGCTTCCAAGTTGATGTGCGTCTCGCTGAGGACCCGCACGTGAAGACGTCACTGCTGTTCCAGTGTCACTTCCTGCGCCTGCCGCTGCCGGTGAGCGACTACTACACCGACACAAAGAGCGTGCTTGATCAGGCCATTCGTATCCTACAAGCCATGATCGACGTCACCTCCGACGCTGGATGGTTAAGAACGGCCATGAATACCATGAATTTGATGCAGATGATCATGCAAGGCCGCATGATAAGCGAGTCATCTCTCTTGATGCTTCCGCACATCCAGCCCGACCATTTAAAAGGCCTCGAGCGTTGTGGTGTGTCTGGACTATCTCAGCTCATCGATTTGAGCACCAAAAACATTCAAAAGGCTCGAAAAGTACTCTCAGACTGCGGCATCACTGGTAGAAAAATGGAGAAAATTGTTGACTTATGCGTGAGACTTCCAGTCTTGCACGTTGAAGCATCGATTGAAACCGTCAAGGGAGGTGGTGATACGACTGTTCACGTGCAGATTCGAAGAATCGGTAAGAAATGCGGATCGAAGGCTCCAACTTCTTATACACCACGCTTCCCTAAAATCAAAGAGGAAGGTTGGTGGGTTATCGTGGGAGACACTGCGAATAATGAACTCTTAGCGTTGCGACGCATTTCGTTTGGAGATCGAGCGGATGTGAAGCTGAAATGTCCTCCCAGCGCATCACCACGTCCTCGACGTCAAACGTTGGCGGTGTACGTCGTTTCTGATTCGTACATTGGCCTCGATCAGGAAATTCTTATCAATGCGGATGATTTCGTCGAAGTGTCCGACGATGAGGTCGATGACAACGCGGACACGTTTTGGCTTTTGCCGCCGACGCAGACTGAGCCATTCTGGCTGGGAGAGGCGGATGAAAACTCTTTACTGACCTAGAAAAATAGAACTTTTATTTTACACATAGGTAGTGATCAATTCATCGACGCGCTGTCATTCTCGAGGTCATCAATGTCAAAGATATCCTCTTCGATGTGGGCGGACGCAGGCCGATTCTCCAAGAGCGTCGTGATGATTTCCTTGACATCTTTTGCCAGCTCTTCGAAGTCTCGTATGTACCTTCCCGTCGACGCGAACGGTGGTTTATACGCCACATTTGGAGGAGGCTGGTACCAAGCTGATCCTGTCTCGACGAACTCAGCAGCTTGCAGGATAGTTTCCAAGAAGTACGAATCTTGATCGTCGATGAAGAACCTAACCCCTTGCCTCTCGTCGTCCCTGTGCACGTTTCGATTGTCGCTACGAACACCTCTCTTGTACTGCATGTCTTGTTCGTCTGGTTTTGGTTTCGCCAACAACACCATAAGCACCTTGCAAGGATCTCCGCTTTCGCGTTCGAAAGCGTCATCCAAACTCCACGTGCACTCCTCAATGTCAATCGCGTTGAACTCATCATCTTTTTCCTTGCGCTTCGGCTTTTTCCAGAACATGCGCTCCACGTCGAATTCGCCGCCAACTTTGATGCGAATTCCCATAGGTGTGATGTTCACGCCAACATCTTCGGAATCAATCCAAAATGGAAGCTCGAACTCCATGAGAACTTCACTGTTCGACTCCTTCAATTCGTACGGTGGCTTGACGCAGCGAGCGTAATCAGAGTCACCTTCGAAGAGCTTTTTCCACTCCTCACCTATCTTCGCCTTGCGCATTTCGATCATGAGGAAACGTTTATCTTCAGTTTGGAATGTCTGCACCGGATATCGCGCGTCCGTAGATCGGGCGAGCACGCGGTCCACCACCGGGAGCGAATCCTCGGGTTGGACCAAGACGTAGTCTCCGTTAAATTCACAGTGAAGTTCTTTGTCGGCGTATCCAGTGGGAATGTGCACCGCGACGAACACAGAGCGCATGCTTTGCGTCCACATATAGTTTTGCGCAAGTCGAGCGTCGTATCGTTTCTTGTGACGACCATCTGGATGATACATCTCTGCGGCAATTTCCTTGAATGAGCGCAGCGCCTGCAACTCTGAATCAGTTCTATAATTCGGATCCTCACGCTGCGCACGCTCGTAGTCCTCCTTCCGCTTCTCCTCGAGCTGTCGCTGACCCAATTGTTTCGCCATCTTTCCGTCTACTTGCACGACCGGCCAGTGCAAACCGACTTCTCCCTTCCAATGCTGCTTTCGCTCACAGAAGTCACAAAACAGCGCTGTGCACACAAAGCACTCCTTCGTGCTTGGTCTACCGCACACCTCGCAGAGCGTCACCAACTGCGTCGCCGCGCACACGTTCTCCAATCCTAACCGCTCTATGTCGTCCAGAAGTGAATCCTCGCCCCCCGGCGCGCGTTGTGTCACCCCACGAATGTACCGATACTTGTGCTCCTTCTGAAGTGCGTCGTACGTTCGACGCAACTTCGGGTCGATGAGCGTCTCGTACGCCTTACGCACCTTGGCGAACGCCGCCGCGTTGCCCCCTTTGTCCGGGTGAAGCTCCCGTGCCTTCACCGCGAACGCGCGCTTGATCTCGCTCGTCGTCGCTCGCGCGCACACCCCGAGCGCGATGTAATGCGCGTCACCTCGCAGATCATCGATCGAGTCCCACACGTGCGCGCGCGCACCATCGGAGCGTGACATGCGCACTAAAATTCGTTCACGCGCGTCCGCGTTCACTCCAAAGCGCTCGCGCGTCGTCGTGTGCGTCTCGTCGCCCACCGACGCGTCGCTCTGACCGGGCGTTTTTATAGTAACGCCAATCATGCTTTTTTACCAGTCGCGACTCGTCACGAGTCACTTTTCAGTTCGAAATCTGTCGGAGGCACCACACCGTGCACGACGACGCGCGCCAGGGATCGACGCGCGCGGGCGCATCGGTGGACCGAGGGCTCGGGAGAGAGTCGGTGGGGGCTTCACGCGTCGGCGTCGTTCATCGCGTCGGCGCCGACGTCGAGCGCGGCGACACAGCGAGGAAACAATCGGCAACTCGAGTGACCGTTGGCGTCGCTGGAGCGAATTGAAATTCGAACGCGCGAATCGATCGCCGTTCGACCAGCCGTGATGGCGCTCACGGTGCTCAGGAGCGTTGGAAATACCAACGTCGCGCTCGAGCGAGCGAGCGAGGATAGGGAGCGGGCGACGGGGACGCGGGACGCGGGACAACGCGACTCAAAGGAGAGTACGCGAGCTGCGGAAGGGAAAGAGAACGGCGATGTCGACGACGTGTTGAGCGCGCACGCTGAGCGGGCGCTGGACGTGTGCGATGTGAGTGATGGGAACGAGGTCGAGGATACGCGTGAGAGCGAGGCGGACATGAGCTGGGACGAACGGGCGGAGCGCTCGCTCGAGGCGGGTGTCGTCGACGTCGTGGGCGAGTGGTTGAACGACGTGGACGCCATAGCGGCGGAGGCCGATCGCGCGTGCGGGATGAATTTACAGGCTTTGTACGCTCCTCTTCGCGGAGACGAAACGTTAGACCGCTTGAGAGGGGATAAGAGCGCGCTCAAGCGTCGACTCAGGCAATTTGATGTTCGCGTCTTGCACACGACAGGTCGCAAGACGACGCGAGAGGATAAGAGGCATCTCAGGCCTTTGTACGTTCGATTGGCTAAGATCAAGGACCTGATCGCAATCAGAGAGGTGGGGGGATAGAATGAACGCATGCTTTTCAGAAGTCGCACGGTGGCGCGCTATTTCAATACGAGTTCCGTTCTTACTACAAATCATTCTCTTTCGCGAGTTCCCGGAAGTGCGCCGTTTTCAACGTCTAAACCCAGTGGGATCATCACCGCGTTCGCCCCTGTCGTGTCCATCTTCGGTGTCTTCGGGTTTTTCGGCAGGTTTTCGCGAACAATATCGCCGACGTCCCATTCGCTTAGCAACTCGGCGACTGCGTCCGTCTGCTCAATGTACTCCTGCTCCGACATGGGGAAACTCTTCTGTCCCAAGAACTTCCACATGATTTGGAAATAAATCTGCAGTTTATTGAATCGATCTCGCCTCTGGCAGATTCGCACGTCGTAAAGACGACCGTAACGCTTCAGGACCATGTCTCGCAGTTCATCGCCGCTCATCTCCCCTCCCCAGTTCAACCCGTCCGAGGCATCTGCGCTCGCGCTGCCGCCGTCCATTTGAGCCTCGAGCGCGCGTAGGAAGGCGTCGTCATCGTCGTCGTCGTCCACCGGACCTGACGGTCGAGGCGTCGCACGCGCGTTGACGAAACTTCCGTCAAAGCGTCGACAAACGCGTCTAGCGACGACGGCGTTACGGTACGCGCGATCGGAGAGCGCGCGCGTGGCGGACGTGTTCGCTGACGTCGTGGATGTCGTCGTCACGGCGCGCATGATCACTGTAGAATGATCGAGGCGACGCGCCGTGTTATGACGTGACTATCCACTCGTGAGCGCCCTTGCAGTGACGTATTACAACGGCACTCGGTAGGTGAGCGTCACTCGGTAGGCGAGAACGCTGGCTAGAGCTAGGGTGAGGCCGATGAGAATATAACGCTCGGAGAGCTCAATGAGTCGAATAACGCGCAAAGCGGCCGACGATCCGCTGGATTGATTGACGTATGAAGAGCCCGGACGGAAGTGCGCGGCGGGTAAGCCAAGTGTTCCAAAATTCATCCTCTTCGATGTAGCGGCGGCAATGAGCCATGCTTTCGAGATGATGGTCGCAGCAACGCAGGGTGCCGCCTCGTGATGGTCGTGCGACGCAACTACGCCCTTCGCAAACAGCTCAAAACTTCGTGTGGCATTCACAGACACGCCAAGCCCCAGGAGGTGCTTCCATCCAAGGTTCACCAATGCCTCGGGATACGGATGCTCCTCGTCGAACGCGGCGGCGGAATAGTGGCCGATTGCAGCAATGTCGTATTCTGACGCGTTCGGATGGATATGGTCGTATCGATCAATCATATCGGAGTGATCCGGCTTGGCTCTTCGAGACGATAACAAGTAAGCCAGATCGACTTGTGCCTCTGGAGAGTTATGGCAATAAATTATCTCACGAAGCAACCGTGCCGCTAGCTCGTATCTGTCGTCGCCCATGTAGGCATCCGTCTTGTGCAGTAACCAGACGACGTTATTTGAGGCTGATTCGCTTCCAAGAGCCGATATGAGAGCATACCTCACGAGAGCACCCCACGGATTTTTATGGATGATCATCGCCTCAATAGCATCGTTTCGTTCTTTGGCCCAATCGAAGCGCTCTTCGATAAAGACGTGAAAGTAACTCGTCGCCTTGGTGACGTTTCTATCGACCGCTAGCGCCAAGTCATATGCCATCCCGAGCTCGTATGGCGCTCGCCAGTGCCCAAGCTCAGATGCGCGCTCCATGATTTCAAGTCCATACGTCGCATTCATCTCAACACCGTGACCCATGGAGTACATCTGAGCTAAATTGAAGTGTCCGTCGGGATCTTCTAGCTTCGCCGCTTCTTCAAAGTAATACAAAGCCTCTGTGTAATTTTGTTCGCCCATGTACCCATTGTAGGCGAGAACGCCAAGACCATTGTACGCAGAGGCAACTCTACCCAGCGCAATCGCCTTGAGAAACTGTTCTCTCGCAGCGGTGTAATTTTTTTCCGTTCCCATACCGTTCATGTGCATGAATCCCAAGTTGTAGTGCGTCTCTGGCAAACCACCACCTCGTCGATTTGCAGCCTCCAAGAAGTGCTCGTACGCGGCTCGCTCGTTGCGTTCCACGCCCTGATCGCCGACAAGTGCGCGATAACCCAACTGTGCATGAGCATGATTATCACCCCTCGCTGCGGCGTCAACTTCCATCGCCACTTGATCTCTCGCTCTGTTTGCGATACTCTCAGAGATCCAACCCGCATCGCGCTCTCTGTCTCGCAGCCACTCCGCCGTCGTCGGAACCTTCAACTCGTACGTCGATGGTCCTCGCCCAAGTCCAGTCATCGCCACCTCCTTCATGATCTTCACCGCCCGTTCCTCGTCCTTCTCGACGCCGTCGAATCCCTTCCACAATCTATATGCGAACGCCGTGCGCGCCCACTCGTCGCCCATCAAAGCGCTTCGCTCGAGCGCGCTCACGTGCCACGGCTTTTCACCCTCCGCGACGTCTTCGTCCTCAATCACCCCGATCCTACGCAGCGCGCTCAGTGCGTACAGAGCTTCTCTCGCGGCGATCCATCGATCGCGCTCGTCCTCGTCCTCGATCTCTTCGTCCGGCGCCCGCGGATAGCGCCCTTTCGGTCCCATGGAGCCATCGCCTGCGCCCAATCCGCGCGCGCGAAGGCCCTCGAGCGACGGCGCGAGGGACGCGAAGTCTTGAACGCGTGAGAGGGCTTCTTGAGCGTCTCTCCGTGCGCGCGCGAGCGCCACGTCCTCCAGCGCGCGCTCGTGCGCGTCGAGAATCTCGGACGTGTCGGCTGACGAAGAGTCATCCACGACGACGTCGTTCCCGTGGGCGACGCGCGAGGCGAACGAGAGGACGCAGAGGATGACGAAGGTGGGAAGTGGTCGACGACGCATCGCGGAGCCGCGGCGGCGGCGCGCGGCGACGAGACGCACTGTAAGGTGGAGAAGGGAGCGCGAGGAAGGGGAAGAGCGCAAATCTTGCAAGTTTACAAATCTTGAACGAGGCTTCGGGCTTAGTTTTATTCCTCAGCGTTCTGTTCCTCAACGGCGACAGTTTCATCCACCACATCCGCCGTTTCCTCCGTCTCCTCGGCCTGCTCTGGTTCCGGCATGGAGAAGTCGACTTCCGCGAGCGACGCAACCTTCATGTCCGAGGCTTCCTTCTTGGATGAAGCAGCCTTCACCAACCGTGCGCTGACGGAAGTGATAGAACCGGCAAAACCGGTGGCACCTTGAATGAGCTTGAGTCCCGAGCCCGCGAAAGCTCCCGCGTCGTCAAAGAAATCGTATCGTCCCTGGGTGCCGGTGACTCTGGCGGCGGCGGACGCAAAGACACCCATGAACCCAACGAACTGCAGGGACTTCTCGTACTGAATCACACCACACGCCAGAGCGACGAAGCCGAGTAATATAACGGCTCTCTGCGCGTCGTTTGCCTCCTGGTACGTGTCGGTAACCTTCGCTCTGGTCGTACCGACGCTCGTCTTGATCGTCATTGTAGTGGATCGAGCGAACTCCGCAGTTTCCTCCCCGATGACCTCAGCGGCGTTCTTCTCGTACTTGGGACTACGGCGGATCTTCAAACCGGCCGACCTCCACGCTGCAAAGTCGCCCGAGACAGTGAAACATTTGCGCCCACCCATAGCGGTCACCGTTTTCGCGAGCGCAGCCCCGTCCGGACCCATGAAATAAACCTGAGCCCCACGTTTGGTCAACTTTATCACCTTTTCTGCAGCGATCTTAAGCTCCACTTCTCGAGGGTTCCTAGAGTTAGCTCGAGTGCGCGTGTCCAGCTCCTCCACCGGAACGGCTGAACCCTTGTCACGCGCTTTACCTGTCAAGTCCGGCACGCCATCTCGCTTACGAAGCTCCAACGAGCGCGTATCGATAATGAAGGCCTTCTTGTTCTTTGTCAGCTGATCGAGCACCTGTTGCGGTGTCTCCGAGCCAGCGAAGCCACGAATCTTTTCGATAGTCGCACCAACGGCGAACACACCGGCAAAGCCGGCAGCGCCGAGTACGATCGCAATATCGGCGTCATCCTTTGCCGCGTCAACGAGATTGGCGAACTCTTCCGGCAGACTTGCCTTGACAGTCGTGACCGCACCCGTCACGGTGTCGCTCACGGTGGAGTTCACACTAGCCGTCAACGCGTTGTAGGTATCTTGTGCGCCCTTGATGGATCCATCGATTGCCGCCTTGCCTTCGTTCAAAGACTTAGTCACGGTGCCCGCAACGTCGTTGAAAGACTTGCTCGCTGTGCCAGCAGCGTCGTTGAAAGACTTGCTTGCCGCGCCAGCTGCGTCGTTGAAAGACTTGCTTGCCTCGCTCGTTGCACTATTCAACGATTTCGTGTACTCAGACGTCGCGCTGTTGAGTGACTTCGTGTAGCCGCTCAAGTCAACCTCCACCTTTGGAATGTCAACCTTTGGAATGTCAACCTTCGGCACGCTGTACTTGGAGGCATCAAACTTCGGAAGGTCCATCTTCGGCACATCAAATTTGGGGACGTTGACATTCCCGAACGCCTCACCGATTTCCTTCCCGAATTCGCTCACCTCCGTCTCCACCGCCGACGCGTCGACGCCGTTCGTCGTCGCCGCGTCTCGAAGGTTATCCAATCCGTCGCTCAGCGACTCCAATCCCACGTCCGGGACCGCGACATCGGAGAAATCAAACTTTGGCATCTCGACATCCGCGACGTCGGCGATCGCGCGCGCGCCGGCGTCACCCACACCGTCCACGCCGTCGCCCGACGACGCGTTCGCAATCGTCACCCGCGCGCTCTCCCGCGTCGTCGTCATCCGCGTCGTCGTCCTCCATCGTCGCGTCACTCGCACCGTTCGCGCGCTCGTCGACGCGACCGCGTGTGCGGACGCGTGCACGGAAGCGCTCGTCATGTTCGAACGCACGCGCGCGCCCGTCGCGGCGTGGCGCCGTCGTCCCTCGGCGTCGATCGCGGTCGATCGCGATGGTTTTTTATGACATCACACACCCGTGGGGCGCCGCTACGACGCACACACCCGTGGGGCGCCGCGCTCGTCGCGCGCGCCGAGCGTCGCGTCGCTCGACGACGCCCGGCGCGCGCGACGACGGGTTCGGGGCGCGCGAGGTAACGATGCGCGCGTCCGACCGCGAGCGCGCGTCCGGGGCGGGCGCGAGGCGAGGCGCACGCGCGCGAAGGAAACGGGGGGCGAACGTCGTTTTGAGTCCCCTCTCGCGTGTCGTCGCGCTGTGCGCGCTCGCGTGCGTCGGCGTGGACGCTCGGGGAGAACGAACGCGTGGTTTGGAGGGAGTGATGTTACTCGGAGGTGCGTCGACGGGGAGAGAGAGAGACGATGGAAGAGAGACGCGAGGGTTGGATGAACGCGCGAGAGAGCGAAGAGAGACGCGGGCGCGAGAGAGCGACTGACGAGAGACGGTTGATTCACGAATTAAGACGGGAGCGCACCGACGTCGGTGTACGTAGATGGGCCTCAGATGACGGTGGACGCGAGCGCGAGGGCGCCGAGCGGGGTCTCGGTGAGGGGACATGGGAGGTGGGACGCGAGACGTTTGTTTCACGAGGTGGCGGTTTCCGTGAGAGACGCGAGCGGGACGTACACGAGCGCGCAGTGCTCGATGCGGCACGTGTGGACGGTTCCGGTGTTTAATACGACGACAAATGTGACGAAGATGGAATGGAGAAGCGCGCCGGCGTTCACAACGGCGAGGAAGATGGACGCGCAGGGACGGTCGACGACGACGATGACCATTGGTCCGTATGAGAAGGGATACTTGCTCACGCCGAGATGTCGCGTCGGCGGAGGCAAGGGTACGGCGATAAAGTACACGGTGTGGGCAACCAGTCACTTTCAGATGAAACTTTTAGGGCGCCTCGTCGTCGGAGTGGTGTTGTTGGTCGTGGCGCCGCACGTGGCGAACTCGGTGACGTGCTTCTACACAGTGGCAATGACGCTATCGACGCTCGCTCTGGCAATGATCGTCATACACAGATTTGCTCGATCGATTCCGGGCGGGAGAATGGCAAAGCGCACGATAGTACTCGCTGGATTTGCGACGTATCACTTCGTGCCCGCGGAGCAGTGGCAGAGCGTGATGGACATGTACATGCAGGTGTCGATGAAACCCGTGACCATGGTTCTTCACCTGATAAAACGGCGTTACGCCAGTGCTAGCCTAGAGACCATTCTTTCCGAAGATCCATGGGCCCTTTATGGCGCCCTAACCGGTTTTGGATTGATCGTTCTCGGCGCTGGCGTCGGAAGGTGGCTCGTGAAGTCATTCGTCCTGGACACAATGACTGGAGGCGTGGCGGCTCCGGTAAGATCTTTCGTGACAACTTTCATCCGATTCATCGGTTGTGGGTTGATTCAGTTTAGTTCACGGGATGTTTCAAGCGCGACTGCGATGGTCGTGTGCGCGGTGACGTATTGTTTGTACGCTCCAGTCGTGCGAGTGTCCGATCGCATCGTCGACGCCGCTCGCCGCACGGTGCACGGCAGTTCCTCCAACGATGACTACCACGACGAATTCCACCTCCATCGCTTGAGCAATTCGGAATCGGAATCGGATTCTGAGGAGGTAGAGCGAACTCGAGGAGCATTGTACACGTTTGGGCTTCGCCGTCGTCGAAGACCGCTCCCCGAATCCCTCGATCCTGACCCTCGGACGCCGCCGAGGAGAATGGACACGGCGAGAATGGACACGCCCAACCTCGAGCGTCGATATCTCATCCACTACGTCCACCACAACGTCATCCGAGCGCTAAGGTACGTCCCCGGTGTTCAATGGTTTGTACAAAGCACCAGCACGACGGAATCCCACACCAGACGTGGTTCGGATGAATCCGCCGCTGAGACGGAGGTTCCGCCCGTGGGTTCCGCCGCCCGCGCGCACGGACGCTTCCTCACCGAGGAGGAACACGTCGCCACAGGCGCGATCGCCACCGACCAAGCGCTCGAGCATCTCGCGAAATCGCCTGAATTCGCGATTTGGCTCGCCAAAAACGCCCACAGAGTCCGCGTCACCCCTCGATGACCTCCTTTGCCGCCTCTCGATTCAGCCGTGTAATCCAGCGCGGTCCTTGCACCGCTGAAAACGCGATTCTCTCATTCCGTCGCTCTCCCGCACTCTGCGTCGCGCTTGCGTCGTTCGTAACGCCCCATCTCGCTGAATCAAGCGCGAGTGGACATGACGGACGTCACGACGGCGCGCGCTAGGGCGCTCGCCGCGAGTGCGTTGAGGAACGCCGACGTCATGTTCGGCGCCGACAGAGCGCTCGATCGCGGTGGTGGCTCGAATTGGAGAGCTCGGGACGGCTCAGACGGGAGCGCCGAGGCGGCGAGAACGTCCCTGCGGGTGAAAATCGCAAACGAGTACGCGAGTGTGCGAACGCTGGCGCGCGAGAACGAGTTGGCGGGGAGTAAGGGAGAGGATGGAGGGAGAGGGCGGAGCGGACGCGGGTCGGCGGCGGCGGCTGAAGCGCCAGTGAAGGCGGAGCGGAAGCGGAAGAAGGAGCCGAGTGATATCGCGTCGATGATTGATTCAATTGATGAGCAGGACGTGCGGGATGGAGGCGCCGGGGCGGGACCGTCCACGGCGTTGGCGCCGTTCCGAGGCGAGGATGCGAAGAAAAACTTACCGGTGTCCATCTTTGGGCGACACGCGAACGCGAACACCGGTGCAAACATCGCGAAGAGATTGGCGAGCGAGTGGCCCGAGCCGGAGTGGCGAGCGCCTTGGAAGCTCTATCGTGTGATCTCCGGGCATCAAGGCTGGGTGCGCTCGGTCGCGGTGGACCCTGAGAATAAATGGTTTGTCACTGGCAGCGCCGATCGAACCATAAAGGTCTGGGACTTAGCAAGCGGTGGGCTTAAGCTGACGTTGACGGGACACATCGAACAAGTCACTGGTCTCGTTGTGAGCCCTCGGCACCCGTACATGTTTTCGTGCGGCTTGGACAAGAAGGTCAAGTGTTGGGATTTAGAGTACAACAAGGTGATTCGAAACTATCACGGACATCTTTCCGGGGTGTATTCCATCGCGATGCACCCGACTTTGGACCTGTTGTTCACCGGTGGTCGTGACAGCGCGTGCCGGGTGTGGGATATTCGTACCAAACAGCAGGTATACTGCCTCACCGGCCACGACAACACGGTTGGCTCCATCTTGGCGCAGGATGAGAATCCACAGCTCGTCACTGGTTCGTATGACGGCACCATTCGCATGTGGGACTTGGCGATGGGCAAGAGTATCAATACGTTGACGCATCACAAGAAGGGCGTACGCGCCATGGTGATGCATAAGAAAGAGTTCGCTTTTGTCTCCGCCTCGGCAGATAACATAAAAAAGTTTTCGTGCCACGGTGACTTCATGCACAACATGTTGTCTCAACAAAAGGCCATCGTGAACACTTTATCCATGAACGACGACGACGTCATCTTTAGTGGTGGTGATAACGGTAGCATGTGCTTCTGGGATTACAAATCTGGTCACTGCTTTCAGCAAGAGAAGGCTTTGGTTCAGCCAGGCTCTCTCGAGGCAGAGTGCGGGATTTACGCGTCAACCTTCGATCTCACGGGCTCGCGTTTGATTACGTGCGAGGCGGATAAAACCATCAAGATGTGGAAAGAGGACGTGAATGCGACGCCTGAATCAAACCCAATCCTTCCCTTTGAGCCTCCCAAGAACGTGCGTCGGGGCGGTGGATGATAGATCCCGAGACACGGTATAGCGTTGCAAAACAAACTCATCATTAAATTACACAGTTACAGCTCATCGTGGCCGTCATACTTCCGTGCCATGCCCATTTTATGCTGTTCGAACATCTGAATCGTGTCATAATCCGCTCGGAGGAGCTTTGCCAAGCTCTCAACGTCGACGCCCTTCTTATTCGTGATGAAGATGTCGGCCCCTTGCTGCATCAAGCCCCACGCACAGTGCACGTGGTCGCCTCGAATAGCCTTGTGCAGAGGCGTCTCTCCGTCGGCGTCTTGCGCGTTCACATCCGCGCCGGCATCGATGAGAACCTTAGCCATCTCCCACGAGGACTTATGCGCCGCCTCATGGAGCGGAGTCGTCATGTTCCCCACGCTTCGTCGAGCGTTCGGATCGACACCCGGATACTCCAGGAGCGCCTTGACATACGGCACGCAATACTTTTTCCATCCCTGGGAAGCCAGGTGAATCGCTTGATATCCGGCATCGCTCTCCTCAGTCGCGTTTGCGCCGCGCGACATCAAAACTTTCAAGATCGGCACGCTCCCTCGCTGCCCGCACGCGCCCGCGTTGAAGTGAATCGCCTTGCCACCGAGGAGTTTTGCGTTCATGTCCGCCCCCAGATCTATCACCGTCTTCACGTACGTGTCGTTCCCAAGGATCACCGCCTGCTTCAGCGCCGTGAGCCCACTTCGATGCAACGGGGCGTTGATGTCGTGATGATCCGGGAACTTTTCAAACTGCGCCCGCAACTCTTCGTGATCCGCCCGCGCGCCGACGAATAACAAATTCTTTGGCTTTTCAACCTCCGGTTCCGCGGTTTCGCTCGCCTCTTTCGCGGTGTCGTCGTGTTCAGCGTCGGGCTGTCGATCACCCAATCCGTACGTCCGTCGAAGTTCGTGATAGAGCGTCGAGCGACCGAAACCACCCGCTCGAGCGACCGAGCAGAGGGAGCACAGGACGATGACGAGCAAGGATTGGGTGACGACGACGACGCGTCGCGCGTTGCGCCATCTCGACGAGGACGACCGCCGACTCGCAGGTCTCGATGCGTTCGCGCACGTCATCGGCTCCGCGCGTCCGGTGCTCGCGAGAGACGGCGGACGCGACCTGACGATGACGATGATTCCGAAAGAGGTGTTGACTCATCGCCGCGGGGTTATATGCTACATCGAATGCCTAGTCGCGACGGTCGTCGCCTACGCGGCGGCGCGCTCGCGACGAATGAATTTACGCAGCGCGGTGCGACCGCACGCACGGTACTTCTCCACGAGATCTCTGCAAGCGGTAACGTCGGAGACGTTGGCGGAGTAACACGCGCGAACGCTCGAAGCCTCGACCGCGCACGGGGCCTCGTGAGCGCCCTCGAAAGGGTCGCGCTCCACCGCGCTGAGCTCGTCGGCGTAGGCGTTAATTTTATCGATCTCCGAACGCTCGCACTTGAGCAATAAATCCCCCGCACGCGCGCTCGACGTGAGCGCTCCGTCGACGTCTGGATGTCGTCCGCGCACATCCTCCAAAGCCGCGTTCGACTTCCCATCCCCACCCACGTTCGCGTTCGTCAACAAATCGCTCGGCGCGAACGGCATCATCCCACTCGTCCGTCGCGATGCCGTCGTCGCCGTCGTCCCACTCTTCCGCCGTCGCGCCCGTCCGCCCTCATCCGCGTCGCCGTCTTCGCGCGTCCCTCGCCCGCGCGCGCGTTCGAGCTCTCGCACCAAGTGCGCCGTGATCTGCGCGCATCATCGACGTCACGCATCGTCAGTCATCGCTTTCTCTTCACCCATCGCCGAAACCGTCGTCGTCGTCGCCCGCGTCGACGCCCCGTCGCACTCGAACCCGCGCGTCGATGAATCATCCTTCCGTTCGTCGCATCGTTCGCGCACCCTGATCCTCGCCCGCGCCGACCTCGACGACGCCCCGAGGTCGTCCGCGTCGATCGCTCGACTCTGTCGCACGCCCATCGCTCGTCCGTCGACGTGCGTCGCGGCGGCGCGCGCCGCGCGCGCGTCCATCGGTCCATCGGCGCGCCCCGTGTGTGTGCGCATCCATCGGTCCATCGGCGCGCCCCGTGTGTGTGCGCGCGCGGGATACGGTCCACCGATGGATATCTCCTCGGACCCGACGTCCAGACGCCCGGACGCGCGTGAACGATGCCGCGAGGTCGAGCGCGGGAGACGGCGACGACGTGAACGCCGAGCGCGCGGAGGGAGACGGTTCGGGACGATGCTGCGCGGTGATGCGGTGACGCCCGCGCGATGGGTCCGCGGACACGGCGGGCGGTGGACGGAGGGGCGTCGGACGCGGAGGTCACGGATGGTCGCGCCGAAGGCGCGATCGAGGAGCGCGGAGGCGGAGGAGGGCGAGGTGGTGTCCGTGGAGACGTCGGCGTCGAGCGCGAGCGAGGCGAAGGATGATGGAGAGAGGACGAGGAGCGAAGAGACGACGCCAGAGGATGAGCTCTTGAGACGGATCGAGGCGCGACGGGAGGCGATGTTTCGGCGACGCGGTGGACTTCGGACGCGGGAGCGAATGAATGATATCGTGAGTGACGATTTTGACGATTCCGCGGCGCGCTCGGGGGGGAAGGGCGAGCGGGAGGGGTCGGAGACGCCAACAACGTCAGGTCAGCCTGACGAGAGCGCCGTCGAGACAGAGCGAGAGGACGAGCCCACGATCGAGCTCGATGCTTGGAAGAAGAAGCGCGAGGAAACAGGCGTTGGTCGACCGCCTAAATTGCGCAAGCAAGCGACGGAGCTCGTGTTCGTGTTCGAGCGCCCGGGCGAGGGGTGGGGCGAGCAGATTTTGCCAAATATCTCGGCGAAACGGCGCGTCGTGGACACGCGCGCGCCTCAAAAGGCGCTCACCGTGGGCGAAGAGTACTTGATCGAGGAGATAGGTCTAACGCAAGACGATGTGGTCTCTGCAACGAGCGCGGCAGCGGCGTGGCGCACGACGAAGAAGGGTCGAGCTCTTGTCGATAAGCGACGACTTCGATTCGCGCAGAAGAACATTCTGCCCTTCGTGCAGGTCCTCTTCGACCTCGGCGCTGGCAAGGAAGACGTGGCTCTCATCCTGCGACAGTTTCCAATTCTACTATCTCTCGAATGTGACATACGTTGGAATCTGAGCGTGTTCGAGTACGCCGTGCGTCAGAAGACTGAAACCGGAGGCAGAAAGGGACCGATTCGCGCCAAGGACTGGCCGGGGCGGTCACCGAAAAGCTTGAAGGAGAAGGACCAGTACATACGCGCTTGGATAACCGAGCAACGAGATCTGCGGAAGCAAGGTCAGCTTACGCCGGAGCAGATGTACCTACTCGATTACATCGGATTCGACGCCGAGAAATACAAGACAAAGTACGAGACGTCGAGGGCGAAGCGGTGGGACACGTCATTTGAGGAGCTCATCTCATTCCAGATGGCGTCCGGGGAGACAAATCCGCCATACGAACCTGGTATGACCGGTCTCGGCGCTTGGCTAGAAGAGCAGCGCGAGCTTTATCGTCGAGGTGAACTGGATGAGACGAAAGCGAAGCGCCTGCGCGCTCAAGGTGTCGCGTTGGACTCCAATGAAGCGCTTGAGGCGGCAAAGAGGTTGGCGAATACGGGCATTCGCGATGTGACGGTCGAGCCGATCGAAACGACGCTCATGAATACTGAGTTTACTCAATCTGCCATCGAGCTTCGCTCATTCCTCGACGAAAACGGGCCTTTTGCCGAACCACAAATCGGTTCTCCACTCGGAGTTTGGTTGATGAAGACTCGAGTGCGCATTCGAGACGGTAACCTCAGTGAGGAAGATATGAAGGTTTTGGACGAGCTTGACATCAACATCACGTACATTCCTGAGAGTTGGATCTCCATGCTCAACACTTATGCTGATCTCAAGGCTCGACGCTCGAATTTCCTCGGGGTGGACATCTCGAGAGTACAGGCATGGCAAGTGGAACAGGCCGAACTCATGAAACGTAACGATGGATCGTTGTCGCAGGCGCAAATGGACCGCTTCCGAGCAGTCAGTAGATCTACCGGTATATCAGGTTTCGCTTCCAACGCGGCTCGCGCTGTTCGCGAAGAACGAGCTAAGGAGTTTGCTGAATTCGAGGCGCGCGTCGCCGCTCGAAAGGCGAGACTTGAGAAGTTACAGCAGCTCAAGCTCAACTCCATCGATGAAGACGAAGAATAGAATTAGAATTAGCACGTTGTCATAGCAGCGTTTGCGGCTCGCAATCATGTCCGTAGTGTTACAACTCACTCGTAGCTAAACGCCAACGCTCGCCCCGCTTCGCTGCTCGTATTTTGCAAAGCTCGGGTGCTGATGGATTTGCCCCGCGCGCCGCAAAGCGTAGATTTTATACGTCTCCGCCATGGTATAGCCCCCCACGAACACAGGTAATAACTGGACAAGCCAAAATCCATACACGAGTAACGCAGTAGACATGATCATCGACAAACCAATGACGACGATGCTCGCAGCCGAAACGCTTACGCCGCAGATAGCCAGCGTCGATGTCAAGATGCGAGACGCATCCATCGGATAAGCAGGAATCAAAAGATTAAACGCGAACAGATAGACGTTGATCCACAGCGCCTCCCACGCGAGATCCTTGACAAAACCGCTAGTAATCGCGCTGAGCAACAACCAAACGAGACCCATCGGAATGTGCGTGAGCGGTCCCGCCGCGGCCACCCACAAGTCACCCTTCGCGCTGCTCGCATCGAGATTGATGTACGCCAGCCCACCCAGGGGCCAGAGCAAAATGTGTGACACCACTCCACCCACGTTTCTCGTGGCCCAGCAGTGCCCCAACTCGTGCACGAGCACCGTACCGAACAAGACGACGCAATAAAACAAGCTCAGCCCAAAGTGATACAGCCCGTCGAACGACCCCATGGCGATCACGAACGCGACGTAGATTATCAGCAGCGGGGAGATGTGCACGTCGATCCCACTCACGGTGAACGCCTTGGGCGATCTGCTGTACCACGGTTCGTCCGAGGACGAGGTAGCGGACGCGACGAAGGACTGTTCTTGGCGCACCGGTTGACCGATGACTGGGAACGGCACGACGGCGGGACGACTCACTTGGACGTGCGACGGCGCATCTGAGCGCTCGTACGTGTTTATCGGGATCGCATCGCCGGTCGATCGACTCATGGCGACGCTTGGCGACGAACGACGTGAAGTGCCGGAGAGGATGCGGAGAGGCTACAGCTGTCAAATTTTTTCAAGTTCCTAAACGGTAAATCATACGGACGTTGGTATTATACAGACGACAAATACGAGCCTAATACGGACACGCCTTAGGGAGCTTGGTCTTCGCGTTTCGCCCGTTCATGTCAAACTTCTTGTTCGCGCTTCCGCCCATGACCATGAGATCACCTTGGTACTTGCGCAGCGCGCGCTGGGCTCGGCGGTGCACCAAGGAGATTTGAGACGGCATGCTGGGGTAATCTCGCTGCGTCATCCCACCACGACGTCCAGCAGCGTCGCCACTAGCTTGCGCGCCAATGTGCCGAGTGTTGGCGACAACGGAGGCGCGATCGTCGTTCGGGCGATGGCGTTGCTTGTAATAACGGCGGAACTCTCTCGGCCCGATACGCTTTGATTTCCCATCCTTACCGATGATGATAAGCTCAAATCCGTTGTCCGCCAAACGGACGGGTCCGTACGTCAACTCTTCCATCGTAAACGACGATTGTGTGTCCATGTCTTCGTCGCTGCTCTCGGCCTCTTGAGCCGCGCGCTCGATGTTCGCCAACGCCTCCTGCGCCTCGCTCTCGTCCATCTCTTCCCACTCGCCGTCGTACTCGTCCACGTCGTCGTCGTCGTCCATTTCGCTTCGACGTCTAGAAATTTCATCGAGCAACTCCTCCGGAACTTCTTCTCCCCGAGCGATGTACGCGTCCACCTTTGCCAGCGTCTCCTTGTGCGCCTCGGCCCACTTCTCAAAGCGTTGCGCCCTGAGTACGCTCCTCGGAAGCTGATCCTTCCGCTTCAGGTGCCCCGTGCCCGCGACCGCGGTCCCTCCCTCGCTTTGCTTCTTCGTCGCCGCCTCCTGCGCCGCCGCCTGCCGCATCACCCGATCGAACAAATCCTTCCCCACCACCGGCAACCCGGCGACGTTTCGTTTCAAGTTGTACCGGTGCCAATCGCTCTTGTAATGTCGCTTCAGCGCGTCCATGGTGTCGAACACCACCCCCTGCACCGAGTGAACGCGCGCGCATCGACGTCAGTACACCCACCCACCCCCCCGCGTCGTCCACGCGCCCACGGACCGAGTCGGACGCTCGATCCATCGTCTCGCCTCGCGCCACCGCGTCGCTCGCGTCGCTCGCGTCGTTCGCGCGCGTCGTCGTCGTCGTCGTCGACGCACCGGCGCCGTGTGACACGTCAATCCCGCGCCGGTCTCCATCGCCGTCGTCCCGTTCCGCGCGCGCGTCGTCGCGCCGTCGTCCTCGGCGTCGCGGTCGACGCGTCGACGAGTGCCCGCGGCGGCGGCGGCGGCGGGTGCGATGCGATGCTCGGCAGTGTGCGACGACGCGCGCGCACGGCTGAGCGCGAGCGCGCGCGAGAGAGAGGCGCACATCCAAACGCCCAGACCGAGCGCGAGCGCGAGCGCGGACGCGATCGACCGAGGCGGCGACGGAGGCGAGAGCGAGGGACGGGCGCGATGGCGAAGAAACAGCGCGAGGCGAAGGGAAGCGCCGCGGGCGCGGGCGCGGGCGCGTCCTCGGGAAGTAAACCGAGGCACTCGATGAGCACGACGGGACGGACGAACGCGATGAAACCGAACGAGCGCTCGGCGGCGACGGTGCGGCGGTTGGCCATGTATAAGCAACGCGCGGTGAGAGATAAAAAGGGAAAAATTCTCAAGCAAGACTTGCAGAGTAAGGAACTGCCGTCGACGCGGATCATCCCGGACAGGCGATGGTTCGGGAACACGCGGGTGATTGGTCAAAAGCAGCTGGAGGAGTTTCGGGAGGAGATGGCGACGAAGAGCCGGGATGGGTACACGGTGCTCATCAAACAGAAGAACCTGCCGCTGTCGCTACTGAAGGACGAGGAGCGAGGTCGGGCGAGGCGAGTGAATTTATTGAGTCAGAGCTCGTTTGCGGAGACGTTCGGGGCGAATAAGAAGAGGAAGAAGCCCAAGCTCGCGCTCGATAACCTCGAGGCGATGGCGAGCAAGGCGTCGAAGATGGGAGACATTTACTCGGAGGGCGTGGAGACTGGAGCCATCACCGACAGAGATTTGGTGCGCGAGGATGACGGTGTCCGTGCGGAGGCCAAGCAGGCGATGTTCGAGAAGGGACAGTCGAAGCGCATTTGGGGGGAACTGTACAAGGTTGTGGATTCGTCCGACGTCATCATTCAGGTGCTGGACGTCCGCGATCCCATGGGAACGAGATGCTATCATCTTGAGCAGCACCTAAAGAAGGACGCAATGAAGAGGCACAAGCACATGATTCTGCTCCTCAATAAGGTCGACTTGGTTCCCGCTTGGGTAACGAAGCGTTGGCTTCACACTTTGTCTCGCGAGTTCCCCACAATCGCGTTCCACGCGTCGGTGAGTAATCCGTTTGGGAAGGGAGCGGTGCTTTCTCTCCTTCGCCAGTTTAGCCGCCTACGAATGGACAAGCAGAACGTCTCCGTCGGTTTCGTGGGATATCCAAACGTCGGCAAGTCCTCGGTCATCAACGCACTTCGTCAAAAGCGAGTGTGCGTCGCCGCACCGATCCCGGGGGAGACGAAGGTGTGGCAATACGTCAACCTTACAAAGAGAATTTTTCTCATCGATTGTCCGGGCGTTGTTTACCAAGACACCCAGGACACTGACACGGACGCCGTGCTGAAGGGCGTGGTTCGTATCTCTAATCTCGAAGACGCCGCGGAACACATACCAGACGTCGTGGCGCGCGTAAAGGCTGAGTACCTGAGACGCGCATACAAGGTGCCGAGTTGGACCGATCCAGAGGACTTCCTTCGTCAAGTCGCCCGGATGAGTGGTAAACTGCTGAAGGGCGGCGATGAAGACATCAACTCGGTGGCCAAGAGTATTTTGCAAGACTGGCAGCGCGGTCGCATCCCTTGGTTCACGCCCCCGCCGTCTCTTCCAGATGGACCGTCACAAACGATCGTAAATGTGGGAGAAAACGCTTCCACCATTGAAAAGGAAGCGGCGCAAGGTTTTGCCTCCGCCGCCGCGGAAGTGACGATGAAGCAAGTGCATCGACGCATGCCGCAATCGCACGGGTTGTTTGACGACGAAGACAGGCACGACCAGGAGTACGCAACGGAGGATGAAGACGAGCCCGCGTCTGAGGACGAAGGCGATGAAGACGACGGCGACGAAGACGGAAAGGGCACGAAGCGCAGGCGCGGCGATAAATCGGACGATGAAGAATTCGAAGATGAAGACGAGGAGGAGGAGCGCGCCGCGCCGCACGGAGAAGTATCAGAGAGCGAGGAAGTTGACATTCACGAGGAAGGAGCGGACGGCAATGTCGACGCCGAGACGCTCAAAAAGTTTGCGTCGGACGACGAAGACGACGGTGCCTCCGACGAAGACGATAGCGACAGCGATAGCGATGGTTACGGCCCGGGAGGTCTCTCCTTCGATCAAGTTCTAGCCGAGATGAAGGGTGAGGTGACTGAAAAACCGTCGGGCGTCACCGGCGCGAAGAAGAAGCGACCCGCGAGCAAAAAGAGCGCCGACACCTTCGGTGCCTCCGGATCGGGTCCGCGGAAGAAGGAGAAGACCATAACGTTCTCAACAACCGCGACGGCAACGAAGAAGAAGAAGCCGCGTCGTTAACTTTTCGTTGTAATTTTCCACATGGTACCCGTAGACAAGAATGAACTAAATCCGTGGTTGCCGAAATAAGTAACGCACGCCCGTTCGTCTTCCTCGTTTTCAACGCCTTTCGTCGCTTCACTGATCGACGCGCACTGTGGTGCGCGCGTCGTGAAAATACATCAGCCTTCGAGCGCATATTTCTCCAATGTCAATCGAAGCCCACGACGACGACGTCGCGCATAACGTGCGCCCGGACGAAGGCGTTGATGAAAACGATGGATTCAGGTGGAGAAAGTACGGGTGCAAGCTCATCGCTGGGAACATGGTCCCGCACCCGACGGAGAGATCGTACTACAGGTGCAAACACTTCGGATGCCCGGCGAGGAAGCGAGTCGAGGTCGAAAAGGTCACGGGGGCGACGCGGACGGTTTATGAGTTCGAGCACACGTGCAGGGACGGAGAACGCGCGCGCGAAGATAAAAGTGGAACAGAGGCGGGCAGGGAACCGGAAACGGATGCGGATCGCGTGCCGCTGAAGAAGCGGCCGGTGGCGCAGATCGCGGCCGAGAACGATAAGATGCTTCACGCGGCGAAGAAGGTGAAGGGCGTTAGTAAGCCGGTGAAGGGTAAGAGAGGACGACCACCAAGGTTGCCGAATCAGTCTGCTCTCGCAGCGGCGGCGAGCATGTCGCAACTGCGACGAGGTTTAGAAGCTAAGACAGGGTCTGATTCGAGATCGCTCGTACAAACAATACCGGAAGGGATGCGAAGCATCAAACTCTTCGCACGCATACTCTCACCGAATGGCGAGACAACGACTCTGAAGCCGGTTCGCATGATGGTCTCGTCGCAAGCCGAGGTGGAAAAATTGCGCGCGCAGAACGCTCTTCTTCATGCCGAGTTGGAGACTGAACGGGCGCGCGTTTTGGCGACAGAGACAACTTTGAAGTTGATGCGTGCGCACGTTGGTTGTCAGCAACTCAAAGCGCGCCTCAAGCAGTTCGGCGTCAGAAAGGAACCCGGCGCTGAGAGTGGCACGTTGCTCGCGCCGGCTTGAGAGTGAGGGATACGAGTGCGAGTGTTCAAAATAGCGCGTTACTTCGTTTTAATGCACAATCAAAATCTAACGAGGCTGTTGCATCTCGGCGGCGTCTCCGATGAGCGGCAACTTGATTTCCTTGCCGGCGGTGGAACCCACGGCGCCGACGACACAGCAAATATATGTGAACAAGAAGACGCTGTTAAAGAAGATGATCTCCGCCTGCAGACCGGCTCCGCCCGTGGGGCCCGAGCCATCGATCCCTTGGAACGTGCGCGTGAGTAAATCTGGGATGATGAGGATGATGTCCAGTAGGACCGCCTGTTGCGCGTTGAAACGTACGAATCGCTTCATGTTTTGGTTTTGCACGACGCCCAGGTAAGTGCCGAAAAACACGGCGATCTGCAAAAATCCAAGCTTAAACCACAACCCGATAATCGGACTGATGGGCAAGAGCGCTAATCCGAACACCGGGAACTGCAAGAGCAAAAATTTTGAATACTTGAGCGAATCGAGCAGCGGCAGCATGTACACCAGCGCCGCGATGGCGCGCTCGCTGAAATCGTACTCCTCCTCCGGATTCACCAGCTTTTTCGGCTTCTTATCACCACTAAACATCCCCATGGGTTTACCCATCTTCTCTCGCGCGATCCTTCGTTGCGCCGCGGCCAAATCCGCGGCCACGCGCGCGCCCTCCGCCTTTGCCTCGGCGTCCGCCGCCCGTGCCCTCGTCGGCGTCTCCCTCGTCTCCTCTCGCGGCGTTCGCTCGAACTCCCCCAAGAGTTTATCCAGATTTGTCAGCGTGTCATCCCTCTCGCCCTCCGACCGATCGGACGCGAACGTCGCGCACGACGAACGTCGTCGTTCGATCGTCACGCCCATCGTCCGTCCGCGCCCTCGCGCCCGTGTCGACGTTTCCGCTCTCATCCGTGGTCCGTCGACGCGCTTCGCGCGCGCGCGCGAGGGTGGTCCCCGCGCGTGCATCGCGGTCGTCGTCGTCCGCATCTCGCGCGCGGTCGTCGCGCGATGACGTCGCGCGCGCGAGGACGATGAGACGGGGAAAGTCCACGTCGATGCGTGACGTCGTGCAGATTTTATTTCACTCGAGCGGTTGAGGAGTCGCGCGAGCGAAGTCGTCGCTCACATTCCTTGCGATGAGAGGTAGTCCCCAAATTGCTCGACGTGCGCGCTCACCTGCCGCGTCTCGAGATTATCGCCGTGAATGCCGATCACGAACGCGGTCTTGGTCTTGACGACGACGACGCCGTGCTCGCTCCCGCGCTTGCCTCGAACGACGCCGTCTTCGTCGCCGCCGTTGAGAAAGACGTATCGCGAACCACCGATGACTATCCCCTCGCTCGCTCGATCGATCGGATTCGCAAAGAGCGCCATCAAAGCCGTCGCCTCCTCGGCGTTGAACCCGGGAAAGTGTTCGGATTGTCCCCAGACGTTTCCCGCGTGGTCGGCGATGCAGCACGCGCTCAGGGCGCCCGCCGCGGTTCCGTCCGGAGCCGCCACCACGCGCAGCGAATCGATCATGGCCTGCGCGCGCGTGAAACGGATCAAACGCACACTGTCAGTACGCACGCGTCGTCGTCGTCGTCGTCATCGCTCTTCCCAACCCGTCGCCTCGTTCGCGCGCGCGTCCCGTCGCGCCGCGGCTCGCTCCGCGCGCGCGTCGCGCGATCGCGCGTCGTCGTCGTCGTCATCGCGTCGTCGCCTCGCATCGCGCGCGATCAAGGACCACCACCGACGTACATCCCAGCTCGACATGACGCCGTCCGTTCGCTCCGCGTCCCGTCCACGCCCGCGCCCGGCGCCCGGGAGTGCGCCAATGCGCCCACGCCCGTCCTCGGGACGCCCGACGGTCAAGGGCGTGGCCGAATCACCAATTCGTGTGGGCGAACAGTCTACGTGTCGGTACACGTCCTCGGCAACGACACTCTCTCGACGCACACCGCGCGCGCGCGTCGACGGTCGCCTCGAGCGGCGACGTCCGGTCGACGCGCACCGTGCGCGTCGCCGCGACGTCGTCGCGCGCGCGTCTGCGCGCGCGCGACGCGTCGTCGTCCGCCGACGGGACGTTGTTTCTAAACCCTATATCTAAACCCTAGTACCTCGAGTCCATCGACGGTCGGAGACGCCATCATCGGTCGACGCCAGAGGACGATCGGGACCGAGGCTCGCGATCGCGATCGAGACGTGAACGGACGCGTCGGCGCTCGCGCGGGCGTCGAAGGAGTCGTCCGGTCGATCGACGCAAACGGGGGCGAGGCGGATGACGGACGCGCCGTCGCTCGCCCATTCGTTGGGGCGAGTCGCGCTCGGGGTGTTCATCTGGGAGGCGATGTTTCGAGGAGCGAAGAAGGCGTTCGCGGATGGGTTACCGGAGCGAGACGCGAAGGAAAGGGCGTATAAGAAGGCGTTGGCGTCGTACGCGGTGTCGTTCGTGCACGCGATCTTCTTAGCGTGGGCGGGATGGGTCATTGTGTTCAAACTGCGGAACGCGTCGGAAGCCGAGCGGTTATCGCTGTATGCGAACGACGACGAGAGGTTCGTGGGGTTCGTCGAGGTGGTGACGATCGCATTTTTTAGTTATGTTTTGTACGATTTGTTTCACGTCGTGGAGCAGTACCCGAATCTGGGGGGTGTGGACATGCTGGCGCACCACGCGGCTTTTGCCACGGCTTCTTTCCTGGCGTACGCATACGGGGCGTACCCGTACATGTTAGGGTGGTTGTGCACGTGCGAGACGTCGACGCCGATCTTAAACGTGCGATTTTTTGTGAAGTCGTGGCGGGAGATGGATTACACGCTACCATACATCTCGTACATTGCGGAGAAGCTCGGGATGAAGACGCGAGGCGCTGTCGCCGGGAACTGGCTCGAGTACTATGTGAGCGTCGCCTTCTTTTGTGTCTTTGTGGCGGTCCGATTGGTGGGTTACGGCGGCGCGTTCATTGCGCTGAACTTTGACTTGAGGTCAACGGAGGATAACTTCCTCCCGTACTCCGTCCGGGCGACGCTGTACACACTCGTGCTCATGGGACTGTTGCTAAATGTGGTGTGGTCATATAAAATCAACGGCATGGTTCGTCACTTCCGGCGCAAGGTGCTCAAACAGCGAGACGAGGGCGAGGCTCCAATCAGTGACAGCGAAGAAGATCCGGGTGCGACACAAAAGCTTAGCTGAAATGTAGAAGGATCGCGAAATAGACTATTCACTCAAATGCACACTGTAAATCCGAAATATTGTCAAATTGTCCCATTACACGGTCGCTTAGCGTCGGAAGCTACCGAGGAATCCCCCACCACGGCGGCTTTCAGAGCGGTTCCACGGAAGTGCGGACTCGCTCCTCGCGAGTTGCGGTTCTTCTTGTTTCTGTTCCGGTGCGGGTGCTCGTCGCGAGGGTGACTCACGGAACTTACCACCCGGTCCTGCTGGTTGGAAACCAGTCGCAACAATTGTCACCGCGATCTCGCCTCGGTGCTTTTCGTCCACCACGGAACCGAAGATAACGTTCGCGTTGGGGTCGGCGAGCGAAGTCACGACTTCGGAGACCGCGTTGACCTCCATGAGAGTCATATCCGGACCACCAGTGATGTTGAACACGATGCCCATCGCGCGATCGATGGAGTGTTCCACGAGCGGCGCACTCATGGCGGCTCGCGCCGCCTCCTCGGCGCGGTTCTTCCCGCTAGCCACGCCAACACCGAGCATGGCGGTACCACTGTCCTTCATCACCGTCCGAACGTCGGCGAAATCGACGTTCACGAGACCAGGGATGGTAATAATATCGGAGATACCTTGGACGCCTTGACGCAAGACGTCGTCCGCAAGCAAAAACGCCTCTTGCAGCGGTGTACCCTCCTCGACGACGTCGAGCAAACGGTCGTTCGGGATGACGATCAACGTGTCAACGTTCGCTCGCAACGCCTCGATCGCCTCCGTGGCTTGCTGGATACGTCGGCGTCCTTCGAAAGAGAACGGGTACGTCACGACGCCAACGGTGAGGATGCCCTTCGCCTTGGACAGCTTCGCGACGACTGGGGCAGATCCGCTCCCGGTGCCGCCGCCCATACCCGCGGTGATGAACACGAGATCACTTCCCGACACGGCTTGCTCGAGCGCGTCCCTGCTTTCGTTCGCCGCGATCTCTCCGAGTTCCGGGTTCCCGCCGGCGCCCAATCCTCGCGTCACCTGTTCACCGATTTGAAGCTTATTCGGCGCAAGCGAGTTCACGAGCGCTTGAGAATCGGTGTTAACGGTCCAGAATTCGACGCCCTGCGCGATCAACGATCAACGCATCTTTGTCAGTATCGAGATCGCTCGTTCACGTTTCCCGTCGTATTCCGCGACGCGCTCGCGAGCGTCAGGCGCGTTCAAACGCGCTCTTGCTCGCTCATCCACGCACCTGAAGTCCACCCGAGATCATCCGGTTCACCGCGTTGCTACCGCCACCACCGCATCCAAGCACCTTAATCTTTGCGTTCGCGCGCGCGACGACGCTCTCGCGTCTTCCCTCCGTCGTCGTCGCACTCGGTCGTCCGCTCATCCGTCCCGGTCGTCCGCGTCCTCGTTCTCTTCCGACGTCTTCGTGACGCTTCACGCGCGCATCGGACGCCGACGCGCGCGTCACAGCCATCGACGCGTGCATCATCGCCATCGACGCGCGATCGACGCGACGTCGAGTGCGGCGTCGCGCGCGAGCGGTCGAACAAATGCGCGACGCGCTCGAGACGACGCGCGCGCGGTGCCACTGGTGACGCTGGAGACTCCTTGACGGGTTATGACTCGTCAGCGTCGTCGTTGATTTCCCGCCAAAATCGTGCATCCACCACCGAGACGGGCTCGAGCTCGAGCTCGACCGCACGAGAGGACGCCGAGCGCGCGCGAACGGGGTCGAGAGCTCGAGGCGAGATGACGGTCGCGGGGTTAGACGTGCGTACTGCGCGCGACGCGACGCGACGCAACGACGACGACGACGACGACGACGACGACGACGACGAGACGTTGAGGAGGGAGAGGGAGCGCGACAGAGGGAACAACGTTGAACGGAAGCGAGATAAACGCGATCGAGACGACGTCGACGACGCGGGAGACTGACGAGGACGTGTGCGACGATGATTCATAGAGCTCGCGATTACGGGTGAAGATCACGGGGAGATCGTTGCCGCGATGCGCGGACGAAGATCTCGGGTTCGGCACGGTGCGAGAGGCGACGGCGAGCGACGCGCGAACGAGCTCGAACGAGTGAACGCGCGTTCGACGCAAGAGAGTGACTGACGATGGAAATGACGTAAATATCGTAGGTTATTACGGATCATATGTTGAAGGTGGAGTGGTCGGTGGAGCGCGGGTGGAACGCGCCGATGATCATTCCAGCGGGACCAGTGGGTTTGCACCCATTCGCACACGTGTTTCACTACGCCGTGGAGTGCTACGAGGGCATGAAGGCATACGTAGACGCGAACGGAGACGTGCGTCTATTCAGACCGCGCATGAACATGCAGAGATTCCGCACGTCGGCGAAGAGACTATCGCTTCCAGATTTTGATGGAGAGGAACTGCTGAAGTGCATCGAGACCTTGGTGGACATCGACAAGGATTGGATTCCTCGAAAGAGAGGGTTCTCGATGTATCTGCGACCGGTCATATTTTCCACCACCCCGTGGCTCGGCCTGACGCAGTGCGCTGAGGCGATGATTCTCGTCCTGTGTTGCCCGGTTGGACCTTACTTCAAATCTGGCTTCGTGCCAATCAAACTGTCGGTGGACGCCAAGTATATTCGTGCGTGGCCGGGAGGCACTGGGAACGTGAAAGCGGGTGGTAATTACGGTCCGACAGTTATTTCGCAGGCAAATGCCACCGCGGCTGGCGCTTCGCAGTCGCTCTTTGTGTATGACAAGCACGAGTATGTCACCGAGGCGGGAACGATGAACGTCTTCTTTCTCATTCGCAACGAGCGAGGAGTAAAGCAGCTCATCACGCCATCCCTCGAGGACGGTACCATCCTTCCCGGAGTTACACGGCAGAGCGTCATCGAGCTGAGTCAACAGTGGGGCGAGTGTGAGACGATCGAGAGGATGATTCCTTTTGGTGACATCAAGGCGGCGTTTGAGCGCGGCGACGTCCTGGAGATCTTTGGCACGGGCACCGCCGCCGTGATTCAGCCCATCAGCGGCATCGTGTACGAGGGCGTGGAGTACAAGCCAATCACGGAGTTTAACGATAAAGCGCTCCAGGTTCGCTTGACTAATTTTCTGGTCAGCGTCCAATACGGAGACATCGATCATCCGTGGTCGCACGTCGTGCCCAAGTCAACCTGGTCGAAGCGGTAGAGTACGCCTAGTCCCCCTAGAAAAAGAAATTAGCGATCCCTTGTGTGTCATTTGTGTTGTTTTTTTACATCCCACTCCGTCCGTTCTCGCGTCCATCTCGTCGCGTTGCGTCCGTCGCCAGAGCGCGCCAAGGGTCAAATCGAGCTTGGTCGACACTCCGAGAGTCTTCTGGGAACAACGGGACGAGCCTCTTTCGATCTACAGTCTTCACTCTGCGCGCCGCCGACGATTTTTACATCGCTCGTGGACGCGATGGCGACGACGACTTCGCTCCTCGCGCGTCCGCTCTCCATCGCTCCCGCGTATCGCGCGCGTCGTCGCGTGCACGCGGCATCGCGCTCCATCGACCGTTACGACGCGTCGACCAAACAAGTCGTCGTCGCTCGAGCTGGGCCGCGCTCGAGCTCGAGCTCGGAGGTTCGTGCGTCGAAGTATGAGCGCAGTGGCCGAACGCGTTCGATTACGCGCTCGGAGCGGGAAACGGTACGACGACGGGAGAGAACGATCACGCGCGCTTCGTCGAGCGCTGGATTCGCGGGGACGCCACCGAATCGGGCTCCGAACCCGGCGGCGCTCGTGGAGAAGTTCACGTCGGGGATCAAAGACAGACTCGAGAGCGATCCAAACTTTTTGTTCAAGCTGGGCGCGGAGATCGTGATCGACTTTTGCATCACGATGGTGGTGAACCTGTCAGTTCGGGGGAACCCGTCGACGTGGGCACTTGCGGCGACGCTTGCGGTGATGTGTCAGTGTATCACGGCGATAATAAACGACACGCTGCTGGTGTACTTCTTGGCTCCGAGGAAGGGCGAAGTCGGAAAGGCGGAAGAAATCGCGAATGTGTTCGCCAAGGGAGACTACTCACTTGCGCAGCGCTTCGGCTGCTACCTGAAAAAGGGTAAATTTTACGCCACCATCGGTTCCATCTCCATGGTCGTCTCCATGTATTTAGCGTTGGTTTTAGCGGGTAACGCCAGTGGGTTTACACGAGAGGTGTTCTTCCGTTCCATCGCGTGCGGTGCGCTCCACATGGGGATCAGCTCGAACACTCGATACCAGCTCGTGAACGGTATCGAGCGCATGGCTTACGATATCCTTCCCACGAACGTCGCGAAGGCCACCTCAGTGTCCGTGCGCATGGGCAACAACTTCTTAGGAGCGAGACTCTGGATGGTAGTAGCGACGATGACAGGAATTAGTTGACCGCAATACAAGCAAGCTGCTACTCAATCAAACAAGTCAAACGCGTCATTCGAAGCCTTCACGCGTTTGTTTCCCGTTTCGGTACGAAACGTTTCCAGTTCGGTTAAGACTTCTTCTAAAATTGTGCGTTCCGCCTCGACTAATGCGATCGCTAAGCCGACGCGCTTGCTCGAGGTGGAGTCCAACAGTGGCATCTGTGAACAATCGCGATACAACGCCAGTCGGCGTTTGACAGTGTGATCAATGACGTCCACGACTTGCGATGTCATCATGGAAGACGTGCCCGCGTCTTGTGGACTCATTGACTTTGCTACAGTCGTCATCGCCTCCAACGCGTCGGCACGTCTGTTGGTGTGGCGAATTTTCTGAAACATGTCCTCATCGACCACACATGCCCACACGACGGTTATAATATCGTTGGGGATTCCACCATTCCGCACGAACGCAAATGATGCGTCTGGCGCGCACACTCCTGCTTTTCCTATCCATTCAAAGCGTTTGGCTAATTGGCCACCTGATATACCCGTCATTGCCGCCGCCACTCGAATGTTTGTTGTGTTGAGCCGCACCTCATCACCTGGATTGTCCACTTGCGTAAATCCGTACGAGTTCAACAGTTTGGCGTTACCAAGAAATCCGTACGTGTTAAATATCTCATCTCCTTCTCTCACTCCTTCCGTTTTCGTGATTTTGACGCACAACGAGTCGCCCTTCGTCCCAGTGTATGACTCACCGTCGCCGACATTGACGTCGTGTTTGCCAGTTCGATGGTTGAACGCATCCGCTATAGGAACCAGCCCGTTCCTCGACGGCGTCATCGTGAACGCTCGACTACTTACGACCGTTCGAGCGGCATGAAAGTCATCGAAGGAGCACTTAACGCCGTGCTTTTCGAAGACCTTGCTGACCACGCAATCCCACTCTCTCTTCGCCGCCGAAAGCTCGTCACGCATGGACTGTTCAATCTCTGTTCCAGCCAAGAGCTCTCGCTCGGCGTCGTCCCACATCGACACCACGTTCTTCTCGCATCGCGGTAAAACTTTGTCGTACGGCGCAAACGTCGACGCATCTCCCAGATGTCGCTCGACGCACAACGCGCACGCGAGCGCGCACAACCAACTCGCATCCGTCTTCATCCGTGTCAGCGCCTCACCGACGTCTCGCGCCACGTCCGGCATCCCACACGTCTCCGGTGTCAGGCACGCATCGAACGGGATTCGCGCGATCGTCCTCGACGTCGACAGCCCGACCCGCGCGCGCACGCCTCGATTCTCGTCAACCGTGTTCGCTCGCTCGCCGCTCGACGTTGTCGCGAATGTGAACTCCAACGCGTCCTCGTCCACGTCGATCGCGCGCGATCGACACCACGCGAGGAACGCGAGGAAGTTACCGTCCAGTTCCGGCGCGTCGGCCGCGCCCGAGCCCATCGAGCGCGACGACGAGCGGTATCGTCGAGCGCGACGAGCGAAAAAGTGCGCGTCACTGTCGCGCGTGCACCGCACCGCGTCACGCGCGATGGCGTCGCCGGTCGACGCGTACGGACGGCCGATCGCGACGCCGCGAGCGTTCGATGCCACCCCGTACGTGTGTTACGACGAGGACGGCAATCGCGGGCGTCGGGATACCGTGGCGTCGCTGTTCGGATGTTTAGGTGACGTCGCGCCCGCTCGGTTGAAACTCACCAATGGCGTGTTGCGACGAATGAACGTCGGTCTCGAGCGCGCGTCGTGCTTTGGAATCGGGAGCGGGATATGCGCGTCGACGATGTCGACGACGATGCCTCGAGACCTCGAGGGAGCGATCTCGAAAGAGGAGTGGAGAGAGATTTTTGTGGATGGTTTAGCTGACGTGAGTGCGACGACCTTCTCGAGAGGTTCCTGCGCGCCGTCGACGACGTACATATGCGGAATCATGCTCACGGCGCTTATATGCTTACCATACTTTTCTTCGCGGAGTGCGTCCATGTGGAGAACGTACGACCAGGCGCTTAGGGAGTGGACCGAGCGAGCGAACGCTCGGTTGCGTCCGCGAGGCATGCGAGTGAAACCGCAGAGCAACTGTTGGGTGTGGAGAAATCCCGGGGGCGGGGGCAAACAAAGGTACATAGAGTGTTGGATCTCGATCGCTTTGGACGAGGAGGAATCCGCCGAACTCGACGCGGAGCCGCACTTATTCGGGGACATCGCCGATTACTCGTGGTACGGCGGACCGCGAGAGATTGATTTCATCACTCACCCCACATTCTAACTATTCTTCGCGTCATTTTGTATTTCTTTCTCAGTATTTCATCACCATCCTTCGCTTCGCATTAACTACAAGTACACTTCGCCTCAACGTATGATCTATCGCTCGGATTACGCGCGCCACAGCGACTTGGCCGTCCGCGTGATCCCCTCGCCCTGCGCGTTCAGTCTGAACAACCCGATCGCCGTCGCCGCCGTGAGCGCCAACGTCGCCGCGCGCGTCGCTCCTCTCGCACTCTTCGGGACGTAATCGGAGATTATAAAGTTCAACGCGATGTGCGAGTGCACCGGCAGCGCCACGCCGAGCGCGAGGTCGATCGGCGCGCTCCCACCCTCGATCGCCATCGCCGTGGGCGTCAACGCGGCGAGCGCGATGGATGAGCCGTGGTAGATCTTCATCATCGCTCGCCCGCGATCGGCGGCGAGGACGGCGGACATGACGACCGTACGGACGAACGAACGAACGAACGAACGAACGAACGGGCGTCGACGCGGGATGACGAACGCGCGCGGTGCGGTGGACCGGGTCGGTCGGTACGAGCGCTCCACGGGTCTGTGTGTGCGTGCCCACGCGCGCGACGGTCGAGTTTGAAAATTGACAAAAATGTGTCACCGACCGCACCGAGGACCGCGCGGCGACGGTCGAGCGTCCACGGTCGAGGGCGAGGAGAGGAGAGGACATGGGAATCAAAGGTTTGACCGCGTTGCTCTCGGAGAACGCCCCCGGGGCGATGCGAGAGCAAAAATTCACCAGTTATCTCGACCGACGCGTCGCCATCGACGCCTCGATGCACATCTATCAATTCATGATCGCCGTCGGACGCACGGGCGAGCAGACGCTGACGAACGAGGCGGGAGAGGTGACGTCACACTTACAGGGGATGTTGATGCGCACGTCGAGGATGCTCGAGGCGGGGATCAAACCCGTGTACGTGTTCGACGGGAAGCCACCGACGATGAAGGGAGGAGAGCTGGCGAAACGCAAGGACAAGAGGGAGGAAGCCGAAGCGGCGCTCAAAGCGGCGAGAGAGGCGGGTAACCAGGAAGAGGTGGAGAAATTATCCAAGAGAACGGTGCGAGTGAGCAAAGAACAGAGCATGGAGGTCATGAAGCTCGCGCAACTTTTGGGGATTCCCGCGTTTGAGGCGCCGTGCGAAGCCGAGGCGACGTGCGCCGCGATGTGCAAAGCTGGATTGGTCTGGGCCGTGGGCACGGAGGACATGGACACCTTGACGTTCGCCGCGCCGAGAGTGGCAAGAAATTTGATGGCGCCGAAATCCGCCGAGAAACCTGTGCTCGAATTCGACTACGAAAAGACCATCGCCGGACTCGGGCTCACCGCGGACCAGTTCATTGACTTGTGCATCTTGTGCGGATGCGACTATACCGATACCATTCGAGGCGTCGGTCCGAAGACTGCTTTGAAACTCATCAAAGAACATGGCTCGATTGAGAAAATCTTGGAGGCGATTGATACTGAGAAGTATCCCCCTCCGAAGGATTGGGAGTTTGCCGGGGCGCGAGAACTGTTCAAAAATCCCGAAGTGATGGATGTGAGCGGGATCAACCTCTCTTGGAAGGCGCCAGATGAGGAAGGACTCGTCGAATTTTTGGTCAAGGAGAAACAATTCCAGGAGGATCGCGTGAGAGGTGTGTGCGCGAGGATCAGAAAGGCCCGGCAGGGCGCCGCGTCGCAGAACCGTTTGGAAAGCTTCTTCGGACCGCCAAAGATCATTTCCAGCACTATCGGCAAGCGGAAGGTTGAAGAAACCAAGAGCGGTAAGGGCAGCAAGGCTGGATTAAACAAGAAATCCAAGGGTGTGAGCGGTTACAAATCCAAGAAGACTTAGACGATGGTGAAATGATGAAACATTGTTGCTACTTGATAAGGTGCCTGACGCAACGTGCCCGAAGAACACTTCAGTGCTAACCTCACATATTCACGACAAATGCCCTCCGCGCTCGACGTTCGCACCGTGACGATTGCGTCGACGTCGACGTCCTCGATCGATCGATCGTGCTCAGTTCGCTCCGTGTGCGCGCCGGGGCTCGGAAGAGTCGCAGTGACGTCCGCTTTTGCGTTTTTCGTCGCCCTGACGCCCTCCGTCGCCGTCGCCGCACCGCCGCCACCGCCGTATTCGGGCGTCGATCCAGGGCAATCGGCGTTCATCAAGGGCTTGGTAGAGAAGTCCCAGCGCGATAAGGCGGCGCTGGATGAAGAACGGCTTAACAACTTCTACAAGAGGGACTACGCAATAAACAAGCTCCTGGGCGCTGAGGTGTTGGCGGAACCGTGCGATCCGAGAGATCCTGAGTTTGGATGGCAGTGTCGACCAACGCTCCCGCGGCTTCCCCAGGATCGGCTCTCGGAGTTCGACGAACCCGAGAGAGCGAAGACGGGATTCGGGCTCGTTCGTAGCGCAGGAGAGGTGGACGCTGCCGCAGATGCCTTGGTCACTCAAGAGATGGAGATCAAATAGCGCAATAGATTTGCTACAACTATACAAACGATTCAGCAGACTCAATACGTGATCGGTCCGTTTAAGCTGCCCGTCGCAAACTGCCGGACAATCGGCTCGCTCGTTTCATCAAATTCCTGCACCGAGCCCTGCCATGCAACTTTACCCTCATGCAGGAATACGAGCCGATCGACCGATCGTCGAATCGTGCTGTGTTGATGCGTCACCACGATATAACTCGAGACCCCACCGTGCTCGCTACACGAGTCACTCTTACAGTGGAGCGCGCGCATTAAGTCTTCAACCACCGTGCTTGCCACGGGATCCAGCCCGGCCGTCGGTTCGTCGTACATCACCACCTCTTCGACGGCGTTCTCCTCATTTTCATTTTCCTTGATGATAGCGCGCGCCAGCGCTGCGCGCTTCTTCATACCCCCGGAGAGCTGCGCCGGATACTTATCCTCACAGCCTTGCAATCCCACCGCGGCCAGACTCTTTCTCACCGCCTTCTCAATTTTCTTCTTCGGCAGCGAACTGTGCTCGTAGAGTTTAAATCCAACATTTTCACCGACGGTCAACGAATCGAACAGAGCCGCAGACTGAAACACCATCCCAACGTGCAAACCCGGGTTCGCCTCATCGCTCGCGAGCCCGAGGCGCTTCTTTCCTCGAATATACACCTCCCCTTCGTCGGGAATGAGTAAACCCGCCATGATTCGCAAGATCGTAGACTTTCCAGTCCCACTCGGGCCGATGATTCCCACCGCTTCGCCTCTGCGAATCTTAAAGCTCGCACCGTCGAGCACGACCTTGGACCCAAATGCCTTCTTCACCCCTCGGAGCTCGATGAGGACCTCGCTCGGGTCCTCTTCCCCGGAGAAACCCCTTGGAGCGGCTTCGTCGGCGTCCACATCGTGCGACGATCCGTCCACGACGGCTCTTGTCTGACCGACGACGCGTCCGCGCGAAGGGGCGAACGATCGCCTCGGGTGACGTTTACGAGACGACGACGACGACGACGACGACGACGACGACGACGCGCGCGCACACGTTCGCGAGACGGCGGGCGATTGGGCGAGCGTGAGCGACATCGGTGATTGAGCCCTCGACTTTGCGCGTCGCCTCGAAGAGACGTCGACGAGTGTGGGTCGCGACGTGGATTCGAGTGACAACTCTGCAAGAGAGGCGAATAACGCATTGATTCTCCAAAGCGTGTTGTTTTATGACAAACCGTGTAAGAGAACGCCTAGGAGTACTATGATCGATCGAATATTGAGCGTCGTGACGAGCATCACGCCGGAACGACGGCTTGGTCGCCTCGGCAGTTCGTGAAGGAATCCGCCTCCCTGCCGGCCTTCTCAAGAGCCGTCTGCCTTGGAGTTGGCTCGCGGACTTCACTGGTAGCATAACGGTGGTAAAGCAAATTTGCCACCGAACGATCGATGTAGCTATCATCCGGATTGACCTCGGCGTCGTCGGACCTTTCTGCTTGACGGACAGCGGATTGCTTCAGACGAAGTAGGCTGCTTCTGATGTTGTCTCGAGTTTTGCTCGGTATCAGATTCGCAATCTTCCTGAGCATCGATATCACGTCCGCATCATCCTGACGAGGTGACGATGAGGGATATTGCTCATCGTTTGGTTGCGAACGCGATTGCACGACTCTGGGCAAAGCCGTGGAACTTGAGACTTCGTTCAAGCCGTGCGCAGGCGTACCCCGTCGCGCCTGGTTCTGCTGCTCTGCTAAAAACAGTGAGCCCGGTAGAAGCTTTTCAGACATTGAATGTTCCGGTTTCGGCTTCAACTTCTTCTTGTCTCCCGAGTGATCATCGCCGAACGTTATAGTTGCAGTTGAAGTCTTTGACCGGATTTGCGTTCGCTTCGATGCGCCAACGTTGGAGGTGGCCTGCGCGGATTTCTGCAATGTGCCGTGAGCTCCTTTTGACCGCTCGCTCGTACCTCTACCAGATGTAGGCTTTCTTATTGTGTTCGACGCGTTTTTGCCCTCACCCCACGCCTCTTCAACCTCTTTTTTGACGGATCCAAGCAAGTCTGGATCCAAGAGCGATGTGCTTGTGCGCAACTCATACTCGGGACCAAACGACATCCTGTACTCGTTCTGGTGCCCCACAAAATTCATTGCAGTATATGGAACAGATCCTCTTCCTTGCATGTACTGCGATGTCGATGTGTTCGTAAGGTGATCCGACACTCGCTCGTAGAGTTGTGTGTCTTCCCAATCATCAAACACAGCCGGAACCACCGGCGGCAGCTGTCTCGTCGTCGAGGGCATTAAATCCACGGGAGAACCCGGTGCTAAAGGTGAGAATGAAAATGACGCCATTTTGGGAGGAGCGAACGGATTGAGCAAAGTCAGATCCGGCTCGAACACATCCTCAGAGTCTCGAGTGGCGAGCTCGCCTAAATCCGCCGTGTGCGCGTTCCCGAGGAAAGCCTCGAGCTCCATCTTTGCCTCCATGGAATCGTACCAGAGGGTCGACGCAATATCTTTCTTCGACCCACTCATCGCGCGTTGCCAGTTCCCGTTCGCATCACCCGGACTCGCGGCTGGCTTCCTCGTCAACACCGTCGCGTTTTGTGTTGCCCCCATCGTCTTCGGCCCAGCGCCCCCGCGTCCACCGATGCTCGCTGTCTTCTGTCGCTTATCACGTCCGTTCCCGTCCGTTCCCGTCCCCGTCGCTCTCGCCCTCTTCGTCGTCGTGGGAGACGCCTTCGTCCGTCGGCTCGTCGACGTCCCGGCGCCCTCGCCCGCCCGCGCGTCCCTCTCCGTCGACTCCATCCCGATCCTCCGCCCTCCGCGCTCGGCGCTCGCGCGCGTCGTCACTCCACCTCGCGTTCCTCTCCCCCGCGCCCGGACGAAATCGTCCACCGTTCCCACCACCGCGTTCGGCGCGTAATCAATCAATCACCGCGTTCGATGGCAAAATCCGCCCACGGGCGTCTCGATCGTCGCCCCCCTCGACCCCGTTCGCTCGCCCGCGCCGATCGCGTCGTTCGTGAACACCCGTCGCCCTCCCTCGCGCCGTGGTCTCGCGTCGCGTCGCGCGGTCGTGCGCACCACCGCGCGACGCGTCCGTGGATGCGTCGAAATCGAATCACCCGTCGACGCGACGCGAGGTGGAGATATTTTCATCCTCGGCACTTTTTTCATTCACCCGCGGTGCGCGGTGCGGTCCCGTCGCGACGGTTCGCCTTCCGTGTCCCGGGCGTTTCGTCCACGACGTGACGGCGACGACGGCGCGCGCGCCGAGACGGCGACGAGGACGGGGCGACGGGACGACGGGGAGACGGGACGATGGCGCGCGCGACGGGCGGGGGGACGTCGACGCGGCGAGGGCGACGGGGCGGCGGACGCGCGGGCGCGCGGACGCGCGCGATCGTCGGCGCGACGGGCGCGATGAGCGCCATCGGTGCCATCGTCCACGGGGCGGTGGTGGACATGGATTTACGCACGAGAGAATTGCGCGCGCGGTGGCGGGACGCGTTGGAGGGGGTGGACACCGCGGTGTACGTCGTCGCGAAGGACGCGCGCGAGAGAGACGCGGCGAGACGGGCGGCGCGCGTCGTCGATCACGAGATCGAGCTCGAGCGCCAGGGCGCGATCGTCCCGAGAAACGCGCTCTTGATCGCGATCGCGGACCCGTCCTCGCTCGGTGCGCGCGGGTCTCGAGCGTTCGATGATTTCTTCGCCCCGACGGCGCGCCTCGCCTCGGCGTCCGCGCGCCTCTCGGAAACCCTCGACGACGCCTCCGTCGTCGTCGTGCACCACGACCTCGCGAACGATCGACGATCCATCGCTCGCGTTCCCTGTCCCTCGCGCGCGTGCGAGTCGGACGTCGCGCGCGTCCTTCGTCGTCCCGGGTCCGTCGACGCCTCGGCGTGACCCGTGTGGGGTGCCATGTCGAGTCATAACTCAAGAACACGGGGTCACTCCACCATCTTGGGTAAACACAAACCTGGTAGGACGTGATGAAAGTAAATCACCCGAGCGCGCACATTCTTCGTGCAAAACGTTGTCGTGATTCGCTCGCCCGGTCACCACTCGCGTCGGCGGCGACGCGCGACGGCGCGGCGACGCGGCGTCGGGGGACGATGCGAACGCGAGAGAAGCGCGCGACGGCGACACGCGACGACGCGAGCGCACTTCACGCGCGTCCATGGGGTACATACGCAATCGGGACCTCATAGCGGAGGACGAAGCCAATCGAGCTCGCATCGATGAAGCCGCGCGTCGTCGAGAGGGAGACGGAGGGAGCGCGTCGATGCGCGCGCACGGATCCGAGGGAGATCCCTGGGCAGAGTACGCGGCCGATGTCGAGAGGGAGATCTTCAACAATCGCTCCGCCGCTCAAAAGCGACGGAGAGCCAGGGAAGCGGCTTTGGGCAGCCCACCGATGATGCGCCGACGCAGGAAACGTGGCGCGGTTGACGGCGGCGAAGACGCGACTGCGACGGCCGCGATCGAACACGACAACCATGTCGATGATATCGCGAGCGATGATGAGGGTGACGCCGCCGGTTGGAACGCACGTCTCCCCGAGCTCCTCTCGGGCGTTCTCAGGCAGGCGGTTGCGTTCGAGGGCTGGCGCGCGAAAAAGGAGCAGCAGCGATTGCAGCGATTCGCGAGCCCTGATGTAGTGCATACATTTAAGGCGATGCTATGGTCGGCTGTGCAGCGGCCGTTCGGTGACGACGCGGACGCGTGCTGCCCGGGTCAAGCGACGCGAGCTAGCGATGGCGAAGATTCGATTCGTGCGCAACGACATGGGCGCGATGCCGTCGAGTTTGTCGACGAGCCCGCGGGCGACGGCGATGATATATTTTGCATCGTCTGCAGCGACGACGTCGTGCGCGCATCTGGCCCCCAACGCCTGTTCGGGCGAATGGTTTGCCCGCACTGCGGTTTCGGCGTCTCGTACGATCCCATCGCGCTCGGTCTCTGGCCGACGGAGCCGCCCAACACACTGGATCGGATCGGGACGAGGTCAAATATTTTCGTACACCACGAGGTGCTGGCAAACGCGCTGAAGGATCTCACATCGACGACGAGCACCGCGAACGAGCGGACTCTATCAAAGCACCTCGCGGACAGAATCCGAGGCGGCGTGGCGCCGGAGGCTCCGCGATCCGAATCTGGATATCCTGACGCGGCGTTCACGGCCGAAAGAATTCGACAGCTGCTCTTTCGGAGCGGCGTGTTCGATGCGTACGCCCGATCGCGCTTCCAGCTGAGTTCAAGCCGCGACGTGCGCGCGACGGTTCACCGATCGAACGCTCCTTCAAGCACGCCCGGTGACGACGACGTTGATACGGGTGCGACGCCCGACTCGAATACGTCGACGATTAATATCACAGCACCGCCGTCACGAGACCCCGCCGCGTCGTGTCCAGCGTGCGCGAGCGCGTCGTGGGGTGACGACACGAACGTGAAACGGCTTCTCAACGTTTGTGGCGATGGGAATGCCAAGGCCGTTCGCCTACGGGGGTCCGCGACTACGGATTATCACCGCGCACTCGGGACAACGGATTGGGACGAATTCGAATACATCCGCCCGTACGTCCCCGTTGAAGGGATACCCGGCTGGGCGACGATGTGCACGCCGTGTGAAACCGGTGACTGCCGCACCCAAATCAAATGCGCGGACAAACCGCGCGCGCCAGGGACCACGCGCGGAGCGCTTGGTAAGATGGACGAGCGATCGATGCTGTTATTCGTTTGTCATCATGGATTTGTGTTGCGCGGCACGGCGCTCGTGAGCACGACGCACGAGCGATTCGATATGTACGACGTCGCCCTCGCCGGGCTCGCTCGGTGGCGGAATCTTGGCGACGTTCACATTGACTTCGCGTGTCAGTACGGCGTCCACCTTCGTCGGCGCGTCGAAGCGCTCGTTGAACGAGACCAAAATTCGTTCGCCGATCTCCGCGATCAGCTCGCTCAGGCGAGCGACGCCGACTGCGGGGGCGCTCGCCTGATGGTACCGTACATGCACGGCAGCTCCCATGGGTACAGCTGCAAACATAAGCACTGGGCCGTCTACAAGTCGGACTCATGCCGCCGCGCGGGCGAGACGACGGAGCATGTGTGGTCGCGATTACGATCGTCTTTCACGGGGCGTTTGCGGCTCATGTCTAGCATGCGACGGTCCCTCCTCCTCGAGCACATCATCCGCGGTCTCGATTCCGAGCGAAAGAAAGAGTTCCCATTGTCCTTCGCGAACACGGCACATCGACTCCTTCGACGAGATGGCGTGTTCGATAACGATGTCAAACTATACTACGACGTGCTCCAGTTGCGGTCTCGTCAGTCGGGCGTGGGCATAAGGGAATTACACGCCACCGCGCGTCGTTTTCTCGAGCTCGCTCGGGCGAACCCAGACTGTGCCAGCGAGCCGCCTGAACCGATCGAAGGACGCGTCGCGTGGCTGAGCCACGAATACCACTTTGAGGGCTATGAAGACAAAAAAATGAAGATGTGCCTGCAGATACGCAAGCTACAGTCACAACACGGACTCGGCGAGAGCGGCCCGTGGTCTCGAAATAACGAAGAATACTTGCCTGGAATTGAGGCACACTGGCGGTTCGAGTCCGCGCGACGTCGTGCGAGCGTCGTTGATGCTTGGCTCGATCGCTGCGAAATCCGCCGACAATTACGTGATCGCAGCATGCGCGACTCGGAATACACGGAGCTGAAGTCCCGGGAAATCACGCTCTCTACTCATGTCAGTGTTGACATGAAGAATTACAACTACGCTGTTGAGCAGCTCAACGTCGCGCGCCGGTGTATGAACATGCCGGCCGAGGTGGATCCAGCATTTCAGCCGTTGACGGAGCAGATCGTCGACGCGTGGGACGAAACCGGTCCCGAAAACGATCCATTCACTGGAGTGAACGGTTTGGCGCGCGTGGAGCTCACAGAGGCAGATGGTACCACCACCACTGTTCGGCTCTCTCTTGCATCGCTCCGGCGACTGGCACACCTCGGCGCGTACGTCGCCAGGGACGCCGAGGATGTCAATCGCCTCCGTGAGGAGGCCGACCGCGCGCTGTCGTTTTACGCGCGTGTCGAGCGAGAGGAGTCATCCGAGCTAGAGAGTTCGCGCGCGCGCGCGCTCGGTGTGAAGCGCGCGATCCTCGATGGTGGTGGTGGCGACGACGGTGATTTACAAGACGCGTTATGGGCGGCGATATACGCGGCGCGCGCGGCGGAGGTGAAGCGTGACGCGGCGGCGGCGCGGTTGGAGAGATTGGGCGAGCGCCTCAGACTGGATAATTTTGACGCTAAGTTGCGCAAAGCCGCTGCTACGTTCGCTCGTTTTGAAGCCCACTTGTCTCTTACTGATTGATTCGATCACAGTGCCCCTGCTCGAGGTCGTAGGACCGGCGAACGCGGTGTTGTCTCGCCGAGACGACTCATCGATGAAGTCCCGACAGGATGATGCTGAGCTCATGTTGAGTAAGTCGTCGACGAGACGTTCGATGCGCGGTGTTGCCACGGCAAATAGCCTAGTTGTTGTACTGTTTTACTCTATGACGTGTTTTGATGTGATTTGGTTGCGCGGCCGCCGCTCTGTGAGTGTTCATAAAAGTGTCGTCTTTATCGTAGAGGCCACAGAGGTAGGATGCGAGACAAAAGCGTCCAGGCCAGTCGCGTTCGACGTCGGGCTCGCGTTTTCGTGCATGGAATGGTGTTTACACATTACATACGACCTCGGAGCCGCATTTTGCGGCGTTTGGACGAAGTCGACTCTCGAACCTATGTTCCCGTAGAGGCTTGGAAGGTAGTGCACAGCCACGGGAAACCGCCAGTCCTGGGAAGCAAAATTTTCGACGTCGCGGCAAAGTCGCCGGGAAACGGGCCAAATCGATCCATCATAACATTTTATTACGCACCAATGCGCCTTGAGGCAGTCTTCTCGCGTTTCCGTCGCCGGGCACGACCGATTAGACTGGAAACCAACATCGTAGACGTGTACGTTAACGATGCACGTCTAAAAACAGTTTTTGTCATCTGGTCGATTTTGGACGCAAAAACGGCGCAGACGTACGTCAATCCGTTTCAAACCACGATGTGATGCGCCGGGGCGCACACCAAATCCCGACGTCGCGTCGACACCTCGCGAAAATGTTGCGAGCACCTTGGTTTTGGGAAACTTCTCACCTATTCCTTCTCTCCGTGACCATGCCCGTGCGTCGTCCCTCTGGAAAGCGCCATGAACCACGCGCCAGTTCTTTTGATTTGCGATTACGAACCTCCTAGCGATATGAGGTCGCCTGAATCGGCGTCCAGCGGCGCGAATCGTTGGTGTGATACATGAGTGAATTTATGTTTTCGTCGGCTCGCATCGCGCGGCTGGACGAAGCCGCGCGCCATCATCGTGGAGTCGACGCGCAACGCATTCATACACGCGATTCCGATCACATTGGGTGATGCGGGCGTCGTATCGACCGCAGAAAGGGTGCCATGGAATGAAGGCGTGTTCCAGGTCATTTCCGCTGGTTGCCGCCCTTTCGTCACCGATCGATTTTCAGTTGAAACTAGAAGTGCCTTTCAAATCCGATAGGTGGAAACTCGTTTCCTTTTCGTCACCGATCGATTTTCAGTTGAAACTAGAAGTGCCTTTCAAATCCGATAGGTGGATACTCCTTTCATTTTTAGTTACGCATCGTCGGTTATTTTGAAAGGTACAAGGTTCGACGAAAGGCGAGCTCGACGCGGCGTGGTGCGACCAAGCGGCCTTCCCACTGATTGGACGCGTCGCCAATCGTTTCATTTCGTCGAAGGGCACGTCGAAAGGGGGACACGTGGTGGTGTGGCGAGACGTTTCCGCAGCATCTGGGCGAGAGTTGAAGGTAAAGTTGTCTTGCAGGCCGATCATCACATCTTCTCGTCGCAGCACGCGTCGCGACGCGGGTCGATCTGCCACACCGAACGCGGTGGGTGCACTGTGGATATTATTCTCGGTCGTGAAACGTAAAGAAGATGGTGTCAGCGCGCTCGCGTCGAGCGTTGAGCCGACGGTTGGGCGTGTGGATGCATTTTTGGAGCCGAGCTTCGACGCAGCCATCGCATCTTCTCGTCGCAGCACGCGTCGCGACGCGGGTCGATCTGCCACACCGAACGCGGTGGGTACACTGTGGATATTATTCTCGGTCGTGAAACGTAAAGAAGATGGTGTCAGCGCGCTCGCGTCGAGCGTTGAGCCGACGGTTGGGCGTGTGGATGCATTTTTGGAGCCAAGCTTCGACGCAGCCATCGCATCTTCTCGTCGCAGCACGCGTCGCGACGCGGGTCGATCTGCCACACCGAACGCGGTGGGTACACTGTGGATATTTCTATCGGTCGTGAAACGTAAAGAAGGTGGCGTCAGCGCGCTTGCGTCGAGCGTTGAGCCGACGGTTGGGCGTGTGGATGCATTTTTGGAGCCGAGCTTCGACGCAGCCATCGCATCTTCTCGTCGCAGCACGCGTCGCGACGCGGGTCGATCTGCCGCATCGAACGCGGTGGGTACACTGTGGATATTATTCTCGGTCGTGAAACGTAAAGAAGATGGTGTCAGCGCGCTCGCGTCGAGCGTTGAGCCGACGGTTGGGCGTGTGGATGCATTTTTGGAGCCAAGCTTCGACGCAGCCATCGCATCTTCTCGTCGCAGCACGCGTCGCGACGCGGGTCGATCTGTCACACCGAACGCGGTGGGTACACTGTGGATATTTCTATCGGTCGTGAAACGTAAAGAAGGTGGCGTCAGCGCGCTTGCGTCGAGCGTTGAGCCGACGGTTGGGCGTGTGGATGCATTTTTGGAGCCGAGCTTCGACGCAGCCATCGCATCTTCTCGTCGCAGCACGCGTCGCGACGCGGGTCGATCTGCCGCATCGAACGCGGTGGGTACACTGTGGATATTATTCTCGGTCGTGAAACGTAAAGAAGGTGGCGTCAGCGCGCTCGCGTCGAGCGTTGAGCCGACGGTTGGGCGTGTGGATGCATTTTTGGAGCCGAGCTTCGACGCAGCCATCGCATCTTCTCGTCGCAGCACGCGTCGCGACGCGGGTCGATCTGCCGCATCGAACGCGGTGGGTGCACTGTGGATATTTTAATCGATCGTGAAACGCGAAGCAGGTGGCGTCAGCGCGCTTGCGTCGAGCGTTGAGCCGACGGTTGGGCGTGTGGATGCATTTTTGGAGCCGAGCTTCGACGCAGCCATCGCATCTTCTCGTCGCAGCACGCGTCGCGACGCGGGTCGATCTGCCGCATCGAACGCGGTGGGTGCACTGTGGATATTTTAATCGATCGTGAAACGCGAAGCAGGTGGCGTCAGCGCGCTCGCGTCGAGCGTTGAGCGCGTTCGTTTGAGTGTTGTGATTCTTTTCAAGAAGCGCGAGTAGCCGTCCGCTCATCACTAGTAGTCGCCGAAATCCCGAACAAAGTGGGACGATGGCGCTTCCGCGTAAATGTCCGACGTGTGCAGCGTCACAGGCGCCGATTCGCCACGCTCTATCCGTGACGGAGTCGTCATCTTCCGCTTCATCGCGGCGCTTGGTCTCGTGAGCGTCATCTTTGCCGCTGCAGATTCTACGAGCAGATGCGCCAATTGCGGCTCCAGATCGTCGACAACCTTGCGCATAATTCCCATGACATCTTCGAGCATCTCATCCAGAACGTTGGCGGTCGGTGGCCTCGCGTGCGCGTCGCCCGTGTGGAGTGCCGTCATCGTCTTCCCCAACAACTTCGCCACCGTTTGAGTGAACACGTCTCGGACCGTACGGGCATCGTCTTCGTTAGAAATCGGTAATCGCCAAATTTCTCCACTCGTGTAGAGCTTGTTCATGCGCGATCTCGTCGCCGATGTCGTCTTATCGGGTCGCCCGAAATAGAGAAACGCATCGCTCGTCGGATACGATTTCGCGAGATCCTGGAATTCCCGGACGAGTCTGTTGCGTGAGCTTGCGAAGTAGCGCTTCGCATCCTCGTACTCCTTTCCGGTGACGGAGGTCCCGTCCTCGTGAAAGAACGGACGAGGGCGTTTACGCCTTCCTGGTCCGTCCGTCGCCGTGGAAAACGAAACGACGCGAGCGGTCGATTGCTCTTGATCGGTCGCCGCCGCTGTATCTTTCTCGGTCGTCGCGCCCACACCTCCCTCGGTCGTCTCGGGCTCTATCGTTCCCTCGGATCCATCGGCTCGCGTTCGCATCGTCCCCCGACGCCGCGTCGCCGCGCCGTCGCGCGTCGCCGCCGACGCGAGTGGTGACTGGGCGAGCGAATCACGACAACGTTTTGCACGAAGAATGTGCGCGCTCGGGTGATTTACTTTCATCACGTCCTACCAGGTTTGTGTTTACCCAAGATGCACTCCACAGGGGTCCCTCGAGGCGTCCGTCATCCATCGTCCGTGGTTTATCCGCCGCCGACGTCGTCGTCACTCGTCGACGCCCGCTCGCGCGTCGATGTCGTACTCGGTCCAACGCTCGGGAGCCACTCGCGCGGCGGTTTCGCGCGCCGAGGTCCCGCGCGCGCGCACGCAGAGCGCACGCGCGGTTCGACGCACCCGTCGCGGCGAATCCATCGCGATGAACGCCAAGGCGTCGCGATTGGGCGAGAGCGAGGCGAAAGCTCTCGTGGACGCCACCGAAACCTTCATCTTCGATTGCGACGGGGTGATCTGGAAGGGTGATTCCTTGATCGAGGGCGTCCCGGAGACGCTCGACTTGTTGCGCTCGATGGGGAAGCGCCTGATCTTCGTCACGAATAACTCCACCAAGTCCCGCGCCGGGTACACGAAGAAGTTCGAGTCGCTCGGCCTCAAGGTGAATGCGGAAGAAATTTTCTCTTCCTCGTTCGCCGCGGCGGCTTACCTCGAGTCGATCGATTTCAAGAAGAAGGCGTACGTCATCGGCGAGACGGGCATCCTTGAGGAGCTCGACAACGTGGGCGTCAAGCACATCGGCGGCGAGTCCGATGCCGACAAGCAAGTCACCCTCAAGAGCGGTGAACTCATGCACCACGATGAGGACGTGGGCGCCGTGATCGTCGGATTTGATCGAAACATCAACTACTACAAGATTCAGTACGCGACTCTTTGCATTCGCGAGAACCCGGGCTGCATGTTCATCGCCACGAACACCGATGCTGTGACGCACTTAACGGACGCTCAAGAGTGGGCTGGTAACGGTTCCATGGTTGGTGCGATCAAGGGTAGCACGAAGAGAGAGCCGATCGTCGTCGGGAAGCCGGCGGCGTTCATGTTGGACTACATCGCGAACAAGTTCAACATTCGCAAGGATCAAATCACCATGGTCGGCGACCGCCTCGACACAGACATACTCTTCGGCAACGATGGTGGCCTGAACACCTTACTCGTGTTGTCTGGCGTGACCACGAAGGAAATGCTCTGCAGCGACGATAACACCATCGCTCCGACGAACTACACGGACAAGCTGGCGGATTTATTGTGCGTTGGCAAGGTTCCGGCGTAATGCTTTCAAACAACTTCCCACACATGTCATTGTCTCTTTGTTTGTTAATTTACCACGGAATGAATCATACATCTTCAACTAACAAATCGCTACTGCCTACCCTGCTATCTCCGACCGCCATAATCTCGACTGCTGTCGCGCTGCCGTTTGCTGTCTTGCCTGTCCCTACTTGCGTGGCGTCCCCTATCTGTCCGCTTCCCTTCTCCGCGACTTCGCGCTCGATGGCTTAAATCCGTATACTCGATCTTATCCACTGCGTGGAACGCTAAGATGGTCTCCGCGATGACCTCTAAATTCCTCTTCGAAGTTCCTTCGACGATGCGGTACCAGGATGGCTGTGTCGGCAGCGCGACTCCTAACTCTCTAGCGGCTAAGTAGATGCATCCGCATGCTATCACGGCGGGCTTGAATCTCACGCACAGTGCCGTCATCGATGTGTCGTTGCACAGCGCCCACGCACGTTTGACCAACTCTTTGTCCAACTCCAGTTGCGCCCCCAGCGTGTACGCAAAAGGGTGCGGCGGCAGCACGTGCACAAAGAATCCAAACTCCCGTAGCATCACCAGCTCCATGTTCTTCGCGTCCGATTTTAACTCTTGGAACTCCGCAGTGTTGATCGCTAGCATCGATCGCGGTCGTCCCTCGTGTCTCTGCGCTGCTCGTCTCGAGGCGTTGAGCACGTTCCGGAGCTTGCGGTCCGTCCCCTCGAGCTTACACGCCAGAGCAATCGCGGCGACGACGACGAGCTTGACGTCGTAGTCTCTCAGGGACTTCTTCGTGTAGAATCTCTGAAGCAGCGTCTGCGCGGTGACGACGACGGACAAGGACAAGCGAAGTAAAACGCACGAGGCGCGAATGAGCGAGGCACCGTAAATCCTTTGCACGAACTCCGTCTCCTCGCCCACGCCGTGCGCCCGCGATGGGGTGTCCTTAGCCTCGCGAGCGGTGATGTAGAAGTTATCAACGGCCGCGTCGGTATGAATCATCTCGACGAGGGACGAGGAAGCGCGACGAGCGCGCGCACGCGCCAACGTCTGAGGCACCGGGGCGGTTCGCTTTGCCTGGTTCGCTTTGACACATTGTTTAACAAAAACGACGAGTCTTCCGCGTCGACAACGACTAATTCAATCGCACTTGGAGAAGTCCGGATTGAGGTTCGCTAAAACTCCATCGCTGCTCATGCAGGAACGTCTCGACCGCAACGGGAAGCCTCGATGGCGTCCGAGAACCCACCGTATGATGGCCTGTTCCGACGAGCACTTGAGCGTGCGAATGCCCGCTCGAACGAAGCCTCGACAGCTCGCGACGAAGCAGGTTCAACGCCTCGGCAACGTGTAAACCGTGTAAATCGATCATGCCGTCTCTTCCTCCTCCTCTGCTCTGGTAAATGCTCGTCGCCGCGACTTCGTGAGCCGCCGACATCTTTGCCGCAGCCTCTCTACCTTGCCGCGACAGCTCTTTGGCGAGAGCTTTGTTCCCACTTAGATACGCGTTCGTGGCCTGCTCGTAGCACACGTTTCGCACTCTCGCGAAGTCTCTCGCATCTTCTCGATTTGCCGCGTAAAGATTTCCCACCGCCGCGCCCGTTTCCACCCACTCGATTTTAGTCTTTGTTCCCTCCGCCACGCCTCGCTCAATCTTCGTCGCCCTCGCGCTCGTCCCCGCGTTTGCGCCGGTGTTCGCACTCCACATCGACGCTACGGATGCCCTATTAACGTTGGACATCCCTCCTGAGATGAAAATCTTCTTCGGCAGCGGCTCTGGTTGACTCGCGACGGGCTTCGCCGGCGCCGAACCGCCAAGCGACGGAAACGCCTCTGCGTCATCCACGTCTGGTGCCGCGACCTCTGGAATCTCGTCGTCCATCAAAAGCTCCATCGCCAGCTCAACGTCTCCTCCTGTGTTCATCAGCGCCTCCTCCAAGCACGCCCAGTCGTAATCCGGGAACGCCGACGCTAAGAAGGCGAGCCCCTGGTCAAAGTCATCCTCAACCGCGCCGTCGTCCAAGACGAATGCCTCCCCCACCGGCGCTTCCGAGACGTCACCCTCGACGTACGCGCGTTCAATATTCCCTGGAATTCCTTTCTCTCCCTCCGCGTCCTCCTCCTCGTCGCTCGTCACCACCCCCAGCGCCCCGAGGTCGTGGCACAGCGCGTGCACGGATGACTCGAACGCCGCGCTCGCCGCGCTCGTCGACGCGCACGCGGGGCGTCTCGGTGCGAACGTGCGCGCGGACGCGCGCAGGGAGGACGTCGACCCCGTCACCGCGCGATCCGACGACATCGAGCGCGAGCGATGCCTCGGCTCCAAGCGCGCGCGTCCGCGAGTCCGCGCCCACGTCGCGGTGACGGGTGCGCGTGTCACGTGAAAGGTGACGCGTGAAAGGTGCAATGGCACGCGTGAAAGGCGTGACACCTTTCACGTGAAAGGCGTGACACCTTTCACGTGAAAGGTGACACGTGACCCCGAGTGAGGCACCGGGAAGAATCTTCCGAGCGCCCGTCGAGCGCGAGCGGACGTCATCGCGACGCCCGTCGTTCGCGTTGACGACCGCGAGCGATGACGACGACGAGGGCGTGGTGCGCGTACCCGAACCATCTCGCGCGAGATCCCTCGAGCACGCTGGAAGACATCGAGCGCGTGCGCGTGGGTGAGCGAACGACCGAGGTGGAGGTGCGAAGACTCACGGTGCCGAGATGCGTCGCGCGCTTTGACGAGGACGAACGCGATGATGTGAGAGACGTGGACGTCGACGCGACGGCGGACGATCTGTGTGAGGTCGATATCGTCATCGACGTCGATCGAGGGACGATCGCGAGCGTGCGAAGGGCGTCGAGAGAGGACAGAGGGGAGCTCATCGCAACCGACGAGACGAGACTTATCGTAAACGCAGAGGGGCGGATGTGCCTGCCGACGTTCGCGGACGTGCACACGCACATCGATAAGGCTCACACGTGTGAGAGAAGTAGAAATATCAACGGCACGCTCGCGGGGGCGGACGCGGCGTGCGCGAACGATTTCAAGTATTGGACGGTGGAGGACGCAAAGAGGCGGATGAATTTCGCATTGCGATGCGCGTACGCGTACGGGACGTCCGCGCTGAGAACGCACTTAATGTCGGGGGAAGATGCGCAGAGTAAAATTGCATGGGATGCGTTCGTAAGCTTGCGGGATGAGTGGAAGGGAAAGCTCGAGCTTCAGGGCGTGAGTCTCTCCGTGCTGAGCTTTTTTCGGGATAAAACAAAAGCCCGTTCTTTGGCTCAGATGGTCAAGTCGCGCGGAGGCGTGCTCGGCGCCGCTGTCTCGTGCAGCGACGCTGGAGGAACACCATTGGATCCCCTCACGACGTGTGGAGAAGATATGCCCGAGTTGTTGGACGTCGTTTTCTCTCTGGCGAAGGAGTTTGATCTGGACATTGACTTCCACTGCGACGAGAACGGTAACGAGTCCTCAAAAGGGTTGTTGTACATCTCCGAAGCCGTGATTCGTAACAAATTCGAGGGCTCCGTCGTGTGCGGACACTGTTGCTCTCTCGCTGCTCAACCGAACGAAGAGGCCAAGCGCATCATCAACGCTGCTCGCGAGGCTGGTGTCACGGTCGTCTCTCTGCCGACTGTGAACCAATGGCTACAGGATCGCGATCCAAAGGGCGAAGCGACACCGACTCGGAGAGGAGTCACTCGAGTCAAAGAGCTGGCGAGTGCTGGTGTTCCCGTGTGCTTTTCCAGCGACAACACAAGAGATCAATTCTTTGAATATGGTGACTGTGACATGCTCGAAGTTTTTCGATCGAGCGTGTGCATCGCTCATCTTGATCGACCCTTTGGATCATGGCCACTAGCATTCGCGGCGATTCCGGCGCGAGCCATGGGGATGAACGAAAAAAGCGGTCTTATCGTCCGCGGAGCAAAGGCAGATCTCATTTTCTTCCGCGCTCGCAACTATAGTGAGCTGTTCAGCCGCTCTCAACACGATCGCGTCGTCATTCGCGATGCATTCCGTATTTGTACTACTCTTCCAGATTACGAAGAACTTGATCAAAGCTAAGGCTAAGGCTACAAACGCTACCAAAATGATGTCAGGTGGTAATTTCGTCACCCATTTCGCACGCATCTATGTAATCAACTTCTGCAAGATTCGCTAGCACAATGCGGTTTTAAGTTGATTTCTCGACGCACAGCTCCTAGGTAAAGATTGCACGCGATTTAACGCCCACTTTTTGTGAGATGATGACGAGGCGAGTACCTGTAGTACGAACAGTGCGCTCGACAAAAGCAACACTTCACACGACTGGCTCTCGGTAAATTTTGAGGATCGATGTAAAGCGCTCAACACCTTCAATATAGATGCGAAGACGGTGCGAACGACAGAGCGAGATCGCTCATCCGTATCAAACGTTTGCTTCGCTTCGCTCACGACCTTGGATGCAAAGTTTGTGAAGTGACGGCTGATTGCGAATACTCGCTGAGGACATTCTCTGACGGTGAAGATTATGCTGTGACTCAGCACATCCAGAACCATGCAAGACATGCGAACTTCGTCGACATCGTTGCCTTTCAAACGCAAAAGTGCCGGAAGAGCGATGCATGATATGCGTTCGAACTCTGCGACTGTCGTACACGGTAAGACGAGTGTGCACGCAACCAACGTGCTTTGCTGGAATTCATCTAAACTGTTCTGGCAGCTCTGAAGCGTTTCCAGTAGATCAACGAGCATCTCGTCACTCGAAACAGCACGACAGAGCTTTAAAATATTAGTGGCGATCTCGAATACATCATTCGGGTTCCTGATCGGGGGAGATGGTGGCGATGACGTACTGCCGCGAACGAGACGCATCACAGGCTCTATCGCAAGCCTCACGTCCCAATTGATGTGACTCTCGGCCAATTCGTCCGCAAACCTGAGACCTGACACTATTTCAGCTGAGGGTGGATTTTTTGCAAAAGATTTCGCCAACGCTTTGCTGATTTCACGAGCTAGAGTCGTCGCCATACTTTGTATCATTAACGCCCGCCGCGAATGGCACCACTGTATCACACGCACCAGTCCAAGCAAGACTCCCTCAGGGAAAGTCTGTTCGACGCAACTCACGTCAATTCCCTTCTCCGTTGTGATGATATGTTTCAAAATATTCAAAGCGAAATGGACACCGTGTCGCTGACCACTGACTGGCTCATCCAGATATGCCAATGTGAGCCTGGGGAGCACTATGAACAGTAATCCTTCGCGAGGGTCCAAGATGGGCACCTTACCAGCCAAATTCGAAAAGAGTTCGTCGCACACGTAATCAATTGCATCGCTTGCTTTTGCACTGTTCAAATTATTCGGGATTGTGCGAATTAGATCAGCAAGGGCAGTCAGCAAGTATGGAGCAGAGTGTTGACTTCGCCTTGCCTTTCCTATACTCTGAACTAGTCGCAGAGTTCCAATGATAATCGAGGCCTGTGATGAATGCGCAATCGCTGTGTGAATCAATCGATCATATGTGGATTCGGGTGCGACCAAGACTGGCCAAAGTAGATCGCTCGCCAGCTTAAACATTGTGCGGCAGGAAACATTTGCATTTGCACTCGACGTTACACGATTCAGCGTAGCGATCATGTCACGCTCTACGACGCTCGAATCAAAGTCTTCGTGCGAAACAATCATGGTTTTGATTGACGCAAACTCTTTCGAGTGAAGGACGACGGGTATAGTTGCCAAGACATCCTCCTTCGGGATCGACTTGAGCATTTTCTCAACTTCCGCATACTCCGTGCATACCAACAACTCTCGTAGGAATCTCTGAGGTTGAGATAGTTCCTGCTTGGAAGGTCCAGAAACAGGGAGCTCTTTGAGTCTGTCGCTCACTTCAATGCTCGGTGGAAGGACCTCATGTGATCTCGGCACGTACGCTGACTCTGAGAAAGCAACCATCAACTCCTCCGTCACCTTTCCGCTCGCTCGACATGATACAAATTCCCTTTCCATCACGTCTTTCGCCCTCTGAGATGCTTTAAACACTCTCTCGTGTAAAAACTTTCGCATTTTGAAATGGTCAACCAATTGAGCGAACGCGGATGTGGACAACGACCACTTGGCCCGTCGCGAAAAAGGCTCAATCGGTTTGTCAAGTGGCTTTCCTTCGGCATCCGTCAGCCCAGATCGCCAAACTCTGAAGAGCAGGTCGAACGCGCTTTCGTCCGAGCTTTTACCTCCGCGCATCGGTCGTTGAAGCAACTGATGCAGTCTCGGGACGACGGCGGTGTCCAACCAGCCCTCTCCCCTGAGCTCAGGGGAAGACAGAGCGTCCAACACAGGGCTCATTAGGGACTCCATGAGTACCACATCGTCGTCATGCGACAGAGTACGCAACGCACTCACCGCCGTAGTCGTCGATTCGTACACGCTAGCGCTCATCGCTCCCTGAAACGGGCGAGGTGCCTCAACAACTTTTTGGGGAAAACGTAGAGCCCCAGGTAAGACCACAGCGAGAGTAAGAGGAAATCGATGGGCTTCAGAGCGTACAATACGGCCCCATCGTTGCTCATACGCCCGCTTTCGGCAAGAGTGCTTGGATTCTGCCTCCGCGCCGACCGTGGGGAATTGTGCCGTGCGTGGTCAAATTGTGTGTCCAGGAGGCTACTTACTCGCTCTATGAAACATTAAACATTAAACTACATGTGCTACCGCACCGGTACTACTAAATCCCCGTCTTTTTCGCTGCTTTCGCCTTTTGATTGTGATGTTTGTGAGTGAAATCTTTCGCTGTGAGCCCACGAGTGGCACGACCGCCAGAACCGCGACCCCGACCTCGACCTCTTCCGGGACCACCAGTTGACTCTACTCCACCTTGTGTCTCAGGCTTGCTTGCGCTTTCTATTGCCGCCCTCGGCACAAACGGTGCGGCACTCTTACTCGGAACAAATCCAGTCGCAAATTTGGCTCTATTTCCGCCAGCACCCAATCCTTCAATCTCACCTTCCTTGATTGAAGCCGCCTCAGCAGCCATCTGTGACGCTTCCTCGGCGCTGCTTGCAAAAACTTTCACCGCACCGGCTTTGTGAGAGTGGTACACTTTTCCGTCTATCAGATAAAAAACTTTCTTCGATGCATTCGATCGCCGCGTGTTTTCTCCGTTAGCTTCGCCGCCTTCCATTTCGTCAACCGCTGTGCTGGAAATGTGAATTGGCAACTCGTCAAATGAATCATCATATTCGTCTTCGTACTCCAAATCACGCGCCACCATCAAAATTCGCTTCTTGTCCTCAGCCGAGAGTTCGATGTCGATATCCCGCTTGTTGATTGAGGGCCCGAGACTAACTCGAGGCGGTCCACTACCCTGCACAGATTTCATCACGACTGGTGGCCAGCCGAGCTGTCTGTCAACTGATCGCAAGTTAGGAGGAAGCGATTCCTCGAACAAATGCTGTATGATCAGCTCGGTATTCGGACCAAAATGATCTATGCAAGCGTTAACGAAGCCGATCCCCAAGTCAGGAAGAATCATTCGGATCGATTCGATGATTTCAATGACTGGTGGAGACAGTCCACGGTACTTACTCACCTGGTCTTCACCTTGTCGATCTTGCAAACAAGCTATCACGGCACTCACTGAATCTCTCACCGCATCCAGGGCGTCTGTGTCGTTTGTTAGGGTTTCAAGCGTGGGAATAGCGTTGCTTCGAACCATTTCGAGAGCGTCTACTAAATTTCCAACCCGACGCAACCACTCTCCAGATGAAGGGTACACCGCAACGAGCGACAGCAATGAAATTGCCACGTCATGGAAGTAAGACAAGGATTCTCTCAAACCGTCAGGCGAAAGCTCACTCGTTTGCGCCGCCGACGTTACACGCGCCACCATATCGTTCAAGTTTCCCTCTATGACCGCTCCAGTCTCTACAAATTTGTCCACGAGCGTTGGCACCAGCTTGACGGCGCTTTCGATGAGCTCGCGTGCGAGATCCTTGTTATCCTGACCGTATAAAACCGCCACGTCGAATATCTTGGGTACATCGATGAGACCGTACTTTAATACCACGTCTCTTCGCTCTTCCACGCTCAAACTAGTCCGCTCGCGAGCGCCATCGTTTACCAACCTGAGCAGTGTGAGAAAAACCTTCCTCGCGAGCGCATCGTCCGCCGTCGACGTCGACGCATCCGCTCCCTCACCCCGCGATTCGAAAGGTCGAGTCTTGAACTGCAGATACGAGTCCAGACTTCTTCCCAGTCCCGGCCCGTTCTTCTTCACGTGCGCCCAGAACGCCTCGTTCGTCTTGCGCAGGCCCACGTCCAAGGCCTCGGCGAGCGCTCGACAGGTCGCGACCGAGCGCTCGTCCAGGGAATCGTCGTCCCCGGGAAGAAACAACTCGTGCGTCACGCGCTCGGGGGCGAGCCTCGATGACTTCCGCATCGACCCCGTCCCCGTCACCGCGTGTGCGGAGGACGCCGTCGAGGCGGTGTGTGGCGGCTTCATTCCTGAACGCACCGAAACGCCTCGCGACGGTCTCGCGCGGCGTCATGGGGGACGAATTGGACGAGGTGATCGGGTTCTTGTCGGACAAGAACCCAGCGGTGAGGGCGCAGGCGGCGCATATCGTGCAAGGCTTGACCGGGACCGATGACGGCGCGAAGCTCTTGTGCGAGAAAGCCGACGCGCTGGTGCCCAAGCTGCTGCACATGATCGGCAAGGAGGGAACGGAATCGAAATATGCCGCGACTGCGCTCGTGAACTTGACGCACGATCCCGAGGTGATCGTCAAATGCGTGAATAAGGGTGCTGTGGAGCGCGCGATGGACGCGCTTCGTGACGGAGACGGAGCGCCGGTTGATCTATTGTTGTCCATTTTAGCGAACGTCACCACTGCAGAGAGCGGTGTGCACGTTATTAGTCAAGAGGGTAAGCCGTTGGAGGGGTTCTACGTCTCAAAGTTGATTCAGCTCTTGTCCACGGGCAAGCCGGAGGAGAGCTACGACCAGGCGGCGTCAGTGCTTACAAATGTAACACGCGATCCTATCGGTCGACGGGTCTTTTTGGACCCGAAACGAGGCTTATTAGCGTCTGTCATTCCATTTATGACGCAGCCGAACGAGTTGAGGCGCGAGCGCGTCGCCGCTGCATTGCGAAACTGTTGCATGGATGACATTCAGCGCAAGGCGCTTCTGGACTTCGTCAATCCAGGAACCCAGGAGCCGGAGGGTGATGTGATCCGCGCGCTCCTTCGACCCATCAGCGGCAAGAAAGTTGGAGCAGAGTTATCAGATAACGTTCGTCAGGCGTGCGCAGAAGCAATTTACGCTCTGGCGAAGGATGAAGCCGCCCGCCCAATCCTATCAAAACTTGAGGCGCCGAGACTGCTGAAAGATGGGTACGAGCTTGAGGAGCACCCAGAAACTTGTGCGGCTCTGGTGGCGATCGGAAATTTGTTCCTCGAGAGTGGAATGGTCCCGGAAGACCTTCAAGAAGGGTTAAACCAGCCGCAAGCCGTCGAAGTGATCGATGACGATGAAGCAATGGTTATGATGGGACCTGGGATGGGACCTGGTGGATTCATCAACACTGTGGATTGATGTTGATTGAATCTAGCACGCGCGTAACAGAACACTCGACGAGACGATTTGTGTGATTCGACTTCCGTAGAAAATAGTAATGATAAAATGAGACAGGTTTCCATTGATTCAGCCGTTCGCCGAGACTGTACAAAGATAACAGTAGGAGCAAGAGGAAATAATTCTATTTATTAAGTTGAGTAAAATGTTCACCACACGCGCCCTCAGATACGCTCATTGAAGCCCTCTCCGTACCAAAATCGCGTGTAGAAATCAATTGGTCACAGTTCACCGAAGTGCGCTCGCTAGATCCCACATCGACTGTACTTTTGACAGGCTTTGCTGGACCAGGAGTGGGAAATAATTTAATTTAATTAATTATTTTTCCAAAAGCTTCAATTCATAGCATTTCGATAGCATTTCCTAGAATCAACGCAAATGATAGGTTTGATAATCAAACGAAGATAATGATGTTGGCGCTTCGCTGAGTTTACTCAGATGATCACAAATCGGCGAATTATTTTTAATTATTTCCCACTACGTTTATTCCACTCTCCTTCTGCTGCTCGTCACCCGTCTTAATCCGACGGGCATCGACGAGTTTGTCTGAGATACACCTCAGCGATGTACATACAGCGATGAATCCTGCGCAAGGTCGTTGTCTACCTCTTTTCGGCGCGACGATCATGCCGACATTTTTCCACTCATAAAATAAAAATTCATTCTAGACAGCTCGCAAGCTCATGCGAGCAATTTTACGCTTCGTTTTGACGACACTGGGAGGTACCGTTATGGTTATGTTGGAGCGTGACTTTATGGCTCGCTCAATCCGTGAACACGCTTGAGTCGACGTCGTTGTTGGCCCGCGGGGGGCAACAATTTAATTTAATTAAAACGAGTTGATGCGTGAGCTCTATCTCTATCGACAAGGACTTCGATCGCGGACGAGATGGCGCCACTACAGATTCAGGTTGTGGTGTTCGAGCGATTTCGAAACGATGGTGGATTCGTTGGAGGTGTATATGTTATCTACTACATACGAAAGAACAGGGCCAGGGAGTGCAACACGAACGAACCGGCCCTTAGGCCTCAACAGCCGCAGCACCCATCGGCTTCTTCATCACGATGAGGTACATAGGTGAGAAGATTTCAAGGTCACCACCCTTTTCGAGGTTGACGGCAGCCTTGAGCAACATGGTGTGCACAGCCTGCGTACCCTTCGGCGCGAAACCGATGAACTCGAGCACACCTGTGAGGATGTGGGTGAGGTACGCGGCGCGGCGGGCTGACTTCATGGCTTGCTGCCACGGCACGCCACCGAGCGTGGCGCGATCAAACGTGAATTGAACTTCGAAGCCAGCGGCCTTTGCGGCTTTGACGCAGTCTTCGATAGTGCGCACTTCCGGCAACGCGTTCCCTTCAGCGATGCCGTCGACGACGTCGACGTGAACCTTGTTGTTCGGGTCGTACTTATCGGTGCGCAGCCACTCATAAGAGGCGAAGAGCGCGCCCGGCTTTAAAACTTGGAAGACTTCCTTGTAAAGCGCCGTCGTGTTCGAGGCGTGGCAAGCGGCTTCGATGGCGTACGCGCCATCGAACTTTCGCCCCTTGAACACCTTGGAGAGGTCCATGAAGTTACCTTGGACGATCTCCGTGAGGTGTTCGACGCCGGCAGCCTTGTTCAACGTGGTGCATCGTCCTACTTGGTACTCGTTGATAGTGATACCGGTAACTTTACCGCCCGTGGCCTTCACAATGTTACGCATCGGGCCGCCAACGCCGCACCCGAGGTCAATCACGTTCATGCCTTCCTTCAAGCCAATGTTTTCCGCAATCGCTGCGAGCGTGGATGAAAATAAATCGCTTAGTCAGTCAAATGTTCCACGAGTGGGTGATGGACGAAAAGCGCGCGCGACTCCCACGAAAGCTTACGCACCAACTTCCTGGCGAATGATGGAATCTTCAAAGCTCTCGCCCTTCTCGCGAGCCGCGAAGTGGAAGCTCTCGCCCCAGCCGTACTCGTAGAAGTCCGTGATGAGAGAGTAGAATTTGTTCACGAAATCGGGAGTGGAGAGGATCCTCGATCCCACGCCTTTACCGTCCTCTTGATCGAAGAACTCGTTGTACGACTGGATGCCACGATCGACCAAGTCCTTGGCCATCGCGCCCGTCTTGCCCCCGAACGATTTGAACGGGTTCTTACGGAACCAGGACAGCTTGACGGCGACGTAGATCCCGCCGGTGATCCCAACACCACCCACGACGAGCTGCACTCGCTTATCCTCAAGCGCGCTCATCACGCGCTCGCTCATCGTGTACGTTTAATCACCAGAGCAGATAGCGGTCGACTCTTGAGATCTCGCGACGTGCGCGACCCGACGTGCGCGTGTAGCGATTCGGACGACGAAGCGACGACGTCGATGTCCGTGCGCGAGCGTTCGCGCGAACGAGCGTCGGGAGATGACGACACGCGCGCGACCACGTGGACAGATCTTCCGAGAGACGCTCGAGAGCCGCCGCACGGCGCGAGGGCGGCGCCGCGAGCGAGTGGTCGCGACGTCACCGTGTCCTCGATGGGGACTAATTCTTGAGTCGTGACTCGAAAATGTAAAATGTCCCGACGCCACGCGCTGGGGGAAAAAGGCGCGACCGTGGGTAGACACAAACACGGGGAACACTGACCAAACCCCAGCGCGGCGCGCGCGCGGTCGCGCGCGGCGCTCGTTCGATCGACGTCGTCGCGGGTCGATCGGTGAAATCGATGGAAACGGTGAGAAATCGCACTGAAATGAACGCGTGACGATCGAAATATGTGATTCGAATGTTTGAATGAATAGTAACGACGGTCACGGCGAGATTCTACATATTATGGAGCGCTCGAGCGTCGCGGCTCTCGCGTCGCGTCGCGGGCGCTCACGGCTTCGTAGACACTTTCACCATGGAAGGGCGGATGAGCGAGTCGCCGATCTTGTAGCCCTTTCTGAATTCTTCGATGATGGTTTCTTCTTCGACCTCGTCGGTCTCTTCGCGCATGATAGCTTCGTGGTCCATCGGGTCGAACTTTTCTCCGACGCCCGGGACGGTGACGAGTCCTTGGGATTCGAAGATCTCGTACATTTGCTTGACGATGTTTTGGTATCCGGTGAGAATCTTTTCTTCACCCTCGTTGTTCCCCTTGATGTTCTTCTCAGCGAGGTCAAAGTTGTCGAGGACCGGCAACATGGCCTTGACGAACGCGCCCTTCGCCGTGTTTGCGGCGTCCGCCTTTTCCTTCGCCGTGCGTTTGCGGAAGTTGTCAAAATCCGCGTTCAGGCGCAAGTATTGGTCCTTCATCGCACCCACTTGATCTTCCATCCCGACCATTTTCGCGTTCGCGTCACCCATCTCCGTCTTGAGGAGCGCCAAAATCTCCCGCGCCTCGGCGTTGTCCCCGACGACCACGTCCAGTTGTCCCAAGAGCTTGCTCAGTTCGCTCTCTTCGCCGTGTGCCTCGGACTCGATCGTCTCCTCGACGTCAACGATGTCTTCATCCTCGTCGTTCGCATCCACCGCCTCCGCGGTCTCACCCTCCTCTTCGCTCGAGCGCGCGACCGGGGCGACCCGAGCTCGAGGACCTCGACCTCGGGTCGAGCGCGCGTGCGCGCGTCCGCGTCCTCGCACCGCGACGGTCGCCCCCGCGCCCGTCCCTCGCGCGAGTGTCGTTCGCGCCCACGTCATCGTGCCCCGCGCCATCGTTCGTCGCCGAGGAGTCTCGCCCGCGCCCGCGTGAAAGAGGTCCACCCACCCACGGGTCTCGCCCCCGTCGACGCCCCTGGACGTCGAACACCGTCGCGACGTCTCGGTGTGTCGTCACGCCGCGCGTGCGTGTTCCCGTTCCCGTGTTGGCGGTACACACGACGTTGTACTAGACGTCGACCCCGTATAGGGGTCACGCACGCCTTTGTACGCGTCGTCCGACGACCACCGGTGGGTGACCGCGAGGGTGTTGTTTTCGTGTGCGTCCGTGGCACCGTCCGCGCGCGGTGCGCCACCTCGCGGTGCGCGACGGACGTCCTCCGCGCGCGGGCGTTGGGATCGACCACCGCGTCGAGGACGATGTTCGACGCGGACGAGCGTCGGGCGCTCGTCCTGAGCGTCTTAGCGGGGGCGACGACCACGCTCGGCGGCGTCGTCGCCGTGTACAAGAAACCGGACGCGCGAGCGTTGGCCTTCTTACTCGGCGTCGCGATCGGGGTGATGACCACGCTGTCGTTCGTGGAGCTGTACGTGAAGAACGTGATCGAACACGGGATCTTGAGCGTCACGGGGGCCACCATGGGGGGGGCGGGACTGTACGCGTGCGCGGCGCCGCTCCTGCCCAATACCGAGCAGCGCGCTGGGACGACGAGCAACGGGTCGTCACCGAGCGAGCGAACGGCGATGAACGCGATGGAAAAGAGCGATGACAAGAAAGATACGGGGGGGATCGGAGGCGTGAGCAAGGTGCGACTGCTCAGGCTCGGGATTCTCATGGCGTTCGCGATGACGCTTCACAATCTTCCCGAGGGGTTCGCCGTGGCGTGCGCGTCCTTCACAAAGATCGGACCGACGATGGCGTTCGCGATCGGTATGCACAACGTGCCAGAAGGTATCATCATCGCCGCACCGGTGTACGCGGCGACTGGAAGTCGAACTCGTGCGATACTTCTCGCGACTGCGAGCGGTTTGTCGGAACCAATCGGAGCGCTCGTGGCGTTAAAGTTTATGAAGCCTTATTTGACCCCTGCGCGACTGGAACACCTGCTGGCGGCGACCGGTGGCATCATGATAGCGGTGAGCGTTCTTGAACTGTGGCCCGAGGCGAAGAAGTGCGCCAATAACGATAGCATGTACCGAGGAATACTCATAGGAAGCGGGCTGATGCTTCTGACGCTATATCTAGGAGCTTGATTGTGATCAAAAATATTCGCTAGCGTACTGTTTCTGCCTAAGTCTACTTACTATATCTGCTACACTTGAGGTCCGAGACGTTTGATGAAGATCCTTCATGGGCCCATCAGCGATCTTGACTCGTCTTACAGCTCTCGTCGACGCGGAAAGCATTGATTCGGCGTCGACGCTCACCTTGTTTCCACTCTTCTTCCCCTCAGCCGTAATACCGTGCGTGAGTGCTTTCAATTCTCTTTCTTTCAGTGAATTTTCTTTGTATACTTTCCACGTGTTTGGATCCTCCCTTCCATACGTCGCTGATCCCCACGATGCTTCTTCCGCGGCTGTCGACAGGAGATCGGGCACGCGCTCCTTTGTTCGCATGTTGCCCGTGTGTCGATCAACCTCCAGCGCCCCCTTCGCCTTCTTCTTGACATTTGCGATGGCCTTAAACAGTTCGACTTTGTGTCCGGCATCTACACTATCGATTAGCGATATACTGTGCGCAGACCCGAGGAATCCAGAGGCCATGTCGTCGAGATCTTCTGCGAGTAAAATTTTCGCCTCTTCAAGTTCTCGTACCAAACGGTTCAACGTCATACAGTGGGACTTGAAGAGCTCATACTCTTCGTATCCAGCACTATCCATGATGAAACTGTTCAGTTTCTTCTGGAGATCAAATTTTACATCTCTGCTTTGTAGTTTTTGGAAAGAAACGGGTCCGAGATGCGAGAGGAGACGACGACGCTGCGCCTCGTTTCGACACTTCAGTAATCGGACACCGATGTCCTCTATCCCATGCATGATGACCCGCCGAAACGAAAGAGATGTACAACCCTTACTGTGTTTGTCGATCGCGTTGATCATATTTACGTATACGCTGCACATGTGAGGATGCAGGAGTATTTCTTCGAACCCAGTCTTGAAGACGTGCGCGAGAACATGTTCCGGATACGGCCCATACATCACCATTTGCTTCACGAGGTTGTTAAAAATGTGCTCGTCCAGCTTCAAATTTGCAAAAGTCGATCCCATCACAAGCACTTGAGTTTCGTTCCACTTCGTGAGGGGCTCTTGAGTCAATGCGGACAGATTCGTCGGGGTGGTGTTCGTCGGGTGACCAAACGCTCCACTTCCACATATGTACAGCGTGTTACTGTCCTGAGTAACGATAAACGTCGAGGACTTTGATGCGTAGACCTGCTTTGCTTGGATTCCGTACAGCGGATGACGTAAAAGGTCATCTATCTCTGACTTCTTCAACGCCACTCGATCGGTCATCGATATCGTAGGCTGCATCTTCTGCGGATCACTGCAACTCTTCACGGAACCGTCCCCGAGTTGTCCGAAGTCATTTGAACCGCAAACGAAAACGTCTCCTAACGTCGTCATCATGACGGTATGTGCTTCACCCGCTGCGATTTGAGAGATCCTTACGTTTACGATCGACGACACGAGGGTCACTGAACACCGATTCTCGGTTGTGCCTAAACCCAGCTGACCACGATCGCCCCTGCCGCAGACGTAAACTCGTCCTCGCTCTGAGAGCAGAACGGTGTGAGCCTTTCCCATCGTGACTTGAACCACTTTGCTTTGGATATTTTCCGTCGTGCGCGTTTTAGAGTCGCTTTTTACTGTCAAGGCGGCCATTTCCTCAACAAAACGCCGTTCGATGTCGTGAGAATCCATATACAATTCTTTGATGTCGATCGTCGTCGGCACTCCACCAACAAGTTCATTGTGCGCCAATCGTCTCGGCAGAAAAACGGACGTAAAATCGCCAGAACCGAGCTGTCCGTGACTATTCGAGCCGCATCCATACACCAAACCATCGTTCGTGAGGATGAGGGTGCTGTTGCCTCCGCAAGCAATGGAAGATACACTCAGCTTGTAGATCGGCTCGACGAGCTTTGGTTTCGCATAGGTCTCGCCATCTCCGTGTCCTAATTGGCCGTAAGTCCCTGATCCGAAGCTATAAACGTGACCCGACGCAGTCTTTAGGAAGGTGTGCGCATCACCAGCAGCACACGAAACCACTTTCGTCGTCGCATTCGTCATCCAGTACATCCACCGCGGAACGTCGTGTGTGCGGTTCGTCCCACTTAAGCCGTGGCCGGTGCACCCCGACGTATCTTTACCCCAAGTCGCACACTCCTGAGCCAAGGTGACAACGACCGAGTGTTTCGCCCCCGCGGCGATGTCCGCCGCTCGCGCCTCGCCCAGCGTGTCCAGCGCCACTGGAATGTCTTGCGCCGTGGACGTGGAGAGTCCGAGCTGCGAGAACTCGTCCGAGCCCATCACGAGCACTCTCCCCTCGTGCTCCGTGTACGTCGGATCGATGACTTCCAAGACTTCAGGATCGGACTCAAGCAATATCAGCGCGTGATCATCACCACCCGACACTTTTTTCACTCGAGAGCCGATCGGGAGCTCTATCGCTACGGGCTTGACAAATCGGTGCAAATCTGGCGGAACGCCACGCATATTCTTCATCCTAGTCTCGAAATACTGCGCCCTCTCCTCGGCCGTGGCGTCCGCCTCGGTGGCACGATCTCGAAACAACAACGTTTGATACGCCCCGGGTTCACGATTTCTCCTCGTCACGTCCTCCGTCTCCGCCCGAGCCGAATCGCCGACGACGTCCCGCGCCGACGACGTTCCCTCGTCCTCGTCCTGTTCACCATCGTTCTCGGCCTCGATCCTTCGGATAATCTTCACCAGCTCCATCTCGTCATTCTCATCGTCCGATTCGTTCCATCGAAGCTCATCGACGTCGTCTGGATTTCTAAATCCCCCCCCTCGCCGGTCTCGCCACTCCACGCGATGAATCGTCTCCACAAACTTTTGTCTCATGATGTCCTCCTCCGTGTACCTCCGCACCGGGATCCCCCACGCGTTGAGCTCCGTCTCCGCCTCTTCTTTCTCCTCCTCCTCCACGGAACATTCCCTGGGTCTCGATGCGCGTCCGTCGTCGTCGTCGTCGTCGTCGTCGTCGTCGTCGTGCCCGTTTCTCGCCGTGCGCGACGAACGCGCGGCTCGCGGGTCGTCTCGCCCCCCCATGGCGTCCTTCACGCCTCGACGCGATGGACGACCGACGCGGGCGTCGCAGACGCGCCCTTCGACGGCGCGTGCGCCTCCGTCGTCCAAGACGTCCGCGTCGTCGTCGTCGTCCCGCGATGTGGTCTCACGCGTGACACACGCGGACCCTTTACACGCCCTGAAACCCCGACCGGCGCCCCCGTCGGTGGCGACGCGCGTGGTGGTGCGCGCTCGGACGACGCCGCCGCGCTCGGTGACGCCGCGATCGAGCGATGGAGCTCAGAGCGCACGGGACGATCCCTCGAAAAAAACCAGTGCTCGTGTGCGTTCTGGACGGATGGGGGGAGAACGCGATCGAGGATGAGCACAACGCCGTGCACGTGGCGAAGACGCCGACGATGGATGGGTTAAAGGCGCGAGGTCCGTCGCGGTATCGAACGGTCAAGGCGCACGGTACCGCGGTGGGGTTACCCACGGACGCGGACATGGGGAACTCCGAGGTCGGGCACAACGCCCTGGGCGCGGGGAAGGTGATCGCCCAAGGCGCGTCTCTGGTGGACATCGCGCTCGAGACGAAGAACGCGTTCAGCGACGCGGGATGGAGCTACATCAAGCCCGCGTTCGCGAACAACACCTTACACATCATCGCACTTTTGTCCGACGGAGGAGTGCACTCGCGAACGGATCAAATCTTTGGAATGATGCGAGGCGCCGTCGCGGATGGGTGTAAGCGCCTGCGCGTCCACCCGCTCACCGACGGCAGAGACGTCGCGGATGGGACGTGCCACGAATACATGGAGAAGCTCGTCGCCGAGCTCGACTCGTACGCCGCTCAAGGATGCGATGCGAAGGTTGCCTCGGGCGGTGGACGCATGGCGGTCACCATGGATCGCTATGAGGCGGACTGGGCGATGGTTGAACGCGGCTGGCGAGCGCACGTCTTGGGCGACGCCCCGAACAAGTTCACGTGCCCGAAGGAGGCGCTCAAGGAGCTGAAAAAGGACGGCACCACCGACCAGTACATTGCCCCGTTCGTCATCGTCGATGAGGCCGGCAAGGCGGTCGGGACGATCGAAGACGACGACGCAGTCGTCATCGGAAACTTCCGAGCCGATCGCGTCGTCGAAATCTCCAAGGCGTTCGAGTATGTCGACTTCAACGAATTCGATCGTGTGCGATTCCCGAAGACCAAGTTCGTCGGTCTCATGCAGTACGACGGCGACTTGAAGCTTCCGGCGAACTATCTCGTGCCACCGCCGCTCATAGAGCGAACGTCCGGGGAATGGCTCGCGAAGAATGGTTTGAAGACGTTTGCGTGCTCTGAGACCCAAAAGTTTGGTCACGTCACCTTCTTCTGGAACGGCAACCGCTCTGGGTACTTCAACGAAGCACTCGAGACCTACGTCGAGATTCCTAGTGACAATGTTCCTTTCAACCAAGCTCCTTTGATGAAGGCTCGCGAAATTACCGCCGCAGGCAAGGAGGCGCTGCTTTCTGGCAAGTACGACGTCGTTCGTGTCAATTACGCCAACCCGGACATGGTCGGTCACACTGGTGACATGAAGGCCACCGTGGCGGCGTGTGAAGAGTGTGACGCGTGCGTCAAGGAGCTTCTCGACCTCGTCGAAGAGTTGGGTGGCATGTTCTTGGTCACCGCCGATCACGGTAACGCCGATGACATGGTGCAACGGGACAAGAAGGGCAACGCGTTGACAGACAAGGCGACGGGCGCGCTTCTTCCGCTCACTTCGCACACCCTTGCTCCAGTTCCTGTCGCCATCGGGGGTCCCGCTTTGCCCGAGAGCGTCAAATTCCGCGATGACCTCCCCGACGCTGGCCTCGCCAACGTCACCGCCACGTACATCAACCTCATGGGTTTCCAAGCGCCAGCAGAGATGGAGCCCAGTCTCATCGCCTGAGCGATCATTCATTATTGCACCGCGGACGTCTAGGCCTTTTCGTGCGCTAATTTTTTTCACTCCTGACATCATGTTAAACGACACATCTTAGTACACCTGCACCTGCGGCTCGGTCCCGTCGGCCGCGACTTCACAACGCGATGCGCGGCGCCGGGGCCCCCGCGGTGTCACCCGCGCTCGCTCACGCGCTTCACCCGGTCAGAGCGACAAATCGATCCCAACGTTCGAATTCCCGTCACGCGATGTCCCCGCGCGCCGCTGCACCGTCCTGGGACGCCCTCAAGTCGACGCACACGAGCGAGACGTCGACGACGGTGAAGAGAATCTTGGACGAAGCCAAAGAGCGCGCCGTCGGGGAAGGGCCCCCGCATCAGGATAATAAACTGCGTTTATTTGGATCGAGCGAGAGCGACGTTCGTGTGACGTTCTATCGCGATCACGCGGGGGTGCGGATGGCGACTTTGACGCGCGTGAGAGAGCGAAAAGCGCGAAGCGAGACGAGTGGACTGACGCGCACGTGAATTCGTCGCAGTGGTGCCCGTATTGCCAAAAGCTGTGGATCATGCTGGAAGAAAAACGCATCCCGTATCGTGTGGAGAAGATTAACATGCGATCGTACGGGGATAAGCCGAAGGAATTTTTGGATAAAATTCCGAGCGGACTGTTACCTGTCGTCGAGATTGACGGGCAGTTGATAACGGAGAGCCTAGTGATCATGCAGATCCTCGAGCGGGAGTTCCCGGAGAATCCGACGCTGCCAGCGGATAAATTTGAGCAGGCAAACGTGCTCCTGAAGCTGGAGCGCCAATTGTTCTCCGATTGGTGTGGACTCACGTTCCGACCATCAATGCCGGGCCCTCTCGGCGCTCGAGCGGGCTTCGAGAAGACGTTGGACAAAGTGAACGAGGCTCTCGGCTCGACGCCTGGCCCTTGGTTTCTCGGCGGTAAAAACCCTTCGATTGTCGATTTTCAATACGTGTCGCACGTCGAAAGAATGAACGCGAGCGTTCTATATTGGAAAGGCTTGAACCTTCGAGGGACGGAACGTTGGGCGAACATCGAAAAGTGGCTCCTTGCCTTTGAATCCCGACCTTCTTATCAAGCGACGAAGAGTGATTATTACACGCACATTATGGATATCCCACCTCAGTACGGTCCCGGGTACGGTGATAAGAACGCCGCGGTGGACGAGGCAGTGGCTATGATTGGCGGCGAGAAGAGTTGGAGACTTCCGGTGAAGCTCTCGGCTGACGGGCTTGAACCGCTCCCAGACTCGATGAACCGTGGCGAAGAGGACGCACGACACGAAGCGGCGTATAAACTGATTAAAAATGCGTCGAATATCGTCAAGTTTGCGTGCCGCGGGGCGGGCGAACCGGGGAGGAAGCAGTTCGGCGCGCCGTTAGCCGATCCATACGCCGTGCCGAATTTGAATTACCAAGGTCAAGTGGATGAGTGCTTACGACACGTGGCGCAAGCTCTGATAGATGGAAGTGCTGGTCCAACGGAGCCAAGCTCGAACATGAGTTCGGAGGCGAAGGCCGTGCGCAAGTGCCTCGAATATCTGCGGGATCGCGTCGGGGTTCCTCGAGACATGTCCTACCCGGCGGCGATGCAGCTGCGCGCGCATTTGAACTGGTGCATAGATTTGCTCTAAAGAGCACCGCTCTACTGTTACATCAGCGCTAGATTTTACACTACTTTCCGTCCAACCGTCTCTCCCTCTCGATGACCTCCTTCTCGAATTTCATTAAAATGTTCGTCGTTCGTCCCGACTCGTCCCCCGGTCCCGCCTCGGAGGAATACGCCGTGACTTTCGCCGGAAATCCAGCCGAGCACAAGATTCCGCGGACGACCCCGGCGGCGAATGACCCGCAGTTCAGATCCCCCAAATCCTTCGGCACGCTCACGAACCGATTCACCAACAAATCTTTATCCGACAACAGGTACTCGTCGTCGTCGTACACCTCGAGCGAATCCGCCGCGCGTCCAAAGACGTTTTTCCACACCACGCTCTGCGTGAATTGCAACAGCGGCAGCAATCTATGATCACGTTTCCCACTCCCTCGCTCTCGAAACGCTTGCGCCTCGAACGCCCGCCGCCCCACCATCTCCCCCGCCTCGTCCAGCGCCCGCTCGAGCTCTCCCACGTCTCGCACTCGCGCTCGGTGATACTGCACCAGCTCGCTGAACACGAGCGCGAACGCGCTCGACGCCACCTCTGATTTCCCCTTCCCCAGCGTCGTGCGCGTCGTCGTCCCCGACCCCGAGCCTCGCCGCATCGTCGTCCTTCGCGCGCGTCGCCTCGCCTCGATCGTCCTCGACGCGCCGACGCGCGCGCGCACCCACGCGAGCCGCGGCGGGGGCGTCGGTGCGTCCGCGCGCGCCGAGACCACCGCGCGTGGGCGTGACACCGAGTGATGCGTCGCGCATCGATCGCGCGCGCGTCACGTCACGGTGACGATGCAAACAAAAAAAAAATATAAACGCCCCTCGCGTGGAATCACGCCCTTGGCGGTGCGGTCGCGGGCGATGACCAGGGTTGAGAGACCGTCCCGAGCGTCACCGCCGGGCGACGGACGCCGCGTTCGTCGACGCGACGCCGTGGATCGAGGACCCGATCGCGTCGCGCGAGCGAGACGAACGATGGGGGGGATACGAGGGAAGAGCGCGAGAAAACGCGCGCGCATGGCGAAGAATTCAAAGACGTTTGATAGGCAGTCGGGAACGTTTCACGAGGAAAGGGTGCCGATGCCGACGAAGAAGGTGAGCGAAGAGGCGATGCTGAGCGCGCCGAAGTCGTTTAAGAGATTTCTCATGGCGAAAGCGGCGGCGGAGAAGCGCATGCGGCGACGAGATCGACCGGAAAGCGAGGAGGATGAGGACGAGCCGGCGGCGGCGCGCGCGAAAGGAGAGCACGACGACGAGCCCGGGACGACGTCGTCCGAAGAGAACGAGGATGCGGAGAAAGAGAAGTCAACCGCCATCGCCGTCAAACCGTTAGTTCGGGCGAAACCTGATAAGGGGGACGACAGACTCAAGGCCATGGATGAGGCGGCTGCGGCGGCTGCCGCCGAAGCTGAGGCGTCGAGGAAAAAGAAGAAGAAGCACCTATCGCTCAGAGAGCGTAAAAAGAGGGAGCGGGCGATGTTAAGGGCACAAAAAGAGGAAGAGGATGAGTTCCTCGGGAGGACCGGAACGTCCGTTCGATTCGGTGACGTTGCGGAAGCGCCGCCCACCATCACGCTCAAGCGCAAGAGTGGAGGCAAGGGCGAAAAGGCTGTTCCCATCGAACAGAGCGGTCATAAAATAGTCGAGATAGCGGAGAATCAGAGCGGTGGAAAGTCTAATAGACAATCGAAAATATTCGCTGATCTCATGGCGTCGGCACAGGAAGCAACGGTGAAGAATAAGAAACAAAACGACACCGGCGAAGTCGGCCTGAGAAGAAAGCACGAGCTTGCGCAACTTCGGGCTCAAGTTATCGCGGATTATCGCTCGATGAAGGGCCGGCCGATGCACAACGGGCGCAGCGAGAAGCTTGCCAGTAACCCGGTCAAGCTCTTCGGGGGCATGGGAACAGCCATAGTGTCACCAGCGCAACTTAGGAGAGATAGAAAGTGAAGTAGTGTTTTTGTAGTCGTCGAACGTATATTGAATCACAACGACAACAGCAATCGACAACAGTCGGACTGGGGTAAGTTATCTAGAAAAAGTCTTGCAGCGCGTCCATTTTGAGGTCACCCTTCTGCAAGACGCGAACCGCACCGGCCGTGGCCTTCGCGCCGGCAATGGTCGTGACAAGCGGCACCTTCAGGCCAACCGCCTCGCGACGGATCTTGCGGCCATCCACCAAATCTTGGGCGTCACCAGACGAGGTAACCACCATCATACCAATTTCACCATCACGAATCATGTCGGAGACGTTCGGTCGGCCTTCGTGCAACTTGAGCACCTTAGTGACAGCAACACCAGCCTTTTCTAAGTGAGTCGCCGTACCACCGGTCGACACGACCGTGTAGTTCATGCTGACGAAGTCACGAGCTATGTCAACTATGGCGTCCTTGTCAGAATCGCGCACGGAAATGAAGACCTTGCCGGAGGTGGGCAGTCGCTGTCCCGCAGCGAGCTGGGCCTTGCAATAAGCACGGCTGAAGTCACGATCAATGCCCATCACCTCACCAGTACTTCTCATCTCCGGACCAAGCAAAGTGTCCGCACCCGGGAACTTGTCGAACGGAAGGACCGCTTCCTTCACGGCGACGTGGTTCAATTTGACTTCTTCCGTGAAGCCGATTTCCTTGAGCGTCTTTCCAGCCATCACCAACGACGCGTACTTAGCCAACGGATGACCAATCGCCTTCGCCACGAACGGCACAGTACGAGAAGCACGCGGGTTCGCCTCAATGATGTACGGCGTACCCTCCGGGGTCACAGCGTACTGAATGTTGATGAGACCGATGACACCGAGTCGTTTCGCGAGCTTCGGGGTCCATTCACGAATGGTAGCAAGGGCAGATTCAGGGATAGTTTGCGTTGGTAAGGAGCACGCAGAGTCACCAGAGTGCACTCCCGCTTGCTCAATGTGTTCCATGATACCACCGATGACAACGTTGCCATCCTTATCGCACAATGCATCGCAATCGATCTCGGTCGCGTTTTGGAGGTACTTATCGACAAGCACCGGGCGATCTTCGTCGACTTCGACGGCAGTCTTGATGTAACGCTTCAAGTCGGCGTTAGAGCCAACGATCTCCATGGCGCGCCCACCGAGGACGTAAGACGGACGAACCATGACAGGGTAGGTAAGTTTTTCAGCAATCTTCAACGCTTCTTCCTCAGATCTCGCAACACCTCCCGGCGGTTGAAGAATGTTGAGTTCTTCCAAAATATCGATCCAGCGCTCGCGATCTTCTGCAGCATCGATTGAGTCCGGAGGGGTACCCAAAATCTGTGTAAAACCGTTGCCGGACGCCGCCGGAATCGGGTTCTCCTTGAGGGCAGCTTCAAGCCTTGTCGCGAGGCTCAAAGGAGTTTGGCCACCGAACTGAACGATGATGCCCTCCGGACGCTCAACTTCGCACACATTCAAGACATCTTCAACCGTCAGCGGTTCGAAGTACAGGCGATCAGAGGTATCGTAGTCGGTAGACACAGTCTCCGGGTTACTGTTGAGCATGATGGTTTCGTAACCAGCGTCCGCGAGGGCGAACGCGGCATGGCAGCAGCAGTAGTCGAACTCAATACCTTGACCGATGCGGTTCGGACCACCACCCAGAATGAGGATTTTCTTGTTGTCCGTCGGTTCAGATTCGTCGAAGCCGTCGTACGAGGAATACATATACGGAGTGTCCGCAACGAATTCGGCCGCGCACGTATCCACGCGCTTCATGGAGGGCTTGCAACCCTTCGCCGTGCGCTCCTTGCGAACTTGCAACTCAGTCGTGCCCGGGAAAGCCATGGAAATTTGTGAATCGCTGTAGCCACGCCTCTTAACTTCGAACCAATCGTTCTCGGAAAGATCGTCGAGTGACTTGAGCGATTTGAGCCAGCACTCGGTCTGGTAGAGTTCACCGAGCTGTCGGATGAACCATGGGTCCATCGTCGTTGCCTTGATGATCTGATCCTCCGTGAAACCCGCGAGGAACGCTTCATGAATGACAACAATGCGCTCGGGGTTCGGCACGAGTAGGCCCTCGTTGATCGCAGCAACGTCACCTTGCATGAACCCATCCTTCTTACCGAGACCCCAACCGGCGAAGCCGGTTTCGAGAGAACGGAACGCCTTTTGGAAAGACTCTTGCCAAGTGCGACCCATGGCCATGGCCTCACCGACAGACTTCATCTGTGTCGTAAGCACGGGCTTCGCGCCCGGGAACTTTTCGAAAGCGAATCGAGGAATCTTCGTGACGACATAATCGATGGAAGGCTCGAAAGACGCCGGGGTCTTGAGTGTGATGTCGTTAGGGATACCGTCGAGAGTGCAACCGACAGCGAGCTTCGCGGCCATCTTAGCGATCGGGAAACCGGTCGCCTTGGACGCAAGAGCAGACGAGCGAGACACACGCGGGTTCATTTCAATGATCATGACCTGGCCGTCGACCGGGTTGACAGCCATCTGAACGTTGGAACCACCACACTCGACGCCAATCTCACGGATGATGGCAACCGAGGCATCACGAAGACGCTGGTATTCCTTGTCGGTGAGCGTTTGAGCCGGTGCGATGGTGATCGAATCACCAGTGTGCACGCCCATCGGATCAAAGTTTTCAATTGAACACACAATGACGACGTTGTCGGCAAGGTCGCGCATCACCTCGAGCTCGTACTCCTTCCAGCCGAGCAAAGACTGCTCAATCAAAACTTGGCTCGTCGCGGACGCATCGAGCCCACCCTTGACGATCGTTTCGAATTCATCCATGTTGTACGCGATACCACCACCGGAGCCACCGAGAGTGAACGCCGGACGAATGATGAGCGGGAGCGTACCGATGTCCGCGGCGATGGCTTTCGCCTGCTCCCACGTCTCAGCCGTGCCAGACTTGGGCGTGCTCAGGCCAATTTTGTCCATGGCATTCTTGAAAAGCTGACGGTCTTCAGCCTTATTGATCGCATCGAGCTTAGCGCCGATGAGTTCAACGTTGTGCTTCTCCAAGATCCCCGACTCGGCGAGCGCCTTTGTCAAGTTGAGCGCGGTTTGGCCACCCATGGTTGGCAACAAAGCGTCCGGCTTTTCCTTGGCGATGATTTGCTCGACGCTCGCCGGAGTCATCGGAGTAACGTACGTACGAGACGCAGTCTCCGGATCCGTCATGATCGTCGCCGGGTTGGAGTTCACGAGGACGACGTCGTATCCCAAGCTTCGCAGCGCCTTGCACGCCTGGGTACCGGAGTAATCAAACTCGCACGCCTGTGTCGTGGGTAAAAACGTTCGATTCGGTCGACATCGTCAGTCACGATTCGTTCAAGTGATATTTCTACGCGTTTTTCTCCCCATTCACCCCATCACCGCCGTACGCGTCGACGAAAATCACGCGTCTCGCGTCGCGATCGTCTCGCGGTTGAAATTTTTAAACCGCGCCCGCCCGCGTCGTCCTCGCCCCATCGCCCCCCCTCCCTTCTCTCTCCGCGAGTCATCGTTCGTCGACGCGACACACACCTGTCCGATAACGATCGGTCCCGCACCGAGAATCATAATCTTCTTCAGATCGGTCCGCATCGCGCTCTTCGTCGCCTGATCCCACGCTCGAAAAACCTCGCTCTCCGCCCGCGTCGTCGTCCACCGCGCCGGGCGCGTCACTCGTCGCCCTCGCGTCGCCGTCGCGGTGACGCGTCCGCCGCACATCCCCCCTCGCGCGCCGTCGATCGCGCGTCGCGTGGACGACATCATCGTCACCTCCTCGGCGGCGCGCCCGTCGATGGGGCGTTCGCGCCGTCGTCGCGCCCGCCGTCGACGCGCGCGCGGTGATGGGTGATTTCACGAGTGATCACCCATCGATGGACCCCCCCCCCATGCGCCCACGCGGGCCCGAAAAGAAAGGTCCGTGTCAATGTCCACTGAGACGACCTCGCATGAAAAGGTCCGCGTCGATGTCGATGAGACGACTCCGAACGGACGGACGGCGGCGTCGACGCGGGCGTCGACCGCTCGGTCGCCTCGACGACGCGACGGTGGACGAACGACGGGGCGCGAGGGGTGGGATGACCGCGCGCGGGCGCTCGCGAGGACGACGCGCGGCGTCGGGGACGACGGTGACGACGGGCGACCGCGATGGACGCGCGCGATCGAGGCGTCGGACGCGAACGGGACCGGGGAAGAATTCGTCGAGACGGGATGGGACGACGTCGACGGAGCGCGGATGGACGTCGGGATCGGAAGACGAGGGACGGGGACGGCCGGGTGGGACGTCGTCGCGATATGAGAGCCCGTTGGGGGGGGTGGGGGCGAGGTTGGGGGCGTACGTGGCGCACGCGTGGGACGCGCGCGTCGTCGAGCTGAGCGCGGAGAACGCGGCGCGATGGCCGATGTGTTTGGCGATTGCGATCGATAAGACGTCGAGCGCGCGAGCGTGCGCGATGATCGCGAGTGCGTTCGCGCTGGTGTGGGTTTTGTCGTCGCTCAACGCGAGCGGAGAGGATTCGGTCTTAGCGAGCGCGGCTTCGCGAGCGCTCAACCCGCTCAGCGTGTTCGTCTTGTGCGAGTTCAACGTCCTCGTCACCGCGTTCGTGGTGTTGTATCCGGTGACGTACGCACAGGCAGTGATCGACGAGCGCGAGGGGGTGGAGGAGAGCGACACTTTGAGATCGTTGAAGCTTCCGGCCATCTTCGCCGAATTCGCAGTCGGGAGCAAGGTGGCGATGTCGCGGTTGGGACGGAGCGTCGTGAGAGATTTCGCGCTCTTCATCGTCGTCTACCTCTCAGTCGCCGGACATTGGTTGTCCCTGGACGACGACGGACCGATCGGGGCGTCGAGCGTGCACGAGATGGAGGGTGGCATCTCCGTGCACTCTCTCTTGCAGTGAAACGGTTTGCGCTCAAACAAGTTCTTCACTCTCGTCTCGTCCCCTAACCGACGCGTCCCTCAAGCGCTCGTCCTCGTCCTCAGACCGCGTCGTCGGCGCATGCGCGTCGCCATCTCGCGCACCGTCTCAGCGTCCGTCGCGTCGTCCTCGTCCTCTTCGTCGACTCGTCGCGTCCATCGTCGTCGTCGTCGTCGAACCGGGACGAGGATGACATCCACGTCGGTGGAGACGGAGTTCACCAGAGTGGGAACGTGCTTCTGCGGCGCATCGCGCGTGGTGACGTCCGGCATCCCGATCGCGGTGAGCATTTGTCACTGCAGCATCTGTCGCACGCTCTCCGGGGCCCCGTTCACGGCGCAGGCGCTTTTCAAGGCGGACCGCGTGAAGTTTGAGGGCGACGAGCCGACGACGACGAGCACGTCGCCGCAGGTGAACCGATGTCGATGCGCGCGATGTTCGAGCCCGATGTACGCGTCGCTGATGAAGGGAACGATGATGGCCGTGCCGCTATCGCTGATTAATACTCCCGGGTCGAGCGATAACCTCAAACCGACGCATCACATGTACTACGGGCACAGAGTCCTGGACGTCGACGATGACTTGCCGAAATTCGTCAAGAGCAAAGGCGAGCTCTGGACCCCTGAATGCGACGTCGCAGCGAATCAAAGCGCGTGATTCGCGCCCACCTTATTGTTGTAATTCGTCTCCTCGGTCTCTCTCGTCGCATTCGCCGCTTCTTCGCATCTCTTGACTCCGCTTTTGCCGCTCGCGTTCGACTTCATCCGAGAGGCTCTCGCGCGTGTGGGTCACTCGGCGCCCTCGGTCGCCTCGTCCACCGCACACCTCGTCTCGACGACCGTGGACGGTCCGCAATGGGTGGAGGTTTAGGTAGGTCTCACGCGCGCGCGTCGATCCCGTCACCCGTCCTCGCTCGTCGCGCACGCGCTCAGAATCGTCTCTCTCTCTCTCGCGTCGTCGTCTCGAGAGAAAATCGTCCAAGACATTTTGACTGACCGTTCCCGTTACGTTCGATCGCGCGCGCAGCGTTTTTGCACAAGAAATCATGGCACACCGCGGGAATGGCGGTCCAGGAGGACGTGTGGAAGCGGCAACAGCAGGCAGAGCACGAGAAGCGCCGAACGGAGGAGATGCGCAAGGAGATTGAGGAGGAGCGTAAGCAAGCGGAACTCAGAGCGGAGGCCATTGCAAGCGGACACGTGAGCAAGCCGACACAGGAACGATTGGAGTTCATGTATAAAGGACGAGTGGGGGAGGCCGCGCCGGCGCCGGTGGACGATAAGGTGATCGGGAAGAAGCGGTTTGATCTCCCGGTGGAGGAGGGACAAAATCTCATCGCGCAGGCGCAGGAGAGAGAGGAGGAGACGCACTCAAAGAACGAGGCTTGGAACAAGCTCAATGCCGATCCGCTGCTAGTGATGAAACAGCGAGAGCTACAATCGAAGCAGTACATCACGAACAACCCGGTGAAGATGGCTCAGTTGAAGGAGGAAAGTAGAAGAGAGAAGGATCGCAAGCGATCAAAGAAAGATGCGAGAAGAGACGACAGACGCGAGAGAAAACGGGATAAGAAGCATTCAAGACACAGCAGGAGATACGATTCACGATCGGATTCTAGATCTAGGAGTCGAAGTCCGAGGAGGGAGCGACGTAATGATAGATCCCGTTCACGCAGTAGAAGTCCGCGTCGCCGCTCTCGTAGCAGAAGTCCGAGACGCTCGGACCGGCGTCACAAAGACGAACGCAGCAGGGGGGGTAGAAGGTCAGATTCTCGCGGCAAGCACAGCCGAAGAGATGACAATGACGACAGGCGAGATCGCAAGAGGCATCGCGATGATGTCGCTCGCGACGAAGCGCACGCGCAAGACGCTTCCAAGGGGTATGGATTGACATATGCGAATAATGTGGCTCAGGACGCGGCGATAATTCGTCGCGATAAACGGGCCCAGTGGCGAGAAGAGGCCAAATGTGAGAAGGAGCGCGAACCCGAACGTGAGTGGCACGGTGGTAACACTGTTCGTCATCGAGCGGGGAAACTGACGGCGAAAGAGAAGGCTGCGCGATTGGCGGCGATGTCAAATGACGCCAACGCACATGACGAAGCGAGAATTGCCAAACTGCGCGCAACCGTCGGAGAGTTAGACGGTGAAATGAGTTTCGTGGAAGAGGCCGCGCGAGGCCCCTCGAAGCATCATTCCGAAGCGCCCGAGTTCATCGCTAAGGCCAGGTCATCTGTGTACTGTGAGCCGAGTACTAGGCGGCGCTGAAGTTGTAGATGTAGCGTAGACATATTTTTCTTTCATGATTATTGCAAAAATCAGGATGCGATCGCGAGGTTTTGACTGGGAGTAATGCATCAACACCTTTACGGTGTATCGAACTTGTGGTATGATTATCAAGAGACGACGACTTCAATCGTCTGGCTGATTTGTTGTACACGTACACTCGTCTCTTGAAGAGGATGAATGTACTAGTACACGTTTGGGACTTGGTTGTCAAAATCGGGCACGGCGAGATCGTCGTTACCCATGCCGCTCATGGCGGTCCAACTATCGTTGAATATGTCGCCCCAGAAGTTCTGTTCGTCCTGAGCCGACTTCTCCAGATGCTTCCGTCCCTCCTCTTCGCCAAGGAGATCTGTCATGAAGCTTTCGAACACGCCAGGCGCCAAATCGTCGATCGACGGGACCATGTGGTCGTCGGACGCAAGCGAACTCTTCTGTTGTCTTTGGTACTTTCTCTGCGATGGTTGAAAATGTAATGTCAGTCATTACTCGCTTGGTCGTCTCTTGTCACGAACGCGCCCGTTGCCTCATCCTATGTCGTCAAGTGCACTGACCTTTCTGCCAACCTCCTCTTGTTCGAATTGCGGCACTGTGTGCTCAGCGGCACTGTCGCTCGGGGACATTCTCGTGCCGGCATCTTCACCGGCGCCCATGGCCTCGAGATCCACGCGCGTGTTCGCGAACAAGAAACGCTGATGCCTCTTCGACGAGGAGTTCGCCTCGTGAATGCTGACGTCGCACACGCGGCACAGAAACGCTCGATCCTCGTGACAGATCACGTAAACCGGGTTCATCTGGCACACATCACACGACAATTCATCCCTGCCGCCCGCCGGTCGAAGACCAACGCGCTGCATGGACCGTTCTCCTCGTTGTCTGTTTTGCCTGCGTGGGGTAAATCCATGTCAGTAACCGCGTCTGAGAGCTATCGTTCGTAATCTCTGGAAGATTTCTTCGTCTCGTCGGGTCGTCGACGCGATAGAGAATGCGCGTGCGGGCTCACTTGAAGAGTGATTTTATCCTCAAAATATTCACCCCTCGCGTCGCTCGTCGCGCGAGTGAACGCGGCGCGCCGTCTTTGAACACCCCCCTCGGGTGCCCCGCCGCGTTGCGCTCGGTCTCTCGTCGTACCTCGTGTCGCATCGAGCGCACACGCACGCGTGTGCCCCGGTAGTCGGTTGGACACGTACGACCGCGGCCGGTTGTTCGGCGCATGCGCCGCACATGACGTCCGGCATCGCGTGCGTCGTGTGTTTTTTGTGTGCAGAAGTGCGGCATGGGGCCCGACCTCGGCCGACTTCGGCGCGAGCGCTGCGTGCCGCTCAAAAATCGAGGTTTAGAATAAATCGAGCGTTTTGATTGGTCGAGAGCGGATCGGCGTAACCGTTCGTGACCGTGGGTTCGGATGGATGAGGAAAATGAAAATGGAGGGAGGGGTTTTTGTTCGATTGAATGGTGATTGGCGTTTTCTTCGTCCGTGTCTACGACTCTACCGCGGCGGCGTCGGCTGTCTCGGGCGCTCGGGTCTCACACTTGGCCAAGATCTCGGGAAATAACGCGCACACAACGGTCTCTAAGGCGACGAAACCGACGTGACGACAGCACACGGGACTCTGGAGCAGAGAGAAGACATCGTTGGCCGCTCTCGCGCTCGCTCGCGCGCCCATGATGGTTTTCACGTTTTGGTTGGAGAAGACGCCGAGGAGGGTCTGTCGGGCGGTATCGGCCTCGCACGCCAGTCTTTCGGGCGTGTCCGCTGGGTACGGAATCTCTGGCCAGACCACGCGACGAATCCAGGCAATCGTGCGAGCCATCGAGCGCGCGCTCCGGAACTCCTGGAAACGCTTTGATATCGATCGTTCGATGGAGAAGATGAACGCCACTGATTGGCGTACCAGTGAAACGAGCGCTCGCCTCATCATCGGCTTCGAGCGTAGGACGAAGACACACTCGAAGAGATCGAGGACGGGTCCTTGCAAACAGGACTCGATATCAGCGACAAACTCGTCAATGTCTTCAGAGCCCTCATTCGTATCCGAACCGCTCTCGCTCTCACTTGATGTCTTCGTCATCTGCTGGACTGATTTCTTCGTCGCAGTAGAAGCTGTTTCTTCGTACATGGACGATATACGCCTGTGCAACGGTGGCTTCTTTGCCAGCAAATTGCTCTTGTCTTCGTCTGTTGCGATCTCATTGACGCCATCCGTCGACTCTCCTACGGTGTACGACGTCACCATGGATGCCATCCCTTCCATCGCATCGCTCATCGTTTTCACCAGCTCGGGTGCTATCACGCTAGGCTTGTCCGGATCATAAATTCCAGGGCGAGCATCCATGAAAGAGAACACCTCAGCGCTCGCAGCGAGTTTCTCGTTCACCAACACGGCTCGTAGGTACGCATCGAGCGCTTTCCATCGGCTCTCTATGAACGCCCCACTCAAAGAAAGCTTTATCCAAGACTTGCTAGGAAATTCTAACGCGTTCACGGCAACTTTGTCCACTTCGCGAAGGCGTCTATGAAGAGTTTCAAAATTTCGAAACCTTCGTGGAACAACCCACATTTCATTTTCGTTCGTGGTCACGGTGACGAGGTACACTGCGTATGACGAGCTCCCCGACCCTACTATCTCTGCGCCCGTGACGCGAGCTGAGAGCTTGAAGTCGCTGTATAAACCACTCGGCATTGTATCTGAACTATTATCACTCGCAGAACGACTGTGCTGGGCCAACGCATTTGTCTCGACCCGCCGCTCGTTCTCGCCGCTTTCACTCACACACATGTCATTGTCCCCTCCTTTTTCCAATGCATCCTCCTTATAATCTACTACCGTTCCTGTTACGAACAAGATACCGCGATTCGCCCAGTGCGGTTTTGCAAAACCAAACAGTGGCCGGAGCAGCGAGACGACTAAGAGCTCTCGCACGAGAGGAACCGTGAGCGGTGACGCGAACTCCTTCTTCACGAGTATGTCGGCCATTACGGCCGTCAACACTCTAAAAGCGCTCGCCGTTTCGATTTCTCCGCTGACCGCTGGATGAAGCTCACCTTGTTTCTTCAGCACACACGCCAGGATATCCTCAGCGTCTTCGGGGCACAACTTCCTGAACTCTTCCTCACCTATCTCCGCTCGCGCCGAACGATACGCCTCCAAGCTCTGCGAAAACACATCCGGGATCTCGCGGAGGACCAAGGAGACCAAATCCATCTCACGTGCTCTGTTTGATAATCGCGCGAACGCTTCATCCAAAATTGCCCGCAACGCATTCGGAACGTCCGCATCGTCCGTCAGCGACTCGTACCAAAGCGATGTGACGTAATCAGCGATAATCTTCTCTCGCAACTCCACCCACGCGCTCCAAACCTCTGGAAAGCACCGCACGACGATCTCGACGTCCGGACCGTGCGTCCACGTTGACCCGCCCGTGCTCCTCTCCTTCTTGCTCCCGCGCCACCCGCTCCGTCGCCCGAGCTCTCTCTCCCGCGCCGTCGCGTGTTCGAGTACGCGCGCGATCACGGCTCCGATCACCGTCATCCCGATCGCAGCCGGCACGTTCGCAATCGTCGTGCTCGGCGTTCGAGCGAGCGCGCGAGCGAGCGCCAGGACCGTTACGCACGCGAGAAATGCCCTCGCGCAGTCCATTCGTCGCACCGATCGCTCGCAACGCGCGAGGAGCGCGCGCGCACGCTCTCCGGCTCGCTCGACGTGCGTCGTCATCGACGTCGACGCCGCGCGACGCGAACTCTCGAACGAGAACTCTCGGTGGAGGAACCAGACCTCGGCACTTTGAGACGCTCTGAGCGACGATGGCGTCGAACGCGAGCGCGGCGTCGGTGACGACGCAGGCGAAACTTGTGCGTCAACGCTCTCCGCGGCAATCAATCGATCGAGCGCGTCCTGAGCGCGTCCGTCGACCGTCGCGACGACGATTCGACGACGACCGTGTGAATCTGGCTCGACGACTGACGCCGCCCACTTTCTTCGCTCAAAGGTCTTACTCGGGGACATGGGAGCCGGGAAATCATCCTTAGTGCTTCGCTTCGTCAAGGGGCAGTTCCATGAGTACCAAGAGAGCACGATCGGCGCCGCTTTCCTCACGCAGACGGTGTGCGTGGACGATCGAACGATCAAGTTTGAAATCTGGGATACCGCAGGACAGGAGCGGTATCACTCGCTGGCGCCGATGTACTACCGAGGCGCGGCCGCGGCGATCATCGTGTACGACATTCAGAGCCAGTCGAGCTTCGCCAGGGCGAAGTCATGGGTGAGGGAGCTGCAAAAGCAAGGGAACGCGTCGCTCGTCATGGCGCTCGCCGGGAACAAGTGCGACATGGAGGAGAAACGCGAGGTCCAGGCGGAGGAAGCGGAGGCGTACGCCGCAGAAAACGGGTTGTTCTTCATGGAAACGTCGGCGAAGGCGGCGGTGAACGTCACGGAGCTGTTTCACGAGATCGCGGTAAAGCTGCCGAGAGCGCCAGCGCCGACGGCGCCGGGAGTTGTCTTGACAAACCAAAATCGCGCGCCGAAGAATAGTCAGTGCTGTTAGGGAGCGCGGGGAAGCGCGGAAAATCTTCGCGGTGCGATCGCTTAAGCACGATTCTGTTTGTAAATGTACATCAATCTCACATGCCTTCAGCAACGCTCTATGTTTCTCTATGTTTCTCCACCCGTCTTCTCCTGCCCAGTTTCGCCCAATTTCGCCTCAAGGGCGTCCACGAACTCCCTGTACACGTTCGCCTTACCCTTGACCACCTGTTCACCTCACGACGCGCGCTCGGTCAATCCCCGGGTTCTTAACGCGTCCGCTCTCGGTCGCTCTCGCGCCGCGTTCTCGTCGTTCGCACCTCGTTCGCCCTTCCCGCGGCCAAGATCTGATTGATCATGTACCCCATCGGTTTCTTCCCCTGATCCACCTCGCGCACGACGTCCACCGGGATCTCGATCGATCCCGAGGCGTCGCTCGCCTCTCGCAGCTTTGGGAGCGTCTTCATGAAATCCTCAACCTTTTCGATCACCCTGTCGTCGCTCGGCGCCCCGAGCTCTAAGATCTTCTCCAGCTGATGGAGCTCCCACACGGACTTCTCCAAGGCGTCGCCGAGCGGGGTGTTCGCCGCGGTCGGGGCCGACATCGCGGGACTCGAAGCGTCGCGTGGTGACGATCGATGCGAACCTCCTCGGGCGCGGGAGGAACGCGCGCGCGTCGTCACTGTGCGACGACGGACGTCGCGCGATGTCGCGACCCGAACCCGGGTCGCTTTGGCGCCAACACGTCCGAGCGTTCGACGCCGTTCGCAGGGAGATGCGAGAGGCGCGAGGGATCGCGGACGTCCCCTGGAGCTCGCTCAAGCGCTTGCTCGGTGTCTCGTGCGTGAGCGCGATTTACACGTCGTGGATCCTCTCCCCGGTGATGAGCGCGCTCGCGGTGTGGCGGTACGAGTGGTTGAGAGCGTACGTCGCGTGCTATCTCTTCGCGTCCTACGCGCTCGGCGTGGCGATGCCGATGAACGCGCTGCATCGGTTCTTCTGTTGGCTCGAGACGGGAGAGGAAAACGGGTGGCAGCTCGTCGTCGAGGACGACTGCGATGTGGACTGCTCGAAGAGGGCGTACTTGTTCACGGCGCATCCGCACGGGTTGTTCGCGTCGGGATGCGTCGGGAACGTCGTTTTGAGCGGACGCGCGCTCAAGAGGTTCCGGGCGAGACGGATTTGGTTCTTCATCAACGAGCTGTTAATCCGAGTGTTTCCGATCATCAAGGACGTGTTGTCGATGCTGGGATTCGTGCCGTGCACGGCGAAAATGATGAAGAAGGTGTTGGGAAGGGGCGAGACCGGATTGATCGTCGTCGGTGGGGTTCAGGAGGTTGTGTTGACTGGTAACGTCGACGAAGAGGAACTTTATCTAAAAAATTGTTTCGGCTTTGTCAAAGTGGCCATGCAGGCCGGGACGCCGCTCGTGCCCGTATACACATTCGGCGAATCGCTAGCCACCGGCCCGGACTGGGTACCGTTCAGAGAGCTGCGTAAACGGCTGAGCTACAAGTTTGTGTTCCCGTTTCGCTCGCTTGGCATAATCCATCGCTGGGGGCTCTGCTTTCCCAAGGCAAAGCTCACGACCGTGGTAGGCGCGCCGATTGAGGTGAAACAAAACCCAAATCCCACGCGCGAGGAAGTTGCGGCGGTGCATCAGCAGTATTGCGACGCACTGCTGGCGATGATTGAGCGAAACAAGGCCCGCGCGGGGTATCCGACGCAACGCACAAAGTTGGTGTAAAGTAGAGTAGCGGTAGCGGTAGCAGTAGCAGTTAGATTGAGCTTTTATCGTAGAAACTATTTTTAAATGTCTCTCGTCACTATTCGTGTACGACTCTATTCTCGCTGTCGCGGCGTGGACTTGATGATGTCATCGACGCGAATGATCATCTCAGCTGCTTCTGTGGCAGAAAGCAAAACTTGTTGCTTGACGCGGAAGCATTCGACGACACCACATTGTTGCATATCGCCAACCTCACCGGTCAAAACGTTCACCCCAGCTTTCTTGTCTCCCTCGGCGTGAGCGGCTCGCATTTGTGAGACGATATCCGCGCTATCTAAGCCAGCGTTGTCGCAGATAATGGTGGGAATCGCACGCAAAGCCTTTGCGAAGCATTCCATCGCCAGCGATCTCTTGCCCGGAGTCTTCGCGGCGAGCTCTTCCACAGCCTTGGACATGATCATCTCCGAGCATCCACCGCCGTAAATCACTCGGCTGTCCTTCACAGTCGAAGTCAACACGCACAGCGCGTCGTGCAAGGAGCGTTCCGCCTCGCCCAGGATGTGTTCAGACGCACCACGAAGCACGATCGTGCAAGCCTCGCCCTTCGCTACGCCGCTGAATCGGATTAAACGATCCTCACCTATCATGATCTCTTCGATCAAGTCGCAACCGCCGAGCTGCACGTCCTCCGGATTGTCGAACGTAGAGCAGATGTCGCCGCCCGTGACGAGCGCCAAGCGCTCGATACCATCGAAATCGGCGTGCTCGATCGCCGCCACGCCCGCTTCGGTAAATATTTGCTCCGGGTAGTTGTAAATCAACTGTCGGTTGATGAAGCAGTTGATGCCGTAGCCGATGATCTTTTCGCACTTGCGCTTCATCTTCTCCCTCTCCGCCTGCTCGATGTCCGCAACCTTGGCCATGGAATCGACTCGCACGCGCGCGCCGTAGATCTTAATCTTATCCGTATCCATGGGCGTGTTCGCGATCAAAATCTTCGCGTTCTCGATCCTCTTCGGCTGCCCAACACCGAAGCGCTTGTCCAAGATGAATCCTTCATCGAGGAATGAGTCCTTCAAGTTTCCTCCCGGCTTTTGAATGACCTGAATCATCTCCAAGTCGCCCGATCCCTTGAGCCTCAACACGGCGTCCACGGCCAATCGCGCAAAGTGTTCTTTGTCGTGCGTCAGAATCTTCGAGCTCAGCGTCGTCTTCGCGATGTTCATCAGGTCCTCCTCAAACTTTTCCTTGCTTCCGGCGTTGTCCCGCGCCGTCTCCTCCAGCGCCGCCTTCGCCGCCTCGCACGCCTCTCGAAACCCCTGAATAATCGTCATCGGGTGCACGTGCTGCGCCACCAACTGCTCCGCCTGTCTCAGCAATTCGCTCGCGAACACCACCACCGACGTCGTCCCGTCCCCGACTTCGTCGTCTTGCGCCTTTGAGATGTCCACCAAAACCTTCGCCGCCGGGTTATCGACGTATATCGACTTCAAGATCGTCGCTCCATCGTTCGTCACCGTCACCTGCCGTCCCTTTTGCACGCTCTGCAAAATCTTATCCATGCCTTTCGGCCCGAGCGTGGATTTCACCAAGTCACCGATCGCCATCGCGCCGACGAAGGATGCCAAGCGCGCGTGTTCACCCTTCTCTTCGCTCGCCGTCGCGCTCAGCACGCTCTCCGCGTTCCCCGCGTTCGCGCCCGACATGTTCGATCGCTCCCGCGCGTCTCGCGTCGACTCTCTCGCGCGCGCCGTCGCGTCGCGCGGTCAAGCGCGACGCGCGTTGACCACGCAGTCTCATGGCGGCCGTGTGGTGTCACACGCGGACCTTTTCACGACCCGTGAAAGTCTCATGGCGGCCGTGTGGTGTCACACGCGGCCCTTTTCACGACCCCGACCGTCGCCCTCGCGCGTCCGCTCGACCGACGCGCGCGCGACGAACGCGGGCGCGCGCGACGGACGCGGGCGCGCGCGAGGGCGTCGATCGATCGCGTTCGATTCATCGCGCGCGCGTGGGGGATCGCGCGCGACGTCACACGATCGCGGGGACGCGGTCCCGGTGACGACACGAATCGTCGTACCCCCGAGCGATGACGACGCGGCGGCGCGCGGCGCGGGGGGCGGCGACGATGGTGGCGTCGACGTCGGAGGGACGAATGGTGATGAGTGAGTTGGAAACTTTCGTGCGCGCGTGCGCGGAGGCGCTGGGGCGGAAGGATGGAGAGGTGGGCGCGCGCATCGCGGCGACGCTCGAGGCGAATTGGTTCAACACGCCGAGCGATTTGTTACGGCTGAGCGCGGAGGAGGCGAGGGCGATGGCGGTGCCGATGAAACTGGTGGATGAATTTAAGCGCGCACTGACGGGGACGAGGGCGGACGCGCGCGGGTTCGCGGCGAGCGCGGCGACGGTTGCGCGGGCGACGGACGACGTCGAGACGGAGGCGGAGACGAGCGTCGCGAGTGAAGCAGTGATCGAGCCCGTTTCGGCGATCGCGACGGAGACAATGGAGGCATCGCCGCTCTCCGCGTCCGCGAGCGATCGCTTGATGACGAAGATGCGCACAGGACTCAGCGCCGGGGTGACGCGCGTGACGCGCAGGCCTGTGTTGCCAAATTATCGCATACCTCTAGACGAATGCGGTGACAGATTGAAGAAAGAGTTCAAAGAATTGAGACGATTTTTGACGGTGCGCAGACTCGGTCCTCAGGAGGGGACGATCGCGGTCGTGACGTCGAAGAAGTACGAGGATGTCTTGCGCGGCGCGCTCGGTTGGTTATGCGCCGAACGCAGTTTAGATCAGTCAAAGGTCACGCTTCGCGACCTTTTCCCATCCGTCGATGCCGAGAGCGCCGATGCAGCTTTCGAATACGTCACTTGGCTCAATGACGAGCGACATACATCGGCGAATTACGAGTTGCTCGTCACGCGTTCATGCATCGCCGCCGTGAAATTTCTCTATGGAAATTTGAGCAAGGCGCAACCGGGAGAGGGCGAAGCGAAGCCTTATCACGATTTACCGATCATCAAGGAACTGCGACGAATGGCCAAGGACGCCAAGTCGCGAGCGGCCAAGGCACCGAGCGTGAGCGACGAACGACTGAAGTGGCTCGAGTGGGATGAATATCTCACCCTCGTGCAAAAGCTCAAGCTTGAGTGCTCGCCGAAGAATTATGCGGGATATAAGCGCTCGGCGAGCGCCGTCGCGTGGAGCGTTCAAAAGTATTTGATTTTTGGCATACTGTCGTGCGTTCCAGATCGTCAGCGGACTCTGCGTGAACTTCGCATTGGGAAGACACTCTTCAAGGAGGGCGACAAGTGGGTCATTCGACACGGTCCAAATGATTACAAGACTGGGAAGGATTACGGCGTTCGCCCGCCGCTAGTGATCTCACCGCATCTCTATTCAACTCTTGAGTGTTTCATCGAGACGCACAGAAGAGAGCTCAATCCGAAGCACGACTTTCTTTTCACCCGTAAGAACGGCGAACCGTTTGACGGTCAAGGCATTTACAGACTTTTCACCTCAGCATCGATGCGACTCACGGGCAAGCGCACGAATCCGCACTTGATTCGCGACATGGTCGTGACTCACTTGCGCGGTACAGATGCCTCCGAGCGACAGCTCGAGGCGCTCGCGATTTACATGGGTCACTCGCTCCAGATGCAAAAATCGACGTATGACAGACGCTCCGTTGAGCAGAAAGTCGCGCCAGCCGTCGACTTGCTTGACTCGCTCAACGCAAAGATGGCTCTCTAGAATCGCTATGTAACATTACATATCTATCGCTAGTCAATCTTCGGAGACCTCCAAAACCTGGTCCCCAATCCATCCTCGTCTGAAGAGGAGTCCGAAGCCGCCGGGTCTGACAAGGACATGCGCTTCTCCAAGTCGCGCATCCAAGTCCTTTCGCTCGTAAACCACTCGTGATTGCGGCTCTCGAAACACGTCGTATAACGAGGATCGTCATTCCACATGTATTCTCGACACACTGCGCACCTCACTCTGGGAAATGTCGATAACTCCAACCGTTTTGCGTCCTTCCAGTGTACCGGCGTCCGCGACACGGCATCCCGAAGCGCCCTCGACGTACACGCCGCCATCGACCGCGTTCGCATGTCGCATTGTCGCACGATATGGCTCAGCACATCCACTGGGAGATCTTCGAACTGCGTTGTCCAGATCTCTATCCCTCGTTTGCGCGACCGTGCGCCAGCGATGACTCGCTCCTTGAGCGCGGTATACAACTGTCTGAACCGTTCGCGCGGCAGCGCTCTCGCCGAAGTCTTCACCAAGCTCATCAACGCGATCGCCGGCGCCCACTTTCCAACGTCACCATCACTTCCGTACGTCACTATCGCTTCTTGAATCGCTCGCGCGATCTCCCGATTCGTCTGCTTCCCGTCTTGGTACGTTCCATCGAGGCTCAAGTGTCTGCGATGAGAACCAAGAAGAAATTCCAATTCTCTCATCGCCTGCGTCGCTCGCGCCCGATCGCTGTGCGTCAAGCTGTTCAGGATTTCGCGCTCGAGGAACGATCCATCGCCACCGAACGTATCGATCATGCCCCGGCGACTCGAGAGAACCTCATCGTGACGACGCGTCGAGCTCTGGAGTGCGCACTGTGCACGCAATCGGCTCGATGCGTCACCGTGCGACGCCGCAAAGATGATGAAAACACTGAGCGATGGCGTCGTCGACGCTCGGAGCGACACGGTGACCAAGCCGACCGCGAATATGCGCCGAGCGATGGCGGACGCGGTGGTCGGGGACGACGTCTTGGGCGACGACGCGACGGTGAAGGCGCTGGAGCGAGCGATGGCGAAGCGTTTCGGATTCGAGTCCGCGGTGTACACGCCGAGCGGGACGATGGCGAACTTACTCGCGGTCGCGACGCATTGCGACGAGCGTGGGAGCGAGTGCATTTGTGGGGATAAGTCGCACGTGCATCTGTACGAACAGGGTGGGATGTCATCGCTGATGGGGGTGCACTCAAGAACGTTGGCGAATCGAGACGATGGGACGATCGCAATCGAGGACATTAAGGGCGCGATTCGGGCCGTGGGAGACGATCACTTTCCGGTGACGAAGGTTGTTTGTCTGGAGAATACGCAGAATAAGTGCGGGGGGAAGGTTTTGAGTCGAGAGTACGTTCGCGAGGTGTCGGCGCTGTGCAAGTCGAGAGGGGTCAGGTTGCACATGGATGGCGCGCGAATTTGGAACGCAATCGTGTCGTCTGGCATCCCGACGGAAGAAATCCTCGAGGGATGTGACTCTGCGAGCGTGTGCCTGAGCAAAGCCATCGGGGCGCCGGTCGGAAGCGTGTTGCTCGGTGAAACCGAGTTCGTGCGAAAGGCGAAGCGTTTGCGCAAAGCGCTGGGAGGATCGATGCGACAAGTCGGTGTTTTAGCCGCCGCCGCGCTCGAAGCCATGACTGAAGTATTTCCCATGCTCAAGGATGATCATGCGCGGGCGCGAAAATTCGCGAGTGCGCTCACGGGGTTGAACGGATTGGAAGTCATGACGCCAGACTCAAACATGGTTTTCGTGCGCATCACCGCGCCGGGTGTCACCTGCGAAACATTCGTGGCTGAACTCGAGGATAATCACGGCATACTGGTGTTACCGACGAGTGCGGACACCATTCGCGTCGTGTTCCATCATCAAATCACGGACAGGGCCGTGGAGCGCCTCATCTCCGGCTTTCGTGAGAGCCTTAGTGAACTTGCGAGAGGCTCGCACGTGCTCGATAAGCTCATGTCACGAGTAGACGCACTTGAGACGTAATACGATGTAATAATGACTATGATGCAAGGAAATGTGAAAGAAAGAATATTTGCAAGGCTAAGGGAAGTATCGCGTCGGCGTCGGCTTGGGTTCTGCGTTCGACTTTGCCTTCGGCTTCCATTCGCACGCGCTCACGGACTCCTCAGCTTTCTTCTTCATACCCGGCTTCCATTCGCAGGCCGATCCCTCGGCAACGGCGCCGTGCGCAGCCTTGTGGGCGGCGCGGTGTTTGATTTGTGTCTCGAGTGCAACGCGAACGTTGTCGTCCAGCACGTGCGCCACTTTACACATTTTCAACAGCTCAGCTGGCTCATCCTCAATCGGTCTGTCGCGATCCGAAGCGACAACACAAATGAAACCGAAAGGCTCGGTTGCGCCCGCCTTACATCGAAGTTGATGTGTGTCACCGGGAGCAGTGTAGCCAACGTCACCATGAGCGAGATGATAGGATTCGAGTCCGAGCTGAATCTCACCCTCGCCTCGTAAGACGACCACTACGTGTTCGTGTTGATGGTGCTCGAGCGTCGTCCATCCGCCCGGGGCGACTTCAAAGTATCGCACGTGGAACACCGGACTCTCACCTCGCTTGCCGATAAGTTCGATTCTCGAGCACTCCTTAAAACTCGCCCCGTCCATCTTATACATCTCCTGCGGCACGCGCTCCCACTGGAATTCGCCCTTCTTCCTGTTGAGTACCTTGCTATGATTGCCCTCCAGTGGGCCCTGAGACGCGTGCTTTGACCCGTTGCCGTGATATCTATTCGACTCTACCTCCATTAGCTGCTTCACTAGCGTCGTTAGCTCCTCAACCTTAGACTCAAGCGCGCTGTTCTTCTCCTTGAGCGCGCTCATCTGCGCGACCGCCTCCGGATCGAGGCTGATGGTGTACGGCGTTGACGGCGGCGCCGATGGGTACGCATTGTGCGGAGTTGTCGGGTAGGGGCTCTGTGCGGTCGCACTCTCGTCGACGAGTCTCAACTTTGGCCGTAACCCAGTCATCGGTGTATAATTTCCGTTGTGATTGTACCTTGACGGTGTATAATGGCCATTTTCACTCGGCCCGTACGTGTCAGTACGGCCAGCCATGGAAAGAATGTGCCGCGCATTGGCGGTCAAATCCGAGCTGTGGCTGTAAAGCGAGCCGCCCACGAGGAGCAGCACGTCTTGACCGTACGTTTCCATCATGACTTTCACTTTATCTAGGGTCATACCGCCGCCGGGACTCGGCAAGATGCTCTCATGATGTCCCATCAATCGACGACAACCGCGCGCAATGTCCTTGCACTCGTCGATGCTGAAACCGAAGCGTCCGCCAAAGTTGGGAAAAATGGTGGCGTCCGCGCCCGCCAAGCGCGGAAGCAGCCCGAGTAAGACCTCGTGCGAGAATCCACGACACACATCTTCGGTCCCACCTCCCAACATCGCGCCGAGGATGGCGGGATGGGCGATGATGGGAAGACCAAAATCCGGATCCTCTGCCAACGCTCGCATGCTGTCTAAACCTGTGATACCTGGGATCATCAGCACCGCTCCCGCACCCGCCGCTTTGGCGAACTTGGCGCGCTGAACCACCAAATGCGCCGGAGCGTTGATGCACGGAGCGTAGATGCACTTCCGTCCAGTCTCCTCGTTCGCCCTCTTGACTGCCGCTGCGCACGCCCGAACGCGCTCCTCATACGGCGCGTAGCGCTGATTCGCCAAGCCGTGATCATCCTTGATGATATCGATCCCACCCTTTGCGAACGCATAAGCCATCTCCGCCAACTTATCACTCGGCGTTCCCATCGGCTTGAGCGCCGTCATCACTAGCGGTCCGCGCTCGACGCCGAGAAGCTTCCGCAACCCTTTGGCGCCGAACCGCGGCCCTCCGAACCCGCTCTGCATCTCTTCCGAAAACTCTACGTCTCGCACCATCACCCGCTCCTTAATGCTCGTGTTCCCAAATATAGCATTTATCAACTGCGTTAACTCTGCACCCGCGACATCGTCGGAGAACGCCACTCGCGCTCGATACCGTCCGCGCCAACCGAGCTCGCTCACCCGCGCCAACTCGAGCGTCTTCGCCACGACGTGCTCGTTGATCCACGTCCCCGGCGGCGCCAAAGCCTCCGGGAGCTCGATCGTCTGTTCCAAGCACAGCGCATCGACGATTCGCCGAGCCTCCAACTCGGTCTCCGCCTCGACGTCGTACGTGACGACAAAACGTCGAACTTTGTGAGCCGCCGACATGGATAGATTTCAACCCTCTGCGTCCCTTACCGCGCGTCTCTCTCCCGTTTAGGTCTTCGAAACCGCGCGCGCGCGAGCGGTGACGCGACGCGCGGTTTTTCGTCTCCCGTCCGCCCGCGCGCTCGATGAACCGCCGAGCGCGAGCGTGTGAAGAGGACGCACGCGTCGCTCGTCGTTTTTAATCGATCGATGAAATCCGCCCTCGCGTCACGTCTTGACGCTCGACAAACTCGACTACGATCGGTGACGACGCGCGCGCGGGGAGAGGAAAACACCCGTCGCCGATGGGACGGAAGCGAACGAAGAACGGATCGAACGCGAGCTCGATCGACGGCGATGCGGACGACGACGATCGAAATCTCGAAGTCTCTCAAGACGCCGTGGGAAACACGAACGCCGCGTCGACGTCGTCGGTGAGCGCTAGAATGCGGGTGTGCACGCTGGAACTCGCGGCGAGGTTCGTCCTGAACGCCCCGCCGGAGGAGATCGCGGACAATAATCGATTATTCTTCTTGGTGGAGCAGGCGCACTGGTACTACGAGGACTTTTCGAGAGAGCGAGATACCAAGTTACCGGCGAAGACGTTCGAGGCGTTCGCGAAAGAGATGTTCTCGAGCGTGGAGATATTAAAGCCGAAACTGAAGGGGTTCGACAATAACGTGAAGGAGTTCAAGGCGTATAAGTTTTCAATCCCGACGTGCGGGGCGGTGCTTCTGAACCCGACGATGGACAAGTGTCTCATGGTGAAGGGGTGGGGGAAGCATAGTAAGTCTTTAGGGTTTCCAAAGGGTAAGGCGGACGCGAACGAGACGGAGGAGGAGTGCGCAGCGAGAGAGGTGGAGGAGGAAATCGGGGTGGACATTCGGAACTTCATAATCCCAGAGGACAAGGTAGTCTTCTATCGAAAGCGCGGCGCCGACGAGTTCACGCAGAAGAACACGCTCTTTATCATTCAGGGGATCTCCGAGGACACGAAATTTCTGACGCACACTCGGAAGGAGATTGGAGATATCGTGTGGAATCCCATCTCCATCTTCGAGCGGGGCGGTCAGACGCTGAAGAGCAAGTATGGTAGTGTCCTCCCGGTGTTACGCACCATCGTCGAGTGGGTCAGGAAGAAGAGAAAAGCGCACCCGAAGCCGAAAACAAACGTGGTCATCGCGCCCGAGTCCCCGGCGGCCGGTCGTGCGAAAGCCATGTCGTTGCAAGAGCTCGAGAATGAACTCCTGGCATCCGCTCCGGAGGCAGATGACGAACCCGACGAGGACGACACCGAGCCATACGTCCCTTTCGCTGCGCTCGACGGCTTTAGGTTCGACAAACCTGCCATCATGCGTCCCTTCGTTCGCGGGTGAACTTTGTACGATAGCGTGTTTTTAATCCAAAGTTGTTGCGACGACGACTCTGAACTCGCGCGCGCACCTCGCCTCATAACTCGCCATGTGCGCGTCCAAGCTCAGCGCTCGCGGGACGCGCGCGCAGGCGAGACCGTTCTCATACTTTGACGCCTTCGTCGCCACGTTCTCCGACGCGTACGACGCGAAGGCGAACCCGGAGGGGTTCGTGAACCTCGCTGTTGCTCAGAATGTTCTCTGTATGGACGAGATGCATGAAAGAGTTAACAGAGCATTCGTCGAGAGCCCATCGTCGTCGACAAGCGCGATGTACGATGACATGAAAGGTTCTCGAGAGCTGAAGGAGGCGTTTGCTGGACACATCAATTCCCGCTGGGCAACTGAAAAACTTGCCTGTCGTGCTGAGGACTTGGTCGTGTCGAGTGGCGCAGGTGCGCTGATCGAGAACCTGTGCTTTTGTCTGTGCGACGAAGGTGACGCAATAATCATTCCAGCGCCATATTATCCAGCCTTTCCAAACGATTTGAGGGCGCGCATGGGGATCGATGTCGTTCCCGTCTACGCCGAGAAACTGACGTCGCTGCCAACGCCTGCGGACTACGAAGCTGTGGTAACGCCTAGATGTAAGGCAATTTTACTCTGTAATCCTGGAAATCCCACGGGAGTGATTTTCGACAAAGAGAGCGTAATGGATACGATCGAGTGGGCGACCAGCAAAGGTCTTCATGTCATTTCAGATGAAATTTATGCGGCGTCTTCGTTTGGAAGCTGCTTGACAGATGAGTTCTTACAAAGACATTCGATGCGAAACGGACGCAAAGCGGGCGATCATCGTACGCCAGGTATGCACAGCGGCATGTGGGGCTCCATGGCTATTTTGGATCGTAAAATTTGCGCGGAATTAGAAGAAGAAGAGCGCGTGCTAGCAATGGCAGAACGCGTTCACGTAATTTATGGGCTATCCAAGGATTTTTGTGCGAGTGGGTATCGAGTCGGCGTGCTCTGGACACGTAACGCCGCCGTGCATCGCGCATTGGACAACGTATCGTATTTCTGTGCTATACCTGGACCGATGCAACATGCGTTGGCGACTGTCCTCAACGACGACGACTTCATTCCCAATTTCATTGTCATGAACTCCCATGCGCTGGCGGCTCAGTTCGCCAGTCTCGATCATTTCCTGAGCGTCCCAGCGCAATTCGTTCAACCGGACGCTGGAATGTTCGTGTGGTTCTCGCTCCGGAATTTTCTTCCATCCTCACCCACGTGGGAGGACGAAAAGAAGCTCTGGCAGCACGTTTACGATGTCGCCAAAGTTGTCCTCACCCCTGGCGCGGACTGCGCCATGAACGAGCCGGGTTGGTTTCGGATGTGTTTCGCCGCCGTCGACCGCGATACACTCCAAGTCGCGGTGCACCGCATCGAGGCCGCCCTGAAAGCTAGCAAAATGTAACGTCTCATCGTCGCCGCTGCGCCGCCGGCTTACCCCGCGCGTTCACAATCGAGTCCTCACTGTGTCGCGCGTCTATGGCAATACGCGCGCAGGTGCTTGCTCGTACGTCACACGTGATGCCTCCAGCGCGCTTCCGCGCCGCGCGTCGCCCCTCGAGAGCGTTGACGAGCGCCCAAAGAGCTCGTCCTCGCGCCTCGAGCGCTCGCGCGGCGGCTCCGCTCATTCTCGACGTCGACGCGCGTTCGACGAGTGAGATTGGCTATTACAGATGGCCCGCGATCAAAGGTAACGAGGTGTACTTTGTGTGCGAGGACGACGTGTACGCGGCGCGATTGGACGGCTCGGAGGGGCGAAGCGCAACGGCGAGAAGGTTGACGCAGGCGCACGGCGCGTGTCAACGACCGGTGGTCTCCCCAGACGGCTCCAAGGTCGCGTTCTCGTGCGTGGAGGATGGGTACGTGGAGATATACGTCGTGGACTCGGACGGTGGACCGATGAAGCAGTTGACGCACATGGGGGCGTCGTACGCGCGCGCGTGCTGCTTCTCCGAGGACGGCAAGCGCGTGTACTTCACGTCGAGCGGGGCGAGCGCGGAGCCGAGCGGGGAGGAGTTTTGGGTTGTGAACATTGAAGCTGGGGCACCAATGCGATTGGGTATCGGTCCAGGGCAGGATTTGGACGTGAGAACGGTGAATGGGAAAGAGTTGGCGCTCGTGGGGAGGAACACAGAGGATCCGGGCACCGCGCACTGGAGAGGGTATGCGGGTGGCGCGGGCGGAGAGATTTGGATCGGCTCCGTCGATAAGTTGGTTCGAATCGATAGCTTCGATGAGCTCACGGGGAACTTCGGGAACGCACGATGGTTGAACGACGAGCACATTGTATTCACCATGGAGGTGAACGGCAACGTCAACGTGTACCACGCTCGAGTTGAAATCGGCGAGAATACGGCGACATTGAGCGATGTGACGAGCGTGACGGACGAAACAGTCTTACCGGCTCGTTCTCTGAGCGTCGACACGACACTCGAACCGAAACTGTCGTGGACGGTGGGCGGCGAGATTCACTTCAAGGATGGGAACAAGGACGCCGAGAAGTTAGCGGTCAAGTGGGTGGGCCCTCGAACGCAGCTTTCAAAGCGTTTCGTCTACGCCGAAGACTGGCTCGAAAATTGGGATCTGCATCCAGAAGGCTTGACCGTTATGACGATCGTTCGTGGGCAACCTTTCACGATGGGTATTTGGGATGGCCCGGTGTTGAGCTATCCTCCGGCGACGATACAAAAGACTCCCAAGGGGAAAGTCGTGGAGCCGCTCAGCAGGCTCGCACGAAAAAGTCAGGCCCGCGTGAGATTAGGATCTTATTTATTTGACGGAGAACGTTTGGTTTACGTCTCGGACGCGAGTGGTGAAGATGACATTGAGTTGCACTGGGAAGAGGCGGACCGGCCAGCCAAGCGACTTGGTTTGCACCATGGTCTGCTTGGACGAGTGGAAATCCTTGTCCCGAGTCCTGAGGCACCGCTTGTCGCGGTTGTGAATCATAGAGACTCTTTGTTGATAATCAACGTTGAAAACGGCGAGATGAGAACGGCTGATTCGTCGAGCGAAGGGGGTGGAATTGATGACTTGACGTGGAGTCCGTGTGGCAACTGGCTCGCGTACACGCACTACATGAACAACGACAGGTCTTGCATCCGCATCCTGGACGTTCGAAATGGTAAGGTCTTCGACGCTACGAGACCGGTCTTAGGTGATCATTCTCCGGCTTGGGATCCCGACGGCAAGTATTTGTACTTTTTGGGTTCCCGCGAACTCGAGCCCGTGTACGACGCGGCCACTTTTGGTCTGGCTTTCCCACACGTCGAGCGGCCGCACTTGATCATATTGCAGAAGGACGTGCGAAACCCGTTGTTGAAAGAATTGAGACCTCCTTACGATACGGAGTCTTCCTCGGGCTCCGATTACGACTCTGAATCAGAGAGCATGCCTCGAAACGAAAAGACGAGTGGCGCCAAGAACAAGTGGACGTCCAAGAAGAAGTCCAGCTCGAAGGGTGAAGAGGACGAAGACGATTGGGAAACGGACGACGGAGACGAGGAAGATGACGAGATGCGGAGCGAAGATGAGAGCGATGATGATTACGCGCCTTCGAATCACTCTGATGACGCGCCTCCACCGATTGAGATTGATGTCGACGGTTTGACCGACAGAGTTATCGCGTTGCCGATGCCCATTTCCAGATACGGCTCCCTCTGCGGCCTCGAAGATGGTAGATTTATGGTTGTTGAGTATCCTCCGAGCCGGGGCGCTCCCGGAGGGGTCGGTGTGGACTACTCCTCCGACGAAGATGATGAAGGTCTTGGCTCGTTGATCTCATACAGCATTCGAGACTTGCGCCGAAGTATTTTGATTCACGGCGGTGTGAGCGAAGTATCGCTTTCCATGGATCGTAAGTGCATGGCAGTGGAACGCGATTCAGGAGGTTACCTAGAACTTCGCGTGTACAAGGCGGGGGTGCGCCCCGAGGAGGAGGGAAGCGACAGTGAAGAGTTGGATCAGCAGCTGTGCGACCGCAGGACGGGATTGGTCAACCTTGATGGTCGAATCCGCGTTCTCGTGGACCCGCAAAGAGAGTGGGCGCAAATGCTCGGTGAGGTCTATCGTCGACTTCGTGATGACTTTTACGATGAAGACATGAACGGCGTTGACTGGGAACAAGTTTTGGAAGAATACGAAAAGCTTTTGCCAAAGGTGAGCACAAGGACCGAGTTCGCGGACTTGCTGCGAGAGATGACCGCCAGACTTGGATGCTCGCACGTCGCCGTCACGCCGGGTGATCCAGGACGTTCGGCACGTCGACACTCCGCTGGTTACCTCGGCGCTGACTTCATATGGGACGCAAAATCGGGTGGATATCGAATAATGAATATTGTCAAGGGAGATAGCTGGGACGACGCGCGCGGCGGTGTCTTGAGCAAGCCGGGCGTGAACATCAACGAGGGAGACATCTTGCTCTCGATCGATCGTATTCCTCTAACCGAGGATATACCTCCGGCGTCGTTGTTGATCGAGAAGGGCGGCGCCGAAGTTCTGCTCATGGTGAAAATTGACAGCGACGGCGGGCCCATCGAAGAGGCGCTCGACAAACTCGTCTTGGGGAAGAATGGAAAGAAGAAGAGCACGAATAAGAAGAACGACGGCGCGCCAAAGAAAGGCGACGTTGTTCCTGTGCGCGTGCGAGCGATGCACTCCGAAGTCGACGCGCGGTATCGGGATATGATTCAGAAGAGAACATCTCGCGTTCACACGAAGAGTGATGGACTCGTCGGGTACTTGCATGTGCCCGACATGGAGCGCACGGGTTACTCCGAATTTTGGCGTCATTACGCGTGCGAAGTACGCAAGGGTAGTTTAATTCTCGATTTACGTGGAAACACGGGCGGACACATCAGCGAGTTGTTGCTGTCGAAGTTGTCGCAGCGCGCGTTGGCTTGGGACATTCCTCGCCGCGGGGAGCTTCAGGTTTACCCGCAGAACACGCCGGGTCCGCTCGTCATGCTCGTCGATGAGCGCACGGGCTCCGACGCAGAACTCATGGCGGAGTCATTCAGAAATCTTGGTTTAGGACGCGTCGTCGGCACGCGCACGTGGGGAGGTTTGCTCTCGATAAATGGTTCCGGAGACCTCATCGACGGGTCAGAGTTGAGCCTTCCGTCGCAAAACGTATTGCTCGTGAACGAGTTGAACAATCCGCGAACGAATTCGGTAGAAAACAGAGGGGTCGTTCCTGACGTTGAAGTTCGCGTCTCTCCCGCCGATCACGCGCGTGGTGCGGATCCACAGCTCGACCGCGCGGTGAAGGAGGCGCTCGAGTTGCTCGAAACGCGCGACGAAACCGCGCGCGCGCCCCTCTTCCTCAACAAAGCTCGCAAGGACGAGACCGCGGCGCAAGAGATCGAAAAGTCACTCACGCGTAAACCGTGGTCATTCGCGACGTGGGCGCCGCTTCCACCCACCAAGGAGGAGGAAGAGAAGGCGCGCGCCGCGCGTTCCGGCTCGCGCGCCGCAAAGTTCCGCCGAGGCGCCGCGCGCGTCGAGTCGAAGGAAATATAAACAACCACGCGCGAGCGCATCTCTCTCTACGATATCATCACTCCAATCATTCCAAAAGCTACCTCGACGACGCCGCGCCCACGCGCCCGCCGTCCGCCCACCCGCCGTCCGCGCGTCCGCGACGCGCGCGCCCGCCCGCGACCCGAAATCACAAAATCACAAAACCGCCCCCCCCCCCTCTCCCAAGAACGGATTACTGATCTCATCGCACCCATCCAACGCGGAGACCACCATGACGCTCGTCCCTCGACACACCATCAACCCTAACCGTCGCGTCACCGCCGTGATCCGCATCGCATCCTCCGGATCTCGCACGTGCTCGATCGCGTCGTCGAGAACCAAGTTTAACAATTGATCGTACCCCTTGAGCGTCCCCGTGACCTCGCGTCCACCGCTGAGCTTCACCCGCACCCCGCGATCGATGCATCGCGCGAGATCGAGGACGGTGTCCTTGGGCGCCATCGCCCGCGTCTCGCGCGCGTGTGACGACGTCGAGGGGATTGAATCACACGCTTTCACGAGTCAGGACTCTCGAAACGTCGACACGAATGCGTCGTCGCTCGCGCGCATCCATCGTCGCGCGCGTCGTCGTCGTCGTCGTCGTCGTCGTCGTCGTCGTCGTCGTCGGTCGTTCGTTCGTCGCCCGTCGGTCGGTCGTTCGTCGCCCGTCGCGCGCGATGTCGCTCGCCCGTCGCGCGCGCGCCGTCGGCTTCGTCCTCGGCGTCGCCGTCGCCGCCGTCGCCCCGGTCGCGCTTCGACGCGATCTCGCGCGCGCGCGACGGGGTTTAATCGACGATCGCGACGCCGCGCGCGAGGACGGGCGCGAGGCGGACGACCGCGAGGGCGCGCGCGCGGGATGGATGGCGATGGCTCGACGGACGGCGACGCGGGACGGGCGACGGCAGTGGAACGCGCTCGTCGACGCCGTCGCGGGGTCGGGGGTGCGCGCGCTGAGCGAACGAGGTTTGTGAGCGCGCCGACGCCGACGGGGGGGGGCGGTCGGGCGCGGTCGGGCGCGGGGGGCGGCGATCGGCGATCGGCGATCGGCGACGCGTTTTCATCGATTCGACGCGTCGTTGACGACGTGCGGGACGATGGCGACGGCGGCGTCGGCGCCTCGGGTCGCGGTGGGTCAGGGTGCGAGTATGTGCGCGCGCGCGCGGTCGCGAGGACGTCGGGTGCGGTGGATTCGGGCGCGTGGGATCGATTTCACCGACGCCGGGTGCTTTGAACTCGCGTACGCGCCGGTGGGGGAGTCGCTCATTCCGAGCGGGCCGTGGAAGACGATCGAGGGTGGGGTGTGCGCCGCTCGAGGGTTTAAAGTCGCGGGGTATAAAGCGGGACTGCGGGCGAAGGGAACGAGGGCGGATTGCGCGCTGATCGTCGCGGACGACGACGCGACGTGCGCGGGGATCTTTACCACAAACGTCATGTGCGCGGCGCCGGTTACGTTTTGTAAGAAACAATTGGCGGGAAAGACCACGGCGCGGGCGCTGTTGATCAACGCTGGTCAGGCGAACGCGGCGACGGGTGATGCGGGGGCGGCTGACGCGCGAGAGACCTCCAAGGCGTTGTCCGAGGCGCTCGGCGTCGCCGAGGAGGACATTTTGCTCATGTCCACGGGCGTCATCGGCAAGCGAATCAAGATGGATAAGTTCTTGCCAGGGATTCCAATCTTGGCGGCGAACGTCGAAAATAGCACCGCGGCGGCGATGGCGGCGGCGACCGCGATTTGCACCACGGATCTCGTTCGTAAGACGGCGGCGATTGAGGTGGACATCGGCGGCGTCGCCGTTCGCGTGGGCGGCATGGCCAAGGGAAGCGGGATGATTCACCCGAACATGGCGACCATGCTCGGCTGCGTGACGTGCGATGCCTCGGTCGCGCCCGACGTTTGGCGCACCATCACCTCCCGCGCCGGCGCCGCGTCGTTCAACCAAATATCTGTCGACGGAGACACGAGCACGAATGACTCGCTCGTGACGTTTGCGAGCGGCAAGGCTGGGAACGCCACCATCACCGACGTGAACAGCCCAGAGGGTAAACTTCTCGAGCAAGCGTTGACCGCCATGTGCAGAGGTCTCGCCAAGGCGATCGCCTGGGACGGCGAGGGCGCGACGTGCTTGATCGAGTGCAACGTCTCCGGCGCGACGGATGACGAGGACGCGCGCGTCATCGCGCGCTCCGTCATCTGTTCGTCCCTCGCCAAGGCGGCCATATTCGGCCACGATCCGAACTGGGGTCGATTGGCCTGCGCCGCGGGCTACGCCGCCCCGGTGAAGAACCGTTTCGATCAAAAGGATCTCAAGCTCACGCTCGGTCCGATTCAACTCATGGACAAGGGCCAGCCGCTCGATTTCGACGCCGTCGCCGCCAGTCGTTACCTCAAGGAAACCACCGGCGTGCACGGCACCGTCGTCGTCGACATCTCCGTCGGTAACGGTCCGGGCAAAGGTCAAGCCTGGGGGTGCGACCTCTCGTACGATTACGTCAAGATCAACGCCGAGTACACGACGTGAGCGCGCGCGCGCGCGGACGTTTCATTTTGTAACCTGAAGAGAGACTCTTCTCCACGCGCAATCCGCGCGCACCCCCCACGCGCTCGCGCGCGAATCTCACGCCCGTCGTCGACATGCGCGACCGTCCGAGGGCGACGATCACGCTCCGCGGACGCGCGATCGATGACATCGCCTTCGTCGCGTCGTCGAGCGTCAGCGGCGAGAACGAACTCGAGCTCCGGACGCGGCGGCCAAAGTTTCTTCCTCTGCTCGAACGTCGACCGGGAACGACGCGATCGACGCTGACGTACGCCTTGGTGGACGGCGAACTTAAAGTCATGCGAGAGCGTTCGGACGATGGACGCGAGGGACGGACGGCGACGCTCGGGGAGGCGATGGGGCGAGCGACGCGGCGGTGCGTCGAGCGGGCGTCGCACGCGCTCCTGCCGGAACCCACGAGCGTGACGAGTGATTACTGGGAGTACGCGCGGTATCGATTCGCGCAAAGGATCGCGTCGAGCTGCATATCGGTGTTCGCGACGCAGCAGATGCTGACGGCGGTGGGGTTAGGGGCGAGTCGCACGCTCCCGGCGGCCGCCGCGGTGAACTGGGTGCTCAAGGACGGTTTGGGGCGATTGGGGAAGCTGAGCGTGGCGGCGAACTTCGGGCGGACGTTCGATAGCGATGTGAAGAGGTTTAGGTTCACGTCGAGCGTGGTGTACGACGCGAGCTCGTTCATAGAGATTATCACGCCGTACTTTCCACAGCACTTTTTGCCGCTCGCGACGGTGGCCAACATCGGGAAATCCGTCGGCATCACCACCGCCAACGTCGTTCGCGCACCGATTCAGAGAACGTTCATCTTAGAAGAAAATTTAGCAGAAGTCGCCGCGAAGACGAGCGCGCAGCAGGTGTTGGCGGACAATATTGGGCTCGCGCTTGCGGTTGGCGCGGCAAAGGGCATGTCAAAAGTCGCGACTGTTCGACCGGAAATTCGACGAGCGTTGCCCTTGTTCGCGTTCGGGCCGCTGGCGGTGCTCGATTTGATTTGCATCTATAAAGAGCTCAAGGCTGTGCAGCTGCGGACGATCAACAAGGAGCGCGCTGAGATCATTGCCGAGGCGTACGTGAAGGAACGAGAAATTCCGACGCGAGCGAGGGTGGCCAACGCCGAGCGACTTTTAATACCCGCTCGGCTCGATAAGTCGAATCTTCCTCTCAAGGTGACGTCGATAGGGGAGGTTTGTCCGACGCCGAAGTCATTGATCCGGGCGCTTTCGGGTAAGGGAAGGCGCGCATCGACTCCACCATACATCTTAGCGTACGAGCCAGGAGCGTCCAAAAAGCGCGTGCTCGTCGACGGGCCGCGTATCGGCGCGCCCAAGACTCCAGTGAACGGAAAGAAGAAAATGAGCGCGAAGTTCCAGTTTCCTTGGCAGCGAGGGCGAGTCGGCCTGAAGGGTCGAGCTTTACTGGCGCTGAGCGAGGACGCGACGAGCAAAGACGTCTTACGCGCCGTGCTTCAGGTGGCGCACATGCGCGCGCTGCCGTATCGTCCCGATCTCACCGCCGACGAGGCGTACGTGTGGGCGCTTCAGGAGTCCGAATCCCTCGCCAAACGAGACATTGACGATTTCACCGCCAACCTGAGCAAGAAGGGTTGGAGCCACGAGCGCATTTTGCTCAGCTCAGCCGAACGCCTACCGTATTCAATAATCGGCAGCGCTCCCGCCCTCGTCGACGCTCTTCGAACCATCGAGAAGTAGTAACATTCTGTACAATATCACTCGCTATTTTTTCGAAATCCTTCACCGCCTCGACGTCGAGCTTCATCCCCGCCCGTCCGCGCCTCGACTCCACTCCACGTCATGGACGATCCCGCGCGCGAGGCCGCCAAGGCTGAGTGTCTCGACTGCGCCTTCTGGGGTGGCATCCGAGGCGCCGCCCTCGGTCTCACCGTCTCCGCGCCCCTCACCTACGCCGCGCACGTCAGGTTCAAGACGATTCGAAGACTCACGGTGAGCGCCAAGACGGCGCTCGTGGTGTCGCCCTTCTTCTTGGGATTCTTCTTAAACAGCGAGTTGGAGCTCCATCGGTGCGTGTTGCGGCAGAGAGGGATTCACTGATGATGACGCTCGCGTCCATGGAAGGCGTCGCTGGGGGTGTCGGGAGCGGGGTGTGTACGATGTTTCATTAGACTGGGTCTCGTGCGAGTTGGTCGAGCAGTCGGATTGTTTTAGTTTTATTGTAGTAGTAAACATTTCATTCGCTGCTAAAGGGTCAATAAACGTTCTCAGTTAGGGACGAGCTCCAATCCAGGTCGCCACCACGCGCCGCCGAGGAATGGGTCGTCGAAGGTGAACTCAAAGTCGGGCTTGTAAAAGCGAACGCCGCCGACCTTGGGGCTCGGTTCGATGTCGTCAAGGAGAACCTTTTGCTTGTTCGTCAATCTGAACGTTCGAGCGGCGAGACACTCGTCGATCGCAATGGCGCTCGAGGCGTTGATGACGAGCGGAACTCCGCGCTGGATGGACCAACGCGTGAGGAGCGCCTTGGCACTCTGCTTGTTGCGTTCATCCGCCTCGGCTTGGACAAGCTTGGCGTGCTCGAGGAGTTGCTCGTCGCCGTTCGCGAGCGAGGTATGGGCGAGAACGGTGACACCGTAACGGCGGCACACGCCAACGAGCTTGCGCTGCGCCAAGAGCGGGTGGAGCTCGACCTCGTTCACCGCAGGCTTGACCTTGCAGCACTTCATCAAACGCTCCACCGCCGGGACGGAAAAGTTGGCGACGCCGAGCGCCTTGACGCGACCGTCGGCGACGCACTTCTCGAGCGCGGCCCAGGTCTCCTCCAAACTTCCCTCGGAGTCCACCTCCGTAGTCCCCGGCTTGTGCACCACCGGCCACTCGAGAGAGAACAAGTCCAAGTACTCGATGCCCAAGGCGGAGAGGATGGCGGACAGCGCCGCGTCCACGCTCTTGTGTTCATCCGGACGCAACTTGGCGCTCACGAACACGCTCTGACGATCACCGTGTGCCGCGATCGCCTTACCCGCCTCGCTCAGCGCGGCATCGTTCGATGATCCGCACGACACGTGCGTCACTCCGCGCTCCAATCCGAGCGCCGCCGCGCTCGAGTCCACGCCCACCATCGGAAGTCGTCCACCTCCGGTGATCGGCACGTCCTTCGTCTCCTTCGTCGCGTCAAACTTTTCTTCCTCCGGTTCTCTCTGGTAATACGGCGTTCCGGGCGCCGGTTTCGTCGGATCACCCCTCGGCGCCGGTCCGTCCCACACCGCCGTCGGTTTTCGGAACGTCTGTCCCGGAGGCGCGCGCGCGAGGTCTCGACCCTCCCTCTGCGCCTGTTCCATCTGCGCTCGCGTCGGCGCGTACGCCGGGAGCGTCGGATTGTATCCGTTCACGTATCCGCTCACGCTGTACTCGTACGATCGCGCCGGCTGTGCGTGACGCGCGTTCGCTCGCGATGCGCCGTCGTCCCGCGAGCTCGGGCAAAAGGACCAGCTCTTCTGCGCCGAACCGGCGCCGTGACCGGCGAACTCCTTCTTCATGAAGCGCTCGAGGGGCTGGCATCCATCGAGCGCCATGTCGCGATCGACCGCCGCGCGCGTCGACGGGTGCCGCGCCCGGGGAGGCGGTGACGCGGCGGTGCCGATGCCGACGTCACTTTTTTATTCCACATCCTGGAGAGGCCCCCAGATGAGGCGGAGGACGTCGGAGACGCGGCGGCGCGGACGACGGGGCGAGCGTAAATCGTGATGTGCGATGATAACAAGGCGCGTAATTAATCTTCGATGTCGACCGTCTCGTCGTTCATCTGGTTCAGGTAGAGGTCGTAGTAGCGACCGGCGTTTTCGAGGTCGCCGAGCTCGGCGTACAAGTCGGCGATGGCGCCCAGGGCGTCCATGTCGCCGGTGCTGTCCATGAGCTCGGTGGAGATGGTCAGGACGTCCTTGAGGGCGGCTATGGCGCCCTGGCGGTCGCCCATCATGCGCTTCGCCGCGCCGAGACCGCGCGTGGCTCGACGCAGGGAGACCAAGTCGCCGACGACGCGAGAGAGCATGATGGCCTTCTTGAACGAGTTCATGGCCGACTTCGCGTCTTCGTTTCGCAAATCCTTGCGACCTTGTCGGAGGTTGAGCTTAAGTTCCTTCATATCGTCCGAGAGCGAGTCCCAATCGTCCACGCTGGCGCCCACCACGGGCTCGTCGACCACCGCGACGACTCCGTTCTTCACGACGACTTCACCCTTCGGTCGAGACGTCGCCATGAGGCCCTGATTAATCTTACGAAGCTTCTCGTTCAGCTGCACGATCTCCTCCTTCTTCTGATTCGCCGAGATCCCGCTCGCGACCGCCCCCACGAGCGCCATCGCCTCCGTGATTCCCACCACGTCTATCCCGAACGGCGTCACGCACAGCGTCTTTCCCTCCATCACTTGTTCCAGCGACTCCCTCTCGCTCTCCTGTCGCAGCCGCTCCAGATCCCTCTTCGCCTGTCCCTCGCGCTCCCATCTCAACTCCAGCGCCTTCGCCTCTTCGTTCTTCAATTCAGCGTAGAGCTCCGCCATGCGTTCCGCGCTCTTCGCCTCCTCCTCCTTGCGAAACGCCAAGAGTTCATCCGCGGGCCCGCGCGCGAGCGACGCGTCGACGTTCGACGTCATCGCGATCGCGCTCGCCACCACCATCACCAGCGCCCCTCTCCGGGACGTTCCGTCCACCGCGCGCGCGTTCGAGCGGTCGTCTTCGCCGCACCGCGCGCGCGCGATGACGGACCGAGCGATGCGATGGGATCGCGATCGCGCGTGTTTTTTGGAATCGCCGCGCGTGATCGCGCACTTTGGCGTCGTCGTCGGTTCACAATGCATCGCGCGCATCGTTCGCGCGCGTTAGCGAGCGCACGCGCGTGGGCGCGGTCGAGGGACGAAGTGCGGGACGATCGATCGCTCTCGCGCGCGTCGCGCGGCGTCGCGTCGCGGCGCGTCGGCGCTTCGATTCGTTCGAGCGCGCGGATGAAGGGGCGTTGGGGCGACGATGGGTGCATCGGAGGCACGTCTCATTCGTAAGCGTACGTGTGCGCGCGACGCGCGGGCGATCATCGACGGTCGTCGTCCATGGACTTGCGCAGGGCGTCGAGCTCGGTCTCGATGGCTTCGCTCACGGGTCGGCCGCTCGGGAGGGCGCCCTTGGCGCTCGCGCTCGGGAGGGACTTCTTCAGCGCCTCGAGCTCGGCGTCGACCCCGCCGCCGGCTTCGAGGGCTTTAAATTGTGCCTCGAGCGCGTCGGGGGCGGCGAAAACGCCCATGGCCTCGGCCTCGGCTTCCATTCCGAGCACCTTTTCCTCCATGCGCTCGAACGCGCCGAGCGCCGAGGACGTGGACACGCCGCTCACCATGTCGCTCACCGCCTTGTTCGTCTTCGCGCTCGCGGCGCGCGCCTTGAGCGTATCCTTCTTACTCTTCGCTTCCGCCATCTTACCCTCCAACAGGCGCGTGTTCGCGATCAACTTATCCACCGCGTCCTTTTGCGCGTCCAAGTTGGCCTTCATCGACTCGGCGTTCTCTTCGTACGACTTGCGTCTCGTCAGCGCCTCTCTCGCCAGGTCTTCGTCCCCCTTCTCCATCGCCAACTGCGCGCGTTTATACCAATCATCACTCGCCGACTTGGCCGCTTTATACTTCGTCTCCAGCTGTTTCTGCGACGCCATCACCTGCGCCGTGGCTTGTCGCATCTTGATCAAATCCCCCTGCATCTCGTTCACCGTCTGATCCAGAATCTTCTCCGGATCCTCCGCCGCGGTGATCAACGAGTTCGCGTACGACGAGATCACGCGCGTGAACCTTTGGAACAGATTCGCGCGCGTCGTCACGCCCCCCCGCGCGCGCGCTCGGACGCATCCACGATTCGAATCGCGTCGTCCCGCGAGCGTTCGCATCGTTCGTCCGCGTCCGTTCCCGGTCGCGAACGCGCTCGCGCGCGCGCGCGTGAGCCCCGCGGACACGGTCACCATCGCTCGCGCGCGCGTCTTGACGTGCGCCGACGACGCGTCGCGCGATGGCGCGATCGGGTTGGACGCGTCACGCGTGGATATGTATCACGAGTCATCACTCGTGAAAGAGCCCCGATGGCGACACACGACGGCGCATCGCCCGCGCGACGCCGCGCGCACCGGCGCGGGACGGACGATGAGCGCGCGCGCGATGCGAACGGCGCGACGGGCCCGCGCGCGCGCTGGGACGAAGGCGTGGGACGACGGGGCGGAGACGCGGGCGAATGATGGGGACGACGCGGGCGACGACGGCGCGGCGGCGAGCGATGGCGACGACGCCGACGACGGTAAAGGACGCGCGCGCGCGGTGAACGCGTTCGCGGTGTTGCTCGGGAGCGATGATGACGACGGGGTGGGCGACGACGACGGGGTGGGGGGGGAGGACGCGGCGGCGGCGGACGGGACGGCGACGGCGACGGAGCGCGAAAAGGCGCGACGCGGCGAGACGGAGGTGCGATCGATGAAGAAGAAGAAGAAACGGGGAGGGAAAAAGGGGGGGAAAGCGCGCGCGGAGGTGGAGGAGGAGGATTTGGACGCGCTCGTGCGTGAGGTGACGGGGATGGAGGTGTCGGCGACGACGCGCGAGACGAGAGACGCCGAGGCGACGACGACGAAGACGATGGCGCTGCTCGCGGTGGACATGAGAAACATGAAGGCGGAAGATGAGCTCAAGAGGATTTTTGGTGGGCGCGTCATCAATGCGGTGGAGGCGGAGGAGACGGGTAAGGCTGGAGGTCGCGGCGCGGCGTTCAAGGCGAAGATACAGAGACGATGCACGTTTAGTCCGTACCGCGATCAGTGGGCGTCGTATCGCAGCGAGGGGCTGTACATGGTGACCTCCGGCGTCGTAGACGGGACGTCGGGGATGACGGAGTTTTCGTACGCGTGGAAGAACGATTACGTGCGGGCAAACTTTGATTTTGAAATCGCAGTCGGATCGCACGATCCGCATCGCCTCTTTCACGTCTTGCAAAATTATCCTTGGCACCTGGAGACGCTCTTGCGTATTAGCGAACTCTATCACTACTCTGGTCAGGCGCAAGAGAGTTCGGAAGTCTTAGAGCGCTGCTTGTACGCGTGCGAACGGGCGTGGCATCCAAATTTCATCTCGGCGGCTTCGAACGGCGTGGCGTTTTTGGATTCGTCCAAGGTTGAAAATAAACCCATGTTCGAGTCGCTGTTTAGGCACACCGTGGCTCTCACTCGACGCGGTTGTCACAAAACAGCGCTGGAATGCTCGAAGCTCCTGCTCGGACTCGATCACACCGATCCAAAGGGGGCCCTGTGCATGATTTCATACTTTGCGTTGAGATCGCAAGAGGAGAGGTGGTTGCTCGACTTCATAGAGGTGTTCGGACAGAAGCGATGGATCGACGGTGAGTGGATCACGCACGGAAGTTTACTCACCTTTCCTGACTTTGCGTACAGCAAAGCCATGGCGCTGTACGCGGTGATGGATGACGTCGACGTCGCCGACGCCGAGCTTCTCAAAGCCATGCTCGCGTTTCCGTACGCCCTCACGGCGACGATGTGGAAGCTCGAGGCCGCGGTCTCGAGCGACAAGGAGTGGCAAACCATTCTCTCGCACGAACACTTTGACTTCTCCCACCGCGCTCTGGACTCGAGAAGTCTCGAGCACTTGTGCGACGTCTTCGCGCAGAGACATCACCTCCTGTGGCGTCCGGATCCCATCCTTCACTGGGCCAAGCGCGTCGCCACGCGAGCGATCGAGCTCGTGGCCTCGAAGAAACCATCTCCCGAGCTCGACGGTCGCACCGCTTTCGATTTCAAGCGCACGACGATGGAGAACTGGCCCTCAAACCCCGAGAACGCGTTCGCCCACCTCGCCGTCGACGACTTCGCCGACGTCGTCAAGCGCGCCCTTCCCGCGGACGACCCCTTGGCCGCCCACCCCCACGGTGCCGTCGACGCCGAATTTGATTAAACGTGTAACCATCATCGCCCGTTCGCCTCTCGCGCACCCTTTTCGACGTCTCCGCGTTCCCACCGTCCCGACCGCCTCCGCCCCCGGGTCCCGCGGAGACCCTCAAACCTAGGGTGTCGCCCCCCACACCCCGCCGCGCGTCATGCGCGCCCACTTCCGCGCGAGCGTCCGCGCGCGGGCGAACGCCGAACGAGACACCCCATCGGCGTCTCCCCGACGACCGAGCGCGTCGGACGCGAGCGCGCGCGCGCGTCGAGAGCGACCGTCGAGCGCGAGTTCGCTCGATCGAGCGACGCCGTACGTCGAGGCGAACGCCGTCGACGTCGTGGACCCGTACGTCTCCCCGATCGGTGCGCTGGAGCGAAAGATCCCAGGCCGGGCGCCGTGGATACGGCGAGGGAACGCCACGGCGCAGGACGCGAGGAGAGATGGATTAGGCGCGAGCGCGTCGCCGTTTCTCGTCCCGGGCACCAAGCGGTGGTACGACGCGTGGGTGGTGGAGAAACGACGACGCATTCGGGAGACGCGGTCGAGGGAGATGAAGAAATTTGGTCGACCGCCGGTGGAGGAGTACGCGAAGCCGGGACAGGCGGTGGGGGAGGCGCTGAGCATCGAACGGTTGAAGTTTACCCCGCTCGGACGGGCGCGGATGCAGAGCGAGCGTCAACACATCGCGTACAATCGATTCGTGGTGGATCTGATGCAGGATAAGATTAAGGAGTTGTATGTGAGCGTAGATGCGGTGGCGAGGTACGCCGTGGTGTACAAAGACGGTCGTTTAGCGTACTGTCAGGTGGCGCCGAGTAACACGGAGATTTACGAAGTGACGCAACAAATCGGACTGGAGATTCAGCCGACGATGCCGGAACCGGCGAGTCACACCGTCTCCGCGGTCGGTGACCGCGGGTCCGCCGTCAAGACCTTCATCGCCGGATACGGCGTTCCCTCGATCGGGGTGTTCATCGTGTGGGCCATTGTCTTCTACATGCAACGCTTCAAAGGAGACTGGGAGGATCGTCAAAAGCTTTTGGAGTTGGAGCGCGCGGAGGAGGCGCAGCGGATGGCGGAAAAGGGCGACTCTAAGATTCAGTACTTGGAGGAAGTCCTGTCGAAGCTTCCAGAGAACGATCCGCAGCGCGACTCGATCAACCGTGAGATTCGTAACCGTCGCGCGCGCATCGCTCGCGATAACAGCAACAAGAAGGATGCCGCGGCAAAGGCGGCGGATGGGGATCAAATGGGCGCCGCGAACGCGTTCATGAAGGTCGGTGTGAAGGTCGTCAAGTCGAAGAAAAAGTCGGACGTGGACTTGGATCTCGAGGAGGAGGAGGAGGAGGAGGAGGAGGATACCAAGAGTAAGAAGAAGGCAAAGGCTAAGACGGAGGGCGCGGGTAAGACGAAGGGCGTGAAGAAGGGCCGCGTGAACACTAAGATGAAACTTCGGGATGAAACTGAGACCGTCTTGTTCGATGACGTCGCGGGCATTGGCACGGCGAAGGTTGAACTTCAAGAGGTCGTCGATTTCTTCCTCAAGCCGGATAAATTTAAGGCGAGCGGTAGTAAGGTTCCGAAGGGCGTGCTCCTCACCGGTCCGCCAGGTTGCGGTAAAACACTCCTTGCGCGAGCCGTAGCGGGTGAAGCCGGCGCCACTTTCTTCTCTCTCGCCGCATCCGAATTCGTCGAGATGTTCGTCGGTGTCGGTGCGGCTCGTGTTCGTGATCTGTTCCAACAAGCGAAGAAACAGTCCCCTTCGATTATTTTCATCGATGAATTGGATGCGGTAGGTCGTCCGAGAGGCGGCGGGGGCTCTGGTAACGACGAGCGAGACCAAACTCTCAACCAGTTACTCGTGGAGCTGGATGGTTTCAGTTCTGATACGCAGGTTGTGTGCATTGCGGCCACGAACAGAGTTGACGTTTTAGATAAAGCTCTTGTTCGTCCGGGGCGTTTCGATCGTAAGATCGTCATTCCAAAGCCCGACTTCAATGGGCGCATCGAAATCATGAAAGTGCACGCCAAAAATAAACCCATGGCCGATGACATCGACTGGATCGCTCTCGCTGGTGAGACGGAGGGTTTCAGTGGCGCGGCGCTCGCTTCCGTGGTGAATATTGCGTGCTTGCAAGCGGCAAAGACCTCACGAAGCTTGGTGAGCATGCAGGATTTCCAAGTTGCGATGGAGACGGAGACTTTGGGGAAAGTGTTGCCCAGTCTCGGCGAAGAGAACGAGAAGCGTCTCGCGCTCGTGCACTCCGCCGCGGCAGTTGCGACTCACTTGCTGTGCAAGGACATGCTCGACGTCTCCTTTGTCACCGTCGTTGCTCGCGAAAGTAACGCCGAAGGTCAGCTCGCTGTTGGTGAAAATCCAGTCGCACTTCGTCCTGGAGCGTTCACGAAGGGTTTCATGAGACGCCACATGCGCACCTGTCTCGTACCGTCCGTTGCAGAGGAGGTGTTTTATGGGTTCGACAATTGTACAAAGGTCACCGCTCCTTACAGTGGTCGGGCTCGAGAAATCGCGAATTTTTTCGTGCAAAACTGTGCGATGAGCGACGAGGATAGTGAATTTAGCTACATTCCGACAGGTCACGTGATCGAAGTGACCGACTTCTTGCGTGCCAATCGCGAGGAGTACATGCTTCCTAGCACGACGCTCAATCGTTACGCGAGAGCTGATGAGGAGACGCGTAGATTGTTGGAGGCGCAGTACGCGGCGGCGAGACGTTTCGTTGAGAAACAACGTCCAGCGATCGAAGCCGTGCAAAAGCTAGTTTTGGAGAAGAAAACTGTCCAATCGGAAGAGCTCAAGGCGACCATAGAGAAATACGCGGTGGCTCCATACGACGACGAAGTCTTGCAATCCGCTTTTGCGGATGAACGCAAACGTTTAGCAGACTGGAACGGTGTCATCCCCGCTGACACGTAGACATTGGTGGCGATACGATAGAAATTCTACTGATTGATAATACAAACACAACGCATTGACCGCAAAGTCGCTCCAAATCTACGAATATCCCGTCGAATCGAGACCGAGCGCGTCGCACACTCGACGCATGTCCTCGGGCATTTCCGCCTGCCAAGCGAGCATCTGTCCGGTGACTGGATGCACGAGCTCCAACTTGTACGCATGGAGAGCCTGTCGACCGATGCTCAAAGATCCGCCCCAAACGCCGCTGGGATGAGGCGAATCGCACTCGTCTGGAGGCGTCATCTGATGCATCTGTGTCGGATTCTCGGATGAGCACGCCGCGAGCTGCGACGCGCTCCAGGTCAACTTTTCGTTCTCATCCGCGCTCTGTGCTCCCCATCGAATGTGCGGGCCGTACAACGCATCGGATACGATTGGAAGACCCGCGTGCGCGAGATGCACACGAATCTGGTGGGTTCTACCGGTCATCGGCTTCACGAGAACGAGCGCCGCAGTGGCGGATGGCGATGAGTCATTCGTCTCCGACGTCGCCGACACGCCCTTCGGTGTCGTCGTCGCGGCGACCGTCTCGTCGGAGATATCAAAAAGCGCCGTCTCTTTGCGCGAAATGACCTCGCACACCGTTCTCGCCTCTTTTCCCTCGCCTGAAAAGTCCACGTTGCGAGCCTCTTTCACGACGCCGTGGTCGCCGATGGGCGCGTCGACGACGAAACCGTCGCCGCATCCCGGCGGCGTGACGCCCACTGAAATCGCCAAGTACGTCTTCCTAGCTGTTTTCTCGTGAAACTGCCGAGCCACGTCGGATACCAAGCTCTGCTTCTTCACGAACACCGCGACGCCGGACGTATCCATGTCCAACCTATGCACAATGTACGGCGTCTCGCCCTTTGTGTGATGCAACGCGCGCGAGAGCAACGAGTTCCCTTCGAATCGATGATTCGGATGAAACCTCAGATTGGGCGGTTTATTCACCACTAAAAACTCATCGTCTTCGTGCACGACGTCGAGCGGCGCGTCGTCTCGCGCGAGCTCCACCGCCAAACTCGCCCGTCGCAGCGTCGTCTTCACTCGTCCCGTCGGCACCCCGAGCGCCGCCGCGCACGCCTCCGGCGTCATCCGCTCGCCGTCTCCCATCCCATCCCTCGCACGAAAGCACATCCGCTTCACGTCCTCCGCGAACGCGTCGTTGATCGCCCGCGTCGTCTCGTACGCCCCGCGTCCCCCGTCCCCGTCTCGCCACGCCTCTCTCGGCGTCTTCTCCAGCACATCCTTCGCGCACTTCCCCAGGTGTTCCCTGTACCCCGTCCACCGCACCTCGGTCCCGCACGCCGGGCACGCGACGAACGGCGTCCGCGCCCGCGCCCGCGCCCGTCGCGTCCCGCGCGTCTCATCCCCGTCCTCCGTCCCGTCCCCGCCCACATGGCCGATCCCTCGACCCGCGCTCGCGCTCCGAGACGTCGCCCGTCGTCCCACGCGCGCGCGCACCGTGGTCATCGCGAGCGTCGCGCGCATCGACGCCCGTCGCGCGATGCCGCGTGCGGCACACATCGTCCGTCATCCATGTCGCTCGAGCCCGACGCCGAGCCGGCGACGGAGGAGCGCGCGCGCCGCGAGCGGCTCGTCACGCTCGAGCGCGCGCTCGCGGGGGCGCTCGCGGGGGGGATCTCGCGCGTGTTCACCGCACCGATCGATCGCGTGAAGTTGTTGTTTCAAGTCGACGCGCGCGCGAGTGGGTTCACGCTCGCGCGAGGGGCGCGCGCGGCGCGCGCGATCGTCCGGGACGAAGGTGCGTTGGCGCTCTGGCGTGGGTGTCACGCGGCGGTGCTTCGGATCCTGCCGTACAGCGCGACGACGTTCGGGACGTATAACGCGTACAACGCGGCGCTCGCGCGGGCGTTCGACGTGGCGCCGGATAACGATGCGGCGAAGAAACATCGAGGAGAGGATGAACGGACGCCGCCGGTGGGAGACGTGCGCACGCGATTCGTCGCTGGGGCGCTCGCGGGGGCGACGGCGACGGTGTTGACGTACCCGTTGGATTTGTTGCACGCGCGGTTGGCGGCGCACTCGACGACGCGTCCGGCGCCGAATATCTCGGGGATGTTCGGAAGCGCGGGATATTTGTACGACGTCGCGACGAAGAGTGGGGCGCGGAGTCTGTATAACGGGCTCACGCCGACGCTGATGGGGATCGTGCCGTACGGCGGGATCTCGTTCGCGACGTTTGAGACGCTGAAATCAATGTACGTCAATCACGCGACGAAAGGGATGAACGTCGTGACGGAGGATGAGTTTGAGATGCCGGTGCACTTGAAACTCGTCGCGGGTGGATTTGCGGGCATCGCCGCGCAAACGTTGACGTATCCCTTGCACGTCGTGCGACGACGAATGCAGGTGCACATCAGCGCGGGGGCGTCCGCGCCGCTGTATCCGAGCATTTTCGCGGGTCTACGGCAGATTTACGTCAACGAGGGGGTGAAGAATGGATTATTCAAAGGCGTGACGTTGACGTGGGTGAAAGGCCCGTTCGCCGCCGCGCTCGGTTTCACGGCGAACGACGTGCTCTTCCAGCGGGTCGGTCCGATGTTCCGTCACGCGTTGCTCGATAAGGATCCGCCGGGGACGCACGTGCCGGTGATCTGGCACGAGCGTAAAGCCATCACCGCGCTCGAGACTTTGTTCAGCGGCGCAATCGCGGGAGCCGTGGCGAAAACCGTCGTCGCTCCGGCGGATCGGGTCAAAATCATTTACCAAGTGGATTCAAAGAAGGATTTTTCCTTCAACTCTGCGCTGCGCACCGCGAGACAAATCATTCAAACCGAGGGTATTTCTGCGCTTTGGCGCGGTAACGGAGTGCAGATGGCGCGCGTCATGCCGTACGCGGGTGTGAGCTTCCTCGCGTTTCCTAAGTACGACGCGTACGTGGACAAGGTAATGCACGGTCAAATCCCCAAACTCTTCGGCATTCGCTTGGGGGAGCACGAAGATGAAGCTAGAATTTTCTCTCGCTTCTGCGCCGGCGCCGCCGCCGGCGCCACCGCGACGACGATGACGTATCCATTAGATATGCTCCGCGCTCGATTCGCGGCGAGCGCGACCGCGGCAAAGGCTCCGCTAGTAGATGTCGCCGCACTCGTTCGTCAGCGCGGTATCGTCGCTCTGTACAGTGGATTGTCTCCGACGCTCATCGGGATCGTGCCGTACGGTGGCATTTCGTTTGCGACGTTTGAGACGCTCAAATCGATGCACATGAAATCAGAGTTGACGCGGGCCGAGTCTCTCGGGGAGGCTCCGTCCTCATCTCTTCCCGTGACTGTCCGTCTCTTCTACGGCGGCATGGCGGGTCTCTTGGCGCAAAGCATCACCTATCCGCTCGACGTGGTGCGACGCCGCGTGCAAGTTTTGGGTAAAACGGGCGCGAGCACGCGGGAGGCGTTGATAGAAATCGCACGAAAAGAGGGCGTGCGCGGATTGTACAAGGGTCTCACGATGAACTGGGCGAAGGGACCGCTCGCCGTCGCCGTGAGTTTTGCTACGAATGACTACATTAAATCGCGATTCAGTGAATGGCACGACGCTGAAAACGCATAGACATAGCGAATGCTGATGGCTTGTAACGATATCTAGTCTAGTCTAGTCTAGTCACGTTCGTTTCGCTTCACTTCGTGACCCTCCGGCGCGTATCTCTGTTCCGACAGAAGTTTATTGAGTCTGTCTTCCACCGCGCGAGCGCTGTCTTCGTCTCCAGAGCGTCGCTCGAGGCTGAGCCACAGCTCGAGGAGCGGAATGTGCGGCGGCGCCCTCGCTACGCCCTTCTTTATCACGGACAAGGACTTTCCGACGGCATTTCGTTCGTTTTCTTCGCATGAAAGCTCGAATAATGCCCATTGAAGCCATAACGACGCGCTTCTCGGATGCGCGGCGCATCCTTGCGCGAATAGTTCTCGCGCGGCGGTGTCGTTGTTCGATTCCGCCTCCAAAGTCGCGAGAGCCTGAAAGACAAAGTATTGTCCGTTATTAACTCCGTAGCGAACGCCGTCTTTGAGCACTTTACGGGCCGCGTCGACGCTGTTGACGCGTTTCTCCCATTGTCCCCACTGTAACCACGTGGCTGCGTCCGCGCGGTCCTCGCTCGTCGCGCGAAGGAACAATTTGCGCGTCATCTCTTCACTCCCGACGCGCTTCTCCAGCAAAGCCCACAGTCGAAGGTGCGCGGCACGCTCGCGACGTGTGCTCAAGTGACGCGGCACGGACTCACCCTGAACGAAAAGCTGTCGCGCGCGGCCGTGTTGACCTCCGTGAAACTCCGCTGCGGCTGCCGCGGTGATGCACGGCAAATTCGGCTTGCCCGAGGCGAACGATCCTCGCTCGAATGCGTCGATGGCGGCTTGGAAATCTCCAGATTCTTGTAGGACAGTTCCAAGAGCGTGCCATACGTGCGCACTCTTGGGAAATCTCTCGCTCAAGCGACGGAGCCGCTTCGTCGCGGATTCGACGTCTCCGTTGAGCTTGAGCGCCATGGCGAACGCGTGCTCTAACCGCATGTCTCCCGGATTCGCCTTCAACCCCTCGCTCAGTACTTCGAGCTGTCGACGATTGGAAACGGTATTCCTGCGAGCACTCGTTACGACGCCTCCGCGATGAGAGTTACCTCGCGCGACGTCCTTCTCGAGTTCGCTCCATTTCAACCAAGCCGAAATATTCTTCTTATCCGCGACGGAAGCGCGCAGAAATAACGCTCTCGATTTTTCGAGCGCCGCATCGAGCGCGTCCTCGCCTTCCTCGACCCGCAGTGCGCGCTGCCCCTCCAAATCACCCCAAGACGTGTACAACGCCGAAGCCATCGATCGCGCGCGCCTGGACTCCACGGAGTTTCCGCGCGACGACTCCGCTCGAGCGCAAAACGCCGATCCCCTCTCGAGCAACGCCCTCGCCTGATCACTCTGCCCTCGACTGAGCTCGAAAGCGGCCCAGGCGGTATAATTCGCCACGTGTGAATCACAAAGCTCCACCGCGCGCGCGAAGAGCTCTCTCGCGAGCTTTGGATTTCTCTCCTGAGCTTCCAAACGCGCCCACGAGTGCGCCGCCGTCGCCGCGCTCGCGCGAGACTTCATCGCATCATCCCCCTCCACCGCGCTCAGCGCGCTCTTGTAACACCGCCGCGCCTTATCCGCCCTCCCATGATCCATCTCGTGTCCTCCGAACGCGACCCAGGCGTCGCACATCTCCCGACCGCTCGCGTTCGACGCGCTCGTCGCCTCTCTCAACAGCGCCCGCGCGCGCCGTTCCCCATCCCTCGTCCCAGCGCTCGCCTCCGCGCGCGCCCACGCGCACAGCGTCCCAACCTCAACCCCACCCTCCCCCACCGCCCGACGATGCGCCGCCATCACCTCTCGTCCGCCCTCGACGTCTCCGTTTGCAAACTTTCCCCGCGCCGCCGCTCTCGCCGCCCCTCCGTCCTCCTCTTCTCCCTCGAACGCTCGCGCCGCCGCGCGTCCCCCATCGACCGCGCGTCCGTTCCGAATCATCCACGACGCCCGCGCGGCGGCCCGCGCGCCCGTTCGCGCGCCGTCGCCGTCCCTCGACGCGTCGTTTTCGTCGCGCATCGCGATGCCATCCCGCGCGTCATCATTCGCTCGTCCGCCCGCGCGCGACCGCGCACGCGTCGCGCGCGCACCTCTGGACGCGCGCGGGACCGCTCGCGACGCGTGCGCGCGATCGACGCGCGCGCGGGCGCGCAAGGCGCAGCGAGTGGGCGAATGATCAGACGTCGGGGGGGCCGCTCTGTCCGTACGACTGTTCGAATAACGGCGAGTGCGTGAACAGTGGGTCCGCGAGTGGGGATGATACGAAGTGCGCGTGCTCGTCGACGCCTTTCGCGGGCGTGGCGGGCTCGCTCGCGCCGTTCGGGAACGCGTGTCGCGATATGTATCGCCACTACGGGACCGCCACGAGCGCGACTCCAGTCATATCGCTCGAGCCGGGAAAGTTTTGGTACGGTTCGTACGATTTGTCGGGAATTTATAGATACTCTGGTGACGGGGTGGAGATTTCGTTCAATT